TCGGATTGGAGGCGTGAAATGACATTGTGTGGGATATCCTTGGATAGGGCGTTGTGAACTAGAAGTGCACAAGGTAAGACGCGCATGTGAAATGAACTGATTTGGATAGCTCACAAACAGTTTTAGAAGGCCACTAAATGCACTAGATCAAGAGGAGAGCATCCAGTATAGGGGTATTCAATCTGTGAGTACAATTTATGCAAGTATCTGACATGGTGATGTCCGGGTATCATATGAGAAAATAACAATGCCACCAACCTTATAATTCCATAAAGAAACGCGTGCAAGCGCTAAAGCAAAGGGCTTATGCGCCCACCACTACTCGCGTCTTGGAGGGTAGTAGTCGTACGCACGAAACGAGATTCAGAGGTGCCTCAACACCTCTTCTACTCTTGAGTAACCCGTCTCCTAATATCCTCTCAATATGCTTGCTCCCCGTAAACCTGATTCTCCGACGTAACTGGATCCTTCCCCACCATCTTCCTCGGAACAGTAACGCCCGCCCATCCAAACAAATCCTGATCCACTGGCAAGCCAGGAAGCATCACCCCACCACTCCCCTCAACATTTCCCATCGTATCCAACACACCCGTCTCCCACACACGCTGCTCCACCTTCCTCTCTCTCCGTACCTCTACAAACAGCGCCTTGCGCACCCAACCACCCTCATACACCGGCCTCCTCGGCGGATAATCCACCTCCCTCTCTCCCTCCCACATCGGCGCCAAACCCTCCTTCCTCCTCTTAATCCGCTCTTCCTCATCCTTCTTCACGTTATAGATGTCCAGCAAACCCATTGCCCTCTTTCTGCCGGGCGAACACAGGGTTGCAGACGCGGTCTGCATCCCAATCAGGCACGGGACGCGAATAGACGCGCATTCCGCCACGCATGCCGCGCATATCGGGACCGAGGGCGGGGTGCGGGATGTCGAAGGTTGAGCGGTAGGGAGTTGAGGAGGCGGGTGGGGACGTGGAGGCCATTATGGATGGCGGTGATATTTGTCAATTGGGGAATGCGAGTAGTGTTGTTGGTGGCGTGTAGGGTAACCGCCTTGAATACCGAGTCATCCTGATCATCTGCGGTGGTATGAAGACCAGCTCGCGACTCCTCTTCATCGGGCTCTCCTGACGTCTGCGAATCGTCGAGATTTTTGCCGTCGTCGCTGGCGCGGTAGCTGTCGTGATGTGCCTCCGAAGGCGACCTGGTATCTTGCCCGCGGGAAAGCCAGATAGGCAAGCCCTTTTCAAAGCGGATGAAGTCAATTACACCTTGATCCACTGCGACCTGGAGGCCCAAAGGGAGCCCAGGGGTGCTAGGAGCGTCGTATGAAGAATCGACTTCAGACCTAGCTTCGACCTCATCGGTGTAGAGTCGAGTGTTGATGTGATCAGATGCCTCGATCTCATTTGTCCATGCCTTTATCCGCGCGCGCTGCGCCTGTCTCATTTTCGATGGAAGATCCGAGGTCTCTGCAAGCTTGCCGTTGGGATAGTTGAAATTGAGATCGGCAATACACTCATACTGGATACTTTTCACGTCAAGATCCTGCTTCAGTAACAATCTCATCTCGCGCCTAAGAATCCGGCGGCAGCAGGAGTCATCCAGCTCAACAAACTCCGCAGCTTGAAGCACTTCGAGATTAATGTAAGGTAGAACTTTGTCCTCCTTCGTCAGGCGCGTGAACGTCGGGAGCAGATACTCAATCCGAGCTGCAAGAAGGCGAAACGGCTCTCCCTCTTTGGCTTTCAGAATCTCCACCTCGAATGCATTATCACATTGTTTGAGGCTCTCTTCTTGCCAGCCTTGGATAATATCCCAGGGCGGGTTTGGGTGTTTGAGGTGGAAATGACGCATCTCCTTCATGAAGGTAGCATGTGCAAAGAAGTCAAGGCTATTCTCCTCGCTAAGCTGAGAGATAGAGTCGAGATACTGGCGCTCATAATCGGCGCGCTCGTCCCAAATGGGCACTTTTGGGAAGTCTGGATCTTCACGCACCCTGTAGGAGTGAAGGGTCCAGGACAGCATTTCGTCGTGGACATGGGGCGTAGAAAGTTCCCCAAGCGAGATTTCTTGCTGGCCGCGACGCTCAGCGAGCGGAATCACAGGGACAGATTGGAGTGCGAACAGTACTTCCAGGTTGGGAAAGGTGTTCGTGTCTGTGGATTGAAGGGTCTTCCGCGTTGCGGCTGTGCGGAGTTGTTCAAGGAGTTCATCGTCGTCCTTGGGTAGTTTCTCAGCATGTGTATCAAGAAGATGTTCGACGAGCTGTCTAAGGATGTGCATGCGGGCATCCTCATCGACGGCTTCAATGTCATCCAGAAGCAAAGAATGAAGTGCCGTCGTCAACATGCGGACTTTGTTATCGTCGCGTTCTGTGGGGGCACAAATTAGCTCTCGTTCCATGAGACACTGAACCAGTAAGAACTTACCTCGAGCCGCATCATGCTTGCGCTGCGCCAACGCTTCTTCTTCGGTTTCGTGCTGGACGCCTTCCAGATCGATGTCGACAAGCGCGGCATCTGGGGTACCGACAGAATCGATCAGCCATACTGAGCTGAGACGCTTCATCTTCCTGTATGTGGCCTGGTAGTGGCCAGCTTGGCTGCTGATGGAGATATCGTGGTGGTCCTTGCTAAGGGACGGAGGAGAAGGTTCAGTGAAGCCGTTATGGAATGTGTAGCCGGCGACAAGCTCAAACAACGTCTTCGCTGAGGTGGTAGATGACAGGGTGGGAAGGCGGTACAGGCCAAGTCCTGACAGCCCGAATTGCGCCATGTTGAGTGGTTATATACTCTCCAACTTTAGAAAAGTTGAAAGATGGTAGCGAGAATGTGGTAGAAGATTTGGATACCAAAGTTGACCGGCTCATAGAGAATAGCTCGCGACCGCTTGGTAGCGTAAAACTAGCGTGGCCATTGTGAAAGCTCTCTTGCAGGGGGTCAAGACCGTAGAGACCTTTGTGGGGACAGGCATCTGTACACTGTGGGAGTGAATCGACCAAAGCTCCAGACGGTAGGTGAACTAGAGATAAAGTTGTACAATCATCGCTCAAGCACAAAGTTTCCGAATGCCACAGAGCAGTAAATTCAAATGGAAGAGAAGCATGTGCGCAATGAAGTCGGGATCGTACCAAAGTACGCGACCTAAGATTGACGACATAATTTTACCCTACGCGTAGGGCGGTTCACTACTTCATCGGGATCCGATACTCCACGAAGAAAACACGGTTCACGACGAGTTTATCTCCAGTAGGCAAAATTGCTGCGCTCTAGACAGAGGTATGCTTCACTCGTGATGCAAAACAACGGTCAAGGAGTGCCAGCCACCTGAAATGAGAGAATTTGCCATTATCGGGCTCATAATTGAAGCCACCATCTACGGCACTGGAGCCAATGTCCACGACCCAAATTTCTCGATTTTCTTGCGCTCTGGGAAAAGGACGTGACGTTGGGTTGTGACAGCAGCTACACATCATCATGGTTTGCTATTTGTGTTGATGATTTGCGAGAAAGTCGGGTTTCCTGTCATTGCAAAAGCTGCCTGTTGATTAAGCTCTTGAGTCAAGCCACGAGATGCGCAGTTAGATGTGGCCAAGCTGAAAGTACCTGCATATGAAGACGGCGGGCGCTTTTGAGTACCGGCTTTGAAGTGCCGGCGGGAGCTAGAGACCCTGGGTACCACGGTTAGTGTGATTCCCAACAGAATGAGGCTAGGCCGAGCTTGATAAGATCGTTTCAAAGGGGATAATCACGATGGATCATATCAGCGACCTCCAAAAGCCGTCGAGTCGCTCATCGTTATTGGTGTGGCGTGGAAGGTCCCTGAGGTTGATGCACCGATTGATGCTCATGTGACATGGCCTTGGCATGCGAAGTGGTTTAAACCCGCGGAAGCACCCGCAACCTCTTCCCCGCCTTCACACATCGCATCCATGGATCGAGAAACCGTCTTCACGAAAGCTTGGCTTGAAGGATAATGTCTGCTTCTTTTCTGCGTCCCTTTGCCGCTTCACTCTGTCGCGCCGACACGACATGACGCGGCTGACAGGCGCCCGGGCGTTTCCAGATCTGCTGTTGGGTGGCATCACCTCCCTCAATATCAGCATCAGAGCCTAGACCACGACGCCGCATATGCATTGTTACACTAACCCCTCTCGAAGAGCTTTGCATTGCATGCCTCCCGCCGATTGCTGCTTCTTGCTGCTGGCCAAGGGCCTCGACGCGTCGCATGCCGAGCAGCATGGCGCCATTCTCGCGAACTACAATCAGGAACGATTGATCCGCCCTGACAGGGGCCAGGTCACTCCCGCATTTCGACGTGACGTCGCTACAATGATGCTCGTTGCTCGCTCGATCGATCTGTACAGCTCCGTACATGGATCGCTGCCATCCACAGCTCGAACGGCACGTCGGTGTATTTTGACTCTACACATCTATCATTTCCTTACCATGTCTTCAATTCGTTCTTGTCTATTTCTATTTCCTCTCCCAAATATGAAATTCCAGAAAATCACACACGACCCAGGTCCGGGTCAGCCTCTGACATCACCGTACATGCAGAGTCCTTCGAGATGGTCTGGACTCAAACTGGACCCCGCTGCGCCCGTCACAGGTAGGACGATCATGGACTCCCGGTGATAGAACACGACTTCAGACTTTCACCGCCCTAACGCTCGACTGCTTGCGAAAGGTTCATTGGCTGGAGTCTCCCAAGCTCCTATGTCTATGGCTGTGCTTCATTACCCCACGCACAAGCAGACGCAATGCGGGATGCGATGATGCACACGGAACGCTGCTCCAGCAGCTTGCATACATATAACTGCGCGTCTCTTATGGAATTCGCAACAATCACCTCTCCCGTTTCCCTCAGACGGCTTGCACTGTTTTCGCAACCCCGCTTCCAGCTCTTCCAATCCATCCAGCGTTGCCACAGTCGCCAGGTTTCCTCCGCACCGTATTGTCCGCGCACATGCGCCGACAAGAGCCAATTTCTGCTACAGAACGTCGCAGCACCAAGCCGTTATGGCAACGAGTGCGTCCCCATCAAGACACTGAAGTAGATTGTGGTCTAACATATTCCAGCCACCTTCGAAGACTCCATGAGCGAGGATGCCGGGCCCTCCACTCGTGCTACCCTCTTCCGAAATGACGATGCACTATCGCAGGCACTCAGGGATGTCAGTTCAATCAACTTGGGCGACATCGTGCGTCTAAATCAGATGGCCGCCCGATCAGGTGATACAGCGTCCTCAGTTGCAACGTCGAGTACCGCTGTTTTCACCCATCGCGAAGAATCCACCGTCACGAAGCCTACGTCAACCGATACGTACCCTCGACCGAAGGCACCCACTGCCAAGGGGAAAGGGAAGCTTGGGGGTAGCTTTGCCTCATCGCTATCGGGGAACAATGGGTCCGCATCTGAAGCCGAAGTTGAGCGTGGAGCTCTTCGTAGGAACTCTCTGTTTGCCATAGGCGACTGGGCAGACCCGCAGCCGACCTCTTCGCGAGCACTCAAGGGTACGATCAGAGCCAAGGAGCGCTTGCAAATTCATGGAACTTCAAAACGCAAGAAGCCCATTGTTGTAATCGAGCAAGGCAGGCATGTCGTCAAGCCAATTCGTCAACACAATGACACCGACGTGATAACAACCACGGTGGCTTCATCCCAGAGGAACGCAGGTGAGCACTGGTACTCCTTAAGACACGCACTATAGTTACTGACTAGCTTAAGGCAAGAAGTATTTGCGTCAACGCACTTCGCATCATGACGACGACCTCACTCGCCTGGCTGAAGAAGGCCGAAATCAGATCATCACTCCAGCAAAAATGGCAACGACTACATCGTTATCGCGTACTCGCGTCTACGCCCTCGGTGTAGTAGGGTTTGTGATGGGACTGACAATGGCTCTTGCAGCTTTTGGTGCACACAGCACAGGAAAGGCGCGTCTTTCGCAGACAAAGATCATTGTATTCACCGCGACGGCATTGTTAGCTTGCCTCATGGTTTCTGCCATGCTCATTGCAAGGCGAGTTCTTTCTGAAGCACTGCTTGCTGGCATGTTGCAATTTTCCTTTGGCTTCGCTCTTCTAGTTGAGCTCGACGAGTTCATGTGATTGGACTCCACACCTTGTCCTGTTCACCCACTACTATCTTGTGCTACATAAAAGCGTTGGAGTATGTTTGAAAGTCAGCATGTTGGGGTTCGCACTGTCTTTGCCTATTAAGCTCAACTCGAAATTTGCATTGCCATTACTGCGAGTCTCCAGGCTCTCCAACTAGCAAGCCACAACTAGACCCATGTTCTCTCCGTTGTCCGTGTCAGTCACGATAAGCAAGCTACGGATTAGTCAGACGTCTCCTCGCCACTTGTTGTTTCATCCCATCACTGCATTGGCTTCGGACATGCACCCAGGCCATTTCGTGGCAGTGCACATCCGGCGATGCAACTCAACTCAGCCCACACCCAACTCATAACGACTCTATCATGAGCCACCCGCGGGATAAGTTCAGCATGTCTGTTACGTTATCCCCTATGCACACACGGCCTCTGCGTTCAGCCCCCAACCGTCAGCCTGAGCGGTCTGCTAAGGCAACCTTCTGGAATATGCAGCAGAAACAAGGGACCCCATTGCTCAGAGATGGGGCGGTTTGTATGAACCAATGATGTCGAGAAACGTGTGGTAGCAACTGGCTGATGACCATCTTCCATCTAACCGCTTCCTCGGAATCTTATCTGCACCATCGGAGCCTGGTTCCGGAGCCGTTTTAAACGAGGCACACTCTTCCCTGTACGACATCGAGGCGATTTTCAGCTACCCACAGTGGTGGAGGTAGAATGACACGAATTGCATGAAAGTCTTGATGGATTGGGATGGTAAGCTCATATTCCAGAAGCCCGATAAGGTCAACCTCGACATCTAATCTGTCGGTGTCCGAACCAAATTTGTGGTAGCCTGATGGCTGTCCTCACGACGGTAACGCGCCGTCGGCGGTGACTTTCGTCAAAATTTGTAACATCTCACGATTTGATTATAGTCGGCGGCTGGAAAATGTACCTTATCAAGCGAGGGCAACTTTTCTACCGACTGTAAACCCTGTGGGCACGAGGAGTATGCGTACTGATGTGACACGACAGTAGATTGGGCGGCTACAGCTGATCACGTCGGCCAATACATTCGAATCACAGACCCGGTAAGGTAGACCACCAATCACAGTATTCCGTTCCTATGCTGATGAGGGCAGTAAAGAATTACATGCTGCATCGTACATAGACGGTAGCATTGTATACAAAGGGGGGGCGGGGAGAGGACACAACGCATCCATGGGAAAGAGAAATTTGAGGCCATGCGAGCACCCAATCTCACAGACCACCCGGCCTTTGTGAGACACACGTTCATACATATTAGCCGAGCCAGCATCAAGAAGCACCTGACGATACCTACAGCTTAGCTCGGCATGCGCGCACCGACCAGTGGTCTTTATCAGACGCTATGCAGGATGCTCGTGCACTTTTTGCCTACTCAACACTTTTAAGCTGGCAATCTTCAGCGGATATCATGATCCCCGACCGAGTAGCATGGATCAGTGATTCCGGTATATTACTAGCGAACGGTGGCACGCGGCGTCAAGAACGACACTCGGCGTGCCTGGTTATCGGGCCTCACTGACCAACGGGTTGCACTTGTGATGGGTCTCACGCAAAATTACTCTGGGGTAAATAAAAATCTGCCGTGTTAATCGTATGCACAGCGCCGGCGCGTCAGCTCAGATGCGCTCTACCCTTAGCAGACAGGTTTGCGGCCGGTGTGCCTTACAGGACAGCTCATGTACGGAAAACTACCTAAGTCGCCGTCGACGATCTTCGTCACTGGTGATCATGTCGCTCGTGCATGCTTATGCAAGCTCGACAGCTGCGCAAAAGTCCTGGGGTAGCCACGCAGAACGAGCGCAGGGCGGCAGATGCGCATTTGAGCAGTTGCACCATGTGCGACTTTCGACCATGAGCAGGGAGCATGTTTTAATGAGTAAGGGGACAGTGGGGCAGCTGTGGCGAGCGTTGTAAGCGAGCCCTGTCTCCTACAGTGACTACGCTTACTTCCCTTACTGCGCTGGCAAGCGTGTGCGTAAGCTCATTATTCTTGCCAGACGCAGACAACACGGAGCGCATCTTTTTTTCACAGAAGGCAGGCTTAGATTTCATCCCGACGCGATTCACCCACAGCAGCGTGCGCCGCTAAGCTTGCAGCATCATGGACGCAGGACCTAGAAAGCCACAAGAGCACAGCATTGTCGATCCCTGCTGAGCTGGAAACTTCCGCTGATGAATGCAACCATCCATCCTCGACGCGTTTGTGAGAAATAAGACTTGCAATGATGCATGACCAGATTGCATCTTTGAAGTAGAAGTGCACCAGCCAATGATGAAACGATAGTTCCATGCGGCATGCAGCACTCGACACAGAGCTCTCTGAGCCCAGCCGTGTTTCTAACTCGTATTCGCCCACAAACTGATTCCACTTGGCGACATCACGCTGACAATCACGGAGAAGCCCCCTGTCATCATCTTGACTTCCAGATTACCGTTCTACAGGGCCCCGTTCTGTTCGGCACTAGCGCTACCGTTGACTTACGAAAAAGGCATGCAAGCTTGCACTGTCCTGATCACATTTCTGCCTTGGGATTGAGGCTCTGATCCGGATCAAGATGGGAGACGTGAGCTGCTCGACTCATAAATGCACTCATGGCTGCGCGCTCGTCCCCCCAAGGACTCGACTGCCACACACTCAGCATGCTTTAATGCTGTACAGTTTGCCCTCAGGTCAAGCTTCATCACCTTGCTCATCGCACATTCGCCTTGAAAATCCCGCCGCCCGCTACAAGTACGACTTGAAGGACTTCATTGCACGTTGGCAAAGCGTCGCACTATATCAAGACTCTCCTTGCTCTTCTTTTCAATCATTCTTTTATCATCTACTCTTCACCTTCTATCCTGTCACTCCTCCGGCACAACACCCTCACCGCCCAAAGCCTTCGCATCCACGCCCGACTTGTAATCAAGCCAGACGACCGTCGACCCAAAATGTCTCAAGCCCGTAAGTCGACCCCAATAATGCCCCAGATCCATCCCGCGTCTCCTCCCACGCTCCACCCCCACTGTCCTTAGCACACTGTCATATGCGTCCGTGCTCAAACACACGCAACCCATCATTCCCCTCGATCCCACTCAGCAATTGCTGACTCCTCTTATCAGCCTTTACAGCCCGCCGCTCGCTCCGCGAATACAATGTAATCGCAGTGTACCTCCAATGGGTGCGCCAGGCACGCTATTTGCGCGACGATGCAGGACCTAGCCTTTCGTCATCTGTCGCCGCGTCAGATTCCGATACACAGCAGCTCCCACGCCCCTATACGTCGCCAATCACGCGCGCTGGTGGGTTGATGTCAGATGTCGCACATGATGTGCTAGGGTGCGGTGCCGGGTTTGACGAGGCGGAGGCGGGAGGGCGCATGGTGGGGTATGCAGGCGAGCTCGAGATCCTAGCCTAAGATGAAGAGGGCACAAGGGGCGAAATGTAATACGGCAAGGGCGAAAAACCGGAGTATTGGGATTCTATGTTGATTTGAACTTGGGGGTTAGGTGGCACGGTGCCAAAATTAGGCGTAGTTACCGGGACTGGTTTTGTAACATAGGGACGTGGGAACATGTGACCCGATACCAACTGCGTCATGGGATACAGATTCTTTTGTATCAACTTTTGCAACGTAGTCTTGTCGTTGGCTCTCTTGGATCTCGCGAAAAAAAATTATAGATAGTTCGGTATGTAGTACAATATACCTTGGTTGGCGGGAGCTGGACTTCCTACCAACTTCAAGCTTGTAGTCGTCGATGTCCCTTCATTCACGTCCCAACAGTGATGCGTAGCATATCATCTTCGAGAATCAGATGCGACTGAACTGCATCCCCGACTCTTCCACCTAGCGTGCAAAAGTTCCATGTCGGCATGGCACTAGATTGAGATTGGGGCTTGGAAGCAAGTAGCCGCCCGCTGCTGAATAATCGTCGCTGCTTCGGGCATTCAGTTCTCCGATCGCCAAGCTGGTGACAACAAAATCTGGTGGCTTTTTGGTCAAGATTCTTGAGATTAATCTCTTGGGAGGTGGGTATAGTGAGGAAGTTTGATGTCGACGTCGGTGTCGGTGGGATGGACTCACGGATGACAAATTGCATACCGGCAATGGAATCATCATCTACCAAAAAAAAACTTCGAGAAATTCATGTATAAGTATGGACCTGCACTGCTCATCGGATTCTATATCACATACTTCGCATCTTTCCACCGAGTACACCGAACCACAAAATGCTCGTTATCGCCCTCATTTCACTCCCCCCATCCTCCACGGTTGACGTGACTATCGCACACCTCGAAATACTTTTGAAAGCGACAAACACACCCTTTACAATCGGAACCAAAGTCCAAGATCCAAGCATCATCCAGATAACCACACAATACCCCTCCCTTCCCTCCACAAGCGCACTGTCATCTCATCCACCATACACGTCCCTCGTCTCCTCCCTTACCCCATACAACCCGAGCATCACCACCGTCACACTCGACACTTCCATACTCCCTGCTCCGCTAGTCGAATTCGTCAAATCCGACTTTCCCACTCCCTTATCCCCGTCCCTGCAGGCACAAATCGAGTCCGACTTCGCGCGTTTCGAATCGCTATATCGTGGCCGCGGCAGTATGGCTGATGTGGGCGAGATCTCTCTCTCCATGGGGTGGAGCGAACCCCATCCCAACGCCCAGGGCGTCGCAGTGAAGAGCTGGGTTGTTGCGAGAGGATGGCAAGGGATGCCGTTTTTCGAGAAGGCGGTGGCGAGTGAGGAGTTCAAAGGATGTATTGGGATTCTGATGGGCTGGGGTGCGGAATTTGAATTGGTAAGTTGATGTAAACAGGGAGGAAGCGGAGGGATAGGAGAATTGAGCTAATGAGGTGTAGTGGCATGTTGATACGAAGGTTGCGGCTGGCGAGGTGTAGATATTGGGAGATGTGGAGGAGAAGTGGTGGTGTAGGCTAGTGATTCTAGGCTTGTCTGGATTGTTGCTTGGAGCGTGGGAACAGATTGCTGGACTGATCATGGAACGAAACTGAGTGGGACTGTCGGGTAGTCCGTCACTGTGTGTTAGCACATCCGTGAAACTGTATGTCTTTTAGATCCTGCGTCGCATACAACGGAATTACTTGTGCTGACAGTGTTCAATACAGGGCATGCTGTGTTGTGGCTTTCTCTGGTCTTGGCAACATCGCTAAGCATATAATTTGCTTGAATGAGAGAACATGTATGCAAATAAATGAATGTTTCAACCTTGCGTGTGTTTCCCAAAATGAAAGACGTGCTTGAGATCAATAGAATCACAATTTTGGAAATTGAAGGACGATAACTGGAAGATATGTTGCGAATTGTACATATCAGTAGTATGACTAGATGAACTAATGAGAGTCACATCTCTTACATATTATACTTACATAGAAGTTACTGTAACCCATGAGTTGTGGCGACAGTCTCATAATCCACAAGACAGCCACCAGGCAGGAAGTGCACCATATTGAGGCGCATTTACCAGACCGTGCCCTTGGTCTGCTTGCCCTTCTCCTCCTCCAACTTCCTGACATTGACGTTCTTCCACAGATAGATAGAACCCAAGCAGCACGGTACTAAGCAAACACCGGTGATTAACATCAAGCGCATGACATGCTGGTAAGCGCCGACAACTGCATCGCGCTCAGGCGTGCCATCCAAGAACGAGATTTGCGTCTCGATGTCTCCGAAGATAATAGTTGCGTTCATCTTGCTAGCCTCCGGTAGGCGCTCGTAAAGCTGCGCAGGCAGGATGTTGTTCCACATGGCGCCAGCAATGGCGAAGCCAATCGATGAACCGAAGCTGCCGAAAAGACCCCAGAGCGCGACAACGGCGGCGATTTCCTGGTGCGTGACTGGGACCATGACGGCGAGCTGAGCGCAGATGGAGAAGATACCTGTACCGATACCGACAATGACCTGTGTGAGGGCAATGACACCGGGGTTGGCGTCGGGTGTGCGGAAGGGGAGGAGCAGCGCGGTGCCGAGAATAACAATGGGCACACCGGCATAGGCAGTCAACTTGAAGTTTCCGGTATAGCTGATGATGAAGGCGACGATCGGGCTAAAGGTAGACGACGCGAGGGAGAAAGAGTTGAGGATGTATCCGGCGTGTGTGATGCTCTGCCTGTGGACGACGAGCAGGTACGATTGGAAGTAGGCGTTCCAGATGAAGATGGAGATGAACATGATGCCGTAAAGAGCGCATGACCCGATAATTGTTGGCTCCTTCAGGTACTTCCACTGCAGGAAAGGTACAGGGGTGAACTTGGCTTCCCAGAAGATGAAGACAGGGAACAGCAGGAGGCCGAGGACTATCATGGCGAGGATGTATGGCGTTTTCCAGCCCTGAGGAGCGTAGGAGACGAGAGTGAATGGGAGCAAGAAGAGACAAAATGCCGCCATGATGAGGATGATGCCAATGACTGATACTCGTTAGTTGTGTCGGGAGTAAATTGGGAAGTGCAACATACTGTCGAACTGGATGAAGTGGTGAGAGATGGACTGCACAACGGTGCGATTCGACTTTGTCTTGTGAATCACACCAGCTGCCTTTGCCTTCCGGTACATGTACATCATGATACCAGTGGCTGGCAGACTGCAGGCAATCAAGAGGAAGATGAAGGCACCAAAAGCCCAACGCCAGTTGTTGTGTTTAATGAACAGATCAGCAATTGCGGGACCGGCGAATGTGCTTGCGATGCGAGGGGTCTCGTTGAGGGAGAAGATAACCATGCGGTTCTTGAGAGTGGTCATATCGGCCACCATGATGGAGTTGACATAGAGGATACCGACGTGCCCGGCCCAGTACAATACGTGCCCGGCAATGTATGTCTGAACGTTGTTGCATGCGGCTTTGAGAGCCATGCCGACGAGAATGATGAGCAGCATAACGAAGAAACCCTCGACACGGCCGAAGACATCGATGAACTTGGATACGGCAAGAGGAATGCAGCCTCCGAGCGCGCTAGACATAACACTAGCAACATTGAGAAGACCGTGTCGGCTGAATGCTGAAGTGATCCAAGGGTTGAGTGATGCATCAATGGCGTTCTGCAGGTAGGCGACGAATTCGATGAGAAAAATGCTTGTTTCTGGTTAATGCCAGCCCGCATGGAAAGGACAGGAGTTCGCCTTACAAAATGAACATGGCAATGAGTGTCTGCTTGGTCCAAATCTCTGTAATTGCTCTCACGCGCTGTACACCGTTCTGGAACTTCTCCGAGTCGTCGTCCGCCTTGAGACCGCCATCGCTGGATGTCTCAACACCTTGGGAGTGTGGGTTGATGCTCTTCTCGACATCATACTGCCGCGAGACATCATTAGAAGGCCTGACGGCGTCGTCGAACGCAGTTGACGCCATGGTGTGATGAGGGGATGCAAACCCGAGGTGTGGCCGTCAAAGGCAAGCTCGGCAGGGGTTGCAAATTGAGATGCAGGAAAGACTTGGGTGTCGATCGCAGGTGCAGGTCGCACAGTTCTTAAGTACCGCGGTGTCAACTCTCCGATGACCGGGTAAGCATGGTCTACTCCCGTTACAGACTGAAAAATTTGCCTTGCCCTCCCACCCAGTGGCTTGGGATCAACTGCTACTGTTGGAACCGTGCCGCGTGCCCAGCGAGCGATGCTTACACTAGGGGATCAGATAAGGAATAGATGATCTGATAAGATCCAATCTGGCCACTCGCGCGGTTTTGTGGCGTCTTTTTGGCCCGCTGTAACATGCCGCCGGGCACTTAGCGGGGAATTTCAATGGTTGACGCGTGATCGGCTTGTCGAAACAAGCGTTGACTCCGAGGGCCCTGGACAGCGTGATGCTGCAATATCTGAATAGTGGGACCCGCCGAGCCGTACCGCCGACGCCTCTGAGGAGTGATTTCTGCATCGTTGACGGCCATTTTTGGAGGGAGATCGAAACAGCAGGAAGTAATACTGTGTGCTCCTTGCCAATGGCGCATTTAACCGCGCTTGCGGGGAGTAGGCAGAGCGATGACTGGGAAAATAGCCGATGGGTCGCGCATGCATCGGGAGATGAGCGTTCGTTCCAGGATCCAAATCCTGCACAATCCCGAGGCTCTAAAAGATCAAGCTTAAAGTTCTAGAAGAAATAGCGCAGAAGTTTAGGGAAATGTCGGGTCGAAAAGGTGGGATGGGTGCCACATGGACGTGGAGCACCAGAAATTGTGTCACTGTTGGGGGTGTGGGCGGAACAGCGGCAGCCAAAGAGTGTCGGCGCACGCCCCGTTTTCGTAATCTTATCTGATCATCGCGCATGAAAATCGCTGATGGCCCGGATATTTGCTGGACATTGGCTTGACGGATTAGGGCAAATGAACGCCTTATGCGCGAGAGGGTCTGTCATATGTGGTGCGCTGCGTAGTGGCTTTTGAACATGACGCGTGTCGAGTGACATGCCTAGGAAGCTGTGATGACCCGATGAGGTCTGCTACACCAGAACATTCTACCCAACAACATTCACTAAGCATCAAAACTACGATCAATAGGAATGAAAGAAATTGGTGGTTGACTATTAATGTGGCTAGGGAGTCGCATGGGCTTTTCGGTGCAAGGCAAGCCAGTGTGGTAGCCAGAGGCAACTCGTCCATTACCTAAGAGTATACCAAGGTGTTGTAGGGAAGACACCGCACGCAATACATAAGTACCCACTGGCGCGGCGTAGTTACCACAACCTCTAGATACTTCTACCTCGAGCTGACGAAATCGCGCGTCATCCGAAGCAATTCATTTAAATGGTGTATTCATGCATCGGAGGCCCCATTCCTAGACTACCACTGTTCCACAGTATTTCCGAGTCCTTGTATGCGTCGTAGGCTTATGCTAATCTTACCACCTAAAGGTTCGTAGCGTCCTCTCATGCCGACAATCCATGTTGGTCTTGCCCACCATACCGTCCCATCCCTTCTCATAGTACCCTCTCATCAGTCTTCGCAGATGGAACAATCATGTTTTCGTGGATCATACTCAGTAAGCGGTTGCCATTTCTCAAGTCTGCCGATCTTGAGATCTGTGATTTGGGCAGGTGAGGATGTATCCTGATTATGCCGCTTGGTGATGATTCGGAGAGGAGCAAAGCCGGGGCGTGCTACAAAGCAGTACCACAAAAACCTGTCGGCGAGGCAATTGAGCTCGATTTGAAGCCTCTGTGAGCGAGACCAGAAACTGTAGTCTGTACAGCGTCTGGATGCCAGGTATTGGGGCAAAACCTCGCTACGTATCTCATGCGCGGTTCCAAAAGACTAGTAGTAGCCAATGAAGCCTCGATCGATTCTTTTCCCGCGACGTTCGTTGAGCTTGCCAACATTGTCATTCCGTCAATTTGTTAACAGCCTCTTCATATAGCATAGACGGGAAAATGTGCCTTTGTCGACACTCATGGGGGCCGTCGCATTCTCTTCCGTGGCATGCTTTGTTCAATGGGATACGCCGACTGATTTCCGGTATCTTGTCGAATTAGAATCGTTAAGTTTGCTGGGGTGCTTTTTTTATCTACATACCATGCACCGGATGTACGATGACGTCAGCGTTCGAGTGTCGTGGTTGAGCAGTCAAGTATACGATCAATCCAATGTCGTAGAGGTTATCACTATTCACTACAAGTATAGGGGCAGCGCAATGTCTAGCGCGAAGAGTGGAGAGGGCCCAAACGAGTGAATGCCATGGGCAGCGCCGACAACATTCCGAGGCCGAATACAGCTATTTTCATGTAAAGTAACACGAAGAGAACTTATGAAGATAAATAAAGCTACAGATGATACACCAAGTTATTCAAGTCATTTGTGGCGCATAACAATCACCGACCACAAATCCTCTAAGCCCCGAAGGTAAACTTCCCGTCAGACACATGACAGCAGCCAGATATATCTAGCGCACGAACGATTTACGAAAGGTCAACTGTAGTGTACTGCTCATGCCTTGACATCTTCTTCTTCTGCGTCGGCATATCCACATTCGCATGCTCGATATTCCTCCACAACTCCTCCCGACTATCTGAAAGCGGCGACGGCCTGGCTGGACTCGACAACTGACTCATCTCATGCGCATCCTTCGTCCTCAGAGCTAGAGGCCGATGAACGTTCTGCACCGGGCGACTTCTGCTGCCGCCATTAGTTAGCGTCGCTTCGCGGCGTGCGTTGGACCGCTTGACGAAGATCGATCGAATGGCGGGGAGGTTGACAGCGATGGCGGCAAGACTCAGCTCGAGCGCGACGACGATGATGGTTTCGCCAACGCCGTTGGAGGTTCTATTTATGGAGAGGAGTTTGAGAACTGAGTGAAAGCGCAGGATGCCCAGAATGACGGAGCCGGCGCCAAAGGCGAAGACCGATATGACAGCAATCTTCTTGCGGAGTGGCATTTGTAGTCCGGCGAGAGTAGGAATTGGTAGGACGAAGACGTAGATGTCGAGTAACACATTCTATAGCTTGTCAATAGATGCGACGACGAGGAGTGTGAGGAGACTAACCATCGATGATGGCGCGAATAAGACAAAGTTGCGGTCCATGCATGTCGCGCTGAGACGACCCAAGGTTGTAAGTGCTGCCTTTACTGGGATACATTGAAAGACAAGAAGCAGCAGTCCAACCATGAGGGAACCGAAGTTGAGGCCATAGCCCACACCGATCCATGTACGGAACCTGCGGTTTGGAGAGAGGCGAAGGTAGTAAGTCAAGAAGGCGCTCTTGATGAGGAAATGCATGCCGGTGTAATATATCGACAGAATGTAGAGGTACTGCGTGCATGTCAATATTACGTTTCCTCGTGTCTCAAAGATTTACTCACTCTGACTAGGGCACCACCTGGGTCAAAGTAGTTGCATTTATTCGGCTCAGGACTGCTTTATTGTCAGTGAAAAACATAACGAAGTTGGCATGCCATAAGTTTTACCCTCCACAGCCCAAAGACAGACCAACTTGCCAAAATGCCAACGCCCCAACCAGGGCTGCACCGGTCAAAACGCCCATGTAATCATCTGGTTTCCATGTTTTGGTAACAAATTGGCAACAGTATATTCGAATCAAGCTTGACAAGATGCCCAGCGGATAAAACGTCCATGTAACAATGTAGCAGAAGACTTGCAGCGCGGAGGTAGCCATGATTGATGCAATGTAACCGCCGCGAATAAATTGACGTGAGGACGACAAACTCTACTTCTTACCATATCCAAAATACTTGCCATCATCAATCGGAGATAATTCATTGTGTCGACATTTCCGGTTCGACAAAGCTCTCCGAGGCGCTGGCGCCTTGAACAATTATCATTGTTCCAGCGCACGCCACGGAAAAGCTGGGTCAATGAGAGCACAAAGCATTTCTACATCACGATTTCATGTGAGCCGGTTGCAGCGTCTGATGCGATAAATGTTAAAGGCAGCGAAAACGTGAGCTTGAAGTCTGTCAGGTTGTGTTGGTGATGGTGTTCGTTTTGGAGCTGGTGTTGCTAAGGCCGCCACTGGCGAAGCCCAGGACGCCGTTCGGCCAGCCGCCCACCCCTGACTCGACCTGGTACCGGTGGTGCTGGTGTACTTGGTCGCAAGAAAATCTGCATTATCTCAGCTGAATGGTAACGCATCCCTTAGGATAAAGATGGTGGTATCGTCCATACGCTCGTCTACACTATAGTCACTGCAAGTCTGGAGCTGCAAAGTCCAATCTGGCTATGGCCTTTCGGGCATTGACGATGTTTGGAAGAGCATCAGAACGCCAGCCGGCTGAGGGCAAACCCATTCAGAAGTGGGTCGGGACCCCGCTCTTGAATGCGTCATGAGGTGGGGATCGGAATGCGCACTGAAGCACCAACGCCCAGAACGCTTACCCTCAGAACACGACTTTCGCATCTAGAGAGCAATATATTAAGTAGTAATCGCTGTGCTTTCATCAACGTCCGGTATGGTGTATCGGCTAGCATCGTTCGCTTTCATGGTCTATCCAGAGAGTTTCCGAACAGAGCCGGGTTCGATTCCCGGTACCGGAAGTAAAGCCACTATCAGTCTTTTTGCAGTTTTGGCTTGTCAGAAACTGCGGGGGACGTTGGGTAGTGTTTGAGTGACGCGGGACGTCATTTGGTCAAACCCCACCATTTTTGCGCACCGGAAGCAATCCAACTGCTCAATGGCGTTAAGCAAGTTCATAGACAAGCTTACGAGGCTACTGCGAGAAGCTGCTATGCTTCTTTCATTTTTGGATGTTATACGTGGTACCATACTATGCGTCTACATGTATGTCCTGCATGCTTTCAACTACAACGGCAAGCAAACGAAGGCTTCTAATAACCTGCAGCTATATAGAATGTTGCTAGGGTTTAATTGTGACGGCAAGCGTCTGCGTATAGCCTCAGGATTTGGGATCAGCTGCTACCTCTTGCACGTCGCCATGTAGGACATAGAGATATTCATTGCCATCTGCATATTATCACTCCGATCGCTTTGCAGGGTACATTATTCTACGCCTTATTTTGTGCAACTACGGTACTGCAACGATTCGGGTAAGATTCTAGAACTCACAATAGCAGTATAGCTTGAGTTGGTCCTGAATAGCTTCAACATTTCTTTGACACTCTACTAAATGCTGATGCGGCTTTGAATTCATTCAGGCTTAGTCACAATCCAAAAATGCATTTATGATGAGTAGACTACGCACGAACTTTTGGGGATCCTGTGGGTAAGGCCCTGGCTGACAAAAGTTAATCGTTCGCGAGCGATTCGGTGTCGCCAACATCTCCGTTACTGTTCTTCGAGTTCGTCTAAATTTTACGACGTTGCAGGAACGTACGGCTTCGGTACAGACGTATTGACGGTTGCATTAGGTAGATCTCAGCCTCTAAACAAATACAGAGTCCAACGCACAGTCATAGCAAAGCAAGGTTAATTTGTTGATGATCCAATTACATAGTAGACCGTTTCCTACGTTCCGCTATGGTCGTAAGAATGAGGCACCGAATCGCTCCCGTCACCAATTTTCATAAAGCTCATAATAATTCCAAACGCCAACTTTGAAAGTGCACCCAATCGCTCCGTCACCAGTTTTTGTAAAGCACTCAATGACTCCAATCGCCAAATTCCATAAAGCACCCGATCGCCCAGTCATCATGTTTCGTGATGCACCGAAGTGCTCCAGTGTCCATATTTTTCGCTCTCATCCAATTTCTCCATCGAAGACCCCTGGGCCGTCCATACACCATCGTTAGACCTTCAGTCCGCCAAGCCTGAAGTTCAAAGCCGACGAGAAGCTCTATATTGTCCGATACATGTCCGCTGAGTTCCGTCTATTCTTGAACATCGTCCTCTGGGAAATACTTGGCGAACAGGACAGCTGTGTTCTTGTAGTAGGCATCGGTTACTACTAAGAGCTCTCGGAAGGCCTGACCAATTCGCTGTTTGGGACGTTCACGCTCGGGCTCTACAGCCTGTGCTACTGGCTTCGGCTTGTCTTCGCGTACCGGGTCGCTCTCTTTGAGTTCCGGAGAGCACTTCGCGCGGACGGCGGCGACTCTCGCCATCATGGCCCTGAAATCGACTGAGAACTCTCGAAAGGCTTCACCCACTGGCCGTATATCATGGTCAGTTCCAGGCGCTACTGCTCGCGGCGCAGAATTCGGGTTGTCCACGCGCTCTGGAACGCTTTCTTTGGTTTTGACGAAGTGCTTAGCGATGACGGCTTCACAGAGTAGAGCGTCGATCTTGTGGGCGAGCCCTTCGTAGGACGCAACAAGTCGAGGTTCATCGCGCTCGGGTTCGGGCATTACCGTCCTCTTCAGTGCCCTCTTCAGCTGATCCATACGTACGAGCTCGCTTTGTTCAGCTTCCGTGAAGTACTTAACGATGAAGGCGTCGACTTCATCGGTATGGGGTTTCTCCGTAACCCTGAGCACCTGGTATGCCTGGCCGAGCGAACGATCAACTTTAGGCCACCCATTTCGCAGTGTAGTTTCTGGGTTGACCATGCGTACATGATGGCGCTCCTTGGCTTCAGGATACCTGGCCACGAAGGCGTCTAATATTCCCAGGCTGACTTTAGTTTTCGGAGGGCCCCTTCGGGTAGACGAACTAGTCTGACTGTGGGCAGACAGTACAGCTCGCGGCGCATTATTCGAACTATCTTCAACCTTTCGGGAAGTCGAAATGCCTTGGTCAGGCCCAGGCGCTGAAGCTTGCCGTGCAGCCTTCGGGTCGTCTATGCGAACTGGTTCGCTCTTTTCGTCCTCCAGTTGTCTAGCCTTAATGTTTTCCCTTTTGTTGAGTGTGGCATTGAGCTCTCGGTAGGTATTACCCGGCAGTCTGGGCTTGGACGGAGCAGTTCGTGGCACGTTCTTCGAACTGGCTTCGTCGTTTCCGAGCAACAATCGAAATGAAGTTTCCGCGTTGTTCACGGGTACTGGATCACTCTCTTTGGCGTTCGGGAACTTGCTCACAGGGGCGGCCAGTCTTCCGTTCGTACCTTTGCGTTTTTTCTGATACTCTCGGTAGGTGCCATCGGCCTTGCTAGTTTTCGACGGTGCAGTTCGTGGTGCGTTCTTTGAGTTGGCATCTCCCTTGCAAAAGACCGAGGCCAATAGCTCAGGCGATGGAGCTCGTGGTGCGTTCTTCAAGTAGTCCACCCACATCGGATCCTTCAAAAAGTGTGCTGCATAATCATGGGTCCACGATGGAGCACCGTCGCGCATACGCTTCAGTAGCGCTGTTGATACCGGTGAAGCAAGATTGTGCTCACGCTGGAGGAGCTTTGACAGGCGAACGTAGGCGGTTGCAGGAAACGGTTCAGAGACTTGTAGGAAGAGTTGCTTGAGCTGGTCATTGTTCATGTTGGTACTTGGGTCGACGATGTCATCGGGTATCGTTGTTTCTTCGTTTTGCTGAGTTACTTTGATGGCTGGACTTGACGCTTCAAGCTTGATGTGTTTCTTCGATTCGTCGACGTTGTCATTTGGGTATATGATGCCCTCCGGCACTGCATGGTCCGTGGCTCTTTCGTCTTGCTGAACTGCCTTCATGGTCGGAGTTGATGCGTCGAGCTTGATCCGTTTCTCGGGGTTATCGTTGCCCTCCGTGTTCTTCCGCTTAGGTCGTCTTGTTCCCCTGTTCGTCCACAAGTTGTGTGCCATCTCCGCCTCCCTCATCCACGCCTCCTTGCCTTTCTTCTCGAGTTCCTCGATGTCGCGGAACTTGATCCATAGATCTTTGCGCTTGTTGCCCTCGAATCCGGAAAGCTCAACCTGAAACCGCTTTAGGGGATCGTCACGCGGTACTGCCATGGTGACTGTGACTGTTAGTAATACTGTGCTCATTGTAGGCCCGACAACTTGCCGTGACTTTGCAGTATCGTTGGTCGTTCGCTAGTTCGACTTCAATTGTTCGTCTTCTTAGGAGCCTTGGAAGAGTAGAGAGTAAGTAAACAGAATTGAAGAGCGCGAGAAGGTTTTGTATACCTGGCCAGCAGCTAAGCAACGCTAGCGCTTTGAGGTGAGAGAGGGTGAGAGGCTTTCATACAAGAAGTCAATGTGTCTTAAAAAAGACCCATCCAACCAAAGTTGTCAAGCGCCCTTTGGCTTTTGGAGACGTCGCTTCGTTGTCAGTATAAACTGTACAGACATGCTATCTATCTTTCAGAAATTGCAAGGCACCCTAAATGTTGTGTGATATGTCACTGTTGGTGCTGATGGTAGTCTACATCTGCGGTGTGTACTTTATGCTGTCAACTGCAGCAAACGTTGATCGGGATGCAACAGCGTGAAGCTACACGCAGTGTTCGTAGGCTCTGAATCCGACGGCAAAATTGTAAGTATCCGTCAAAGCTTACGACCTGCAGTGTGTGGGGAAAGTGCACCTAGGCATGAAGTCGCCATGATAGCTGGACGAATTCCGTGGCTCCGTGGATACAATGAAATCAGATGCATCAAACATTGATCTGAAAAAGCCGTGTCCGACTCTGCAACCTTTTGGATATCATGTTCATCACATCCGACTTGGTCGAATTTGTGACGCGTTCTGAGATGACAAGGCACGAAACGTGACCTCGCGATCCGCACGCGACGGGAGCGCGGAAGCCATCACCGCCGCCCAGCCACAGCACTACGTCTCCAACCACCTGTGATGACAGCGACAACGACACCCAAGTCGACAGACACCATTTCTAGGTCGTCTTCAAGCTTGCATGGCCTTGCGACGCCTCCCTTGGCTCTCGAGGCGGTAGGCGCGCGCCCTCGGCGCATGCAGCGGCGGCCAACCAAACAAGCTTCCTACGAGCTCTGCAATCACGCGAAAGCCTATCTTGAGGGCGCGCAATGTACGCGAAGCATCTCACTCGATAAATACCAGCTCACGTGACTGCAGATGCAAGCGGTTATGACTTCTTGTACAGTCTTCTGGCTGCTGGGACCTCCATCTCTACCCCCGCACAGCCGTACATCGGCTTCCTCGCACCCCCCACATATCTCGCTTTCGCGTCATCATTAGTCGTATATCCCCGAGCAACAACCAAGACACACTCTAAAGACGCTAAGAAGGGCAGCGATGCCGCGTTGCGATATTTACGATGTGTTCACTCCACAATCGATGGCCCCGCATATCCCACCATAAGGCAGGCCTTCCGGTTCCCAGAAGAGTATTCTCGAAGGCGCGCTCGCAATCATCGCAGTGCCGCCACGAGCCTGTCTCCCAGAGCAGCTGACGATGTTCAGCATCTAGCTGGAGATGCTGCGAATGCAGAAAGTCTCTGGGCACAGGCTGAAGACTTCTGGCAGCTCATCGGATGGGCGTTCAATTGCTCAATACTGCACAAGAAACGCTGGGATCGATGGAAGCCATGGCTTGGCATAATGTTGGATTTCCTCGAAGCAGACTGGAATTTTTGCCAGAGAAGAAGCAAGGATGAAGTAGATAGGGATGTAATATTGCAGGAGAGTTTGTTATGGCACTACATCATCGGCCATACTGCCACCGTCAATCGCGCGACCAGGCGCCGAATCGTCAAAGCTGTATATGCGAATGCGTCACCTGAGTCGCTGAAAGATTTCACCGAGGTCTGGGAGAAAGAAACAGAAGGACCAAAGCGCAGGAAAGAAGATGAGCAATTTGGGAAAGTCGACTTCGAGACTGGCGACATGGGCGGCTATGACGAGGATGAAGAGATGCACGATGTGGAGGAGGAGCCCACTGATGACAAAGGTTCTGACGAAGACTGTGACGAAGAAGGACTGCGTGGGGCTATTGAACAGCTAGGGGGCGCCGATGCGATCGGACTGCGACAACGGCTCATAGCACTTGTAAGAGAGCTGTAAACATCTACCGTCCCCATGCTGACTTCTCCAGCTCACCGAAGTCGCGCTGAGCTTACCAGACGAATTCACGACCACAAGCGATTTCTTTGATAACGTACTAGAAGACTTCATTCGTTTGCCGAGCACAACCTTCAAAGTCCTCATCTCGACCTCCAAGCTATCAGGCCTGCCGCACGTCGCATTCTGCGCCAACCTTCTCTTGCCTTTAGTGAGCGGCAAGCTACCTAGCTTTCTCTACTACGAGCCTACTCAGCAACAACTGGAAACAAATCTTCTCACACTTAAAGGCACAGCACAGAGTTTTGCAATGAACTTCAAGATATCGCTAATTCTGGAGCAAATCTTCATGTACATGATGAACCAGGAGACGGTCAAGGCTACGGATGCCTTACGAGAGGCAATGGAGCAGGGTATTGAGGCAAGACAAGGCGTACATGGTACAGGCAAGGGCAGAAAAGGCAATGCCAAGGAAGAATTACAGGCAAGGGCACTACTGGAGGCGTGCTCAGAGCGACTGCTTGGTATGCTGGAGATGCTGGAAATGAAGGAGGGAAAGCCGGCGCAACCTTCCAACGTGACCAGCACAGATGCGCCGTCCTTCTTGTCGTTCGGAACAGGGTCCCCGTTATCGGATGCTCCAAGCACTGAGACCGATGGAGACGATTGAGATGGGAGTCAAAAGCAAACATATTTCCCGAGCTCCGAGCCGACAATCACTCCATTACCTGCAACTTCTCCACCGTTCGCGTTCACGTCGATCTACAACAGAGCCTTTCTTACTCTTTCCCAGCCACTCTTACTTTTCGACTCCCCCCTTTGTCCTCTCATCCCCAGTTTGTTGTTGCTCAACTCTCAACTACTCTGAACTAGCATTGACTATCAGGACCAAGGGCCTTTCACATACCGAGAACAGAGAGATCTCTACCGACGCGGACAAGACCTTTAGGATCGACTAACCTCATACAGTAATCTTACCAACCAAGACAGCATCTCGAGCAACTCAACATGTCGTGGACAGGAGCAAACCACAGTGGTGGAGGCTTCAGACCCAGCCGGCCAGATAACCAGCCGACCCGAAACACTGGCAATCACCTTCAACCGCCCGCCAGGACTCAGGACATCCAACGCCCTTCGAGACAGCCCATACATACCTTCAACAACCAGCGAGTATGTAGTCTAGTCCTCATAGCTGAGACATATTACTGACATACCTCAAGCCCGACCAACAGCCTCATTCACCATCACACCCTGCCTTCAACCGTCGTCTCTTCCAGGCCACGTCTACCACAGAAGACCAAAACCACCCCGACGACCTGCTCAAGTTCATCCCAGACCACGTCCAAGCCGTAGCCGACTTCGACAGCAGCGGCCCTCACCGCATTCACAATCGCGACATGTGCTCCATGATAGTCAAATACCTCGCCAACCCCGCTGCCAGCGACAATGAACCCACCTGGGGCATGCTTCTATACGACCACCTCTCCGCGCCCTCCACCCTCGCGCCAGAAATGAACCTGCAAGACCTGTACATCTGGGTCACACGCGTCGGTCTTCCAAACGCCATCATCGACAACCGCCGCTTCCTACTCCACTACTACCTATCCGAGCCATCCGCCTCCGCCTCCCTCCCCGTGCGCTACGACAACCAAGAACCCCTCGCAGCATACACTCCCGTCGCCGCTCTGCCAATGACCGCCCGCCCTGAGCGCAACCATCAAATTTTCCGCGCCTACCCGACGCCCAACGGCGCGCGGTTCGTGCAGTGGCTAGCCACCCCGATTCTGGGACCGGAAGGACGTTATGGACGGCTTGAGATGCCGGAGCAGATGGAGCATCGTGTCAGTATGCTGGATGGGTATTTGAATGAGGATGAGACGGTGGTTAGGAGGGTTGAGAGTAGGGCGATGCTCAAGAGGACGGTGGGGGTGCTTGGATTGCTTTGGGAGGTATGGAGGAGGAATAGGGTGTTGTTGGAGGGGCAGGATGGGGGCTGGTAGAGCGTGGATGGGGAGGGTAGGCTTTGGGAAAGGGCTATTGAAGGGATGGATTTGAGGGGAAGAGGATGTGGAGGAAAAGACCGTGGGATTTGAATGGGAAGGGTCACTGGGACGGCAAGACAGGATAGAAGATCTGGTGATGCATTCGATGGAGAATTGTCCTGTATTGAATGGAGCAATTTTTAATAAAAATAATTCTTCGCTTTCTAAACACAAAAGCACTGAGACTTCGTAAGCACTTACTAAAGAGCTTCACGTGCTCACGATACAACTCCTTGCAATTTTAAACCCAATGTTAGCGAGATAGCATCACGGCGCTACCTAGGAGTTGTCATCCCCACGTTCTGGGCGCCCCAAGTTTTCCCCGCATTGTGGTATGGCCTCTAGCGTGGCTCGGCAGTTACGATGAACCAGTCATCCTCCATGCACCATCACTCTTTCAGTCTCCTCGTCGCGACAGTGGCGCAATTATGCGGCACTCGGAATGCCACAAGGCTTGTTTGCGGAGCTATCTCGGCGTCATGATGTATGCCACCACATGCCGCTGCCCACAACCGCACCGACTTTCAGATAGCATCCTTGCACTTTAACCAGACAAATTCTTCCCGTAACAAGGATATCGACCGCAGCTCCTCGTCTAAGCCTAGTAGAGATAACAACCTCCGCGTTTCACTGGACCGCGGATGGTATCGAGCGTGCCGTCATGCTATCCGCAATTTCGAGAACGTTAGACCAGCAGATGCCACGCGAGCAGGACCGGGCGGTTGGAGGCGCACAAAAGTGATAAGAGGCGCGGCTGCACTGCGGGCCCTTTTCCCCGACACAAATCACTCGGCTGCTTGACGTAAGGGACTCGGTGTGAAAACTACACTTCCAATTGCCGTGCGGACGGCGCTGTCTCTCCGATACCTGGGGCAAGCCACAGCAACGGCGAGCTGATTGTCCGAGATACTTGGCGCGCGTCTGGGCCGGACTGCATAGCTTACGAAGGTACAAGTCGCCGAAGTCGTACGAGCATAAGTACCCAGGGGTTCTGCTGCGATCGTAGGCTGTACTGCATTCACACCGTCTGTGAGGACTCGGCTGCTCACTATGAAGGAAAATAATGTCTCAGACGAGGTACGTCGTCTATCTTCAAAGCCTTGCGACAAATACTGATTCTCGTAGGAGCGGCGGCAAATTGAGCATGAACTCCATACAGAGCTCCTCCCGGGAACGGAGGTCATGGCTGATGTGGGCTCGCATCATTTCGTCAAGGGTGCACATCGCGAGGTGCTCGTACCGCAGCCTAGTGACGACCCGAATGACCCATTGAACTGGAGCAATATGAGGAAACTCGGATGCATCACATCGGCTGCGGTGGTAGTAAGTCAAATTGTAATGCCTTCGCGCAAGAAAGTGCTCACGTGCCACAGACCTTCACCCAAGGATTTGGCCCATTGGCTCTTTCGCCTATGTTTCCAGCATACATCAAGGATTTCAAAACTGATTTGGCTGGAGCTGTGCAATTCACCGGTGTCTGTATCCTGGTTCTGGGATTCAGCAATTTCATCTGGTAAGCAAGCCCTCCTAGAAGCGCCGAGCTTTACTAAACTCTACAGGGCACCCATAAGTTCGTCTTTCGGACGCCGTCCCGTCTTTCTAGTTTCGCAACTCATCAACTTCGGATCCTCTATCTGGCGCGCCAGGGCAAACACCTACGGTTCTTTCATGGGCGCCTGCGTGCTCAACGGCATTGGAGCTGGACCTGCCGAAACTACCATGCCTGAAGTCATCGCCGATATCTTCTTTCTTCATGATCGAGGCAAGTGGAACACGCTATACTGGGTCGTCTACATGGGCTCGCTCATGGTTGGTCCCATTATCTCAGGCGCAATGACCGAGACGGTGGGCTGGCGCAACTTTTGGTGGTTTAATACTGCTTTGCTGGGTCTCTCATTCTTGATGGTCGTCTTCATGTTCCCCGAGACGCGGTACCTGCGAAAATTCCCAGGCGATACCGAAACCAGCACATCTGGGTCGTCTTTGGACGAAAAGATCCAGGAGCAAAGGACCGAGGAGACTACAACTGCCGATGGTAACGTCATTGAACACGTCAAAACAGCGGAGTCAGTTCTACCTGGCGCCAAAGACCTCACAGTCTCTGAAACAGCTGCTCGCGATCCTTTCCTCGGTAAAGGCGCACCCGGCAAATGGCAATGGCGCATCTTCCAGCCAAACGCCCACCCCTTCCGCAGCATTCTTCTCGATCTCTGGACGCCTTGGAAACTGTTTGCGTTTCCGATTGTAGAATTCGCCTCCTTCGTCGTGTCCTGGTCCTGCTCTAGCTTCCTCGCCATCAACCTGACGCAATCTCAAGTGCTCGCACAGCCACCCTACAACTTCAAGCCCGTTCAGGTTGGATTCACCAACTTCGCTATCATGGTCGGTGCGTTTATCGGACTTTTCACTGCTGGTCCGTTGAGCGATTGGGTGTCTTCTCGCTCGACAAGGAAGAATAATGGCATCCGAGAGCCGGAGATGAGACTGCCAGCAATGATCCCGTACGTAATCATCATGTTGCTCGGAAATATTGTAGTGTCAATTGGCTACGAGCGCAAATGGCCGTGGCAAGCCATTGTCGTGATCGGCTTCGGATGTGCTGGTATTCAAGTCGCAGCACTTCCTGGTATTGTGAGCACGTACGCTGTCGACCAGTTACAAAGCCAGTGGCCCGGGAAGTCTGTTTGGTAGCCATCACGGTCAACAAGAATTTATGGGGATATGGGCTTGGAAAGTTCATCACGCCATGGACTTTGGAGAGCGGGTAAGTTTGAGATGTTGTCTTGTTGTGTGCCAGCAGTGCTAACACGACGCAGCTTCATTAAGCCCATCATGACGAACGCAGCGCTCATTACTCTATGGTGTCTTTTCGGTATCCTGTTCTGGTGGAAGGGGTAAGACGTTCCGTCGCTGGACTAAGAACAGCAGCGTGCATCGCATGGGCTCATTGTAAGCTCCGCGCTGCATTCCGTCGATACACTAGCCATCCACTAAGACTACCTAATGCATCCTTTATTTCGCATCAAAATCTTCATCATCATCCTTCTCCTTCTTCCCACTTCTCTCCGTCGCCCTAACCCGCTTTCTAACATCATCCACCATCCAATCATTCTCATCCGCCCGGCCCTCGAACTCTTCATACCCCATGATCTCCATCTCCGTCAGAATCTCATTATTATTCCTCACCCACTGCCACTGCAGCACAATCTGGCTAGCCATAACAAGCAGGGCCTGATCGCTCCACCCCGCAACAACCTCATCCGACAGCATAAGATACCCGTCCAAGTCAGTGACATGATGCTTCATGCGCTCCCTCACCGCATGCGTCGTCCACCCACCCTGCGGCGCCGCAATCAAAGTCGGGATAACATTCTGTCGAAATGGCCGCCGCTGCCCGAGACGTAACTGCCCCATATCAATCCCATCCCCACCCGCACTTCCCTCCGGCCCAAGCGACGCAACGGTAATCGTATGCCCTCGCGCCATCCGCCTTCCACTCCCTCACCATATCATACCTCAACACCAGCCTAATCGCCAACTGCTTCTTGTGCTCATACAGCCTCGCCATCAACCCGCGATTCTCGGCAATCTGCTCCGGCAACAGCGTGCGCGTCACCAGAAACAGCACTTCCTCCAGCATCCCCCGCCCGCCCGGTTGGACATACACGTCCCGCAGTAACAACGGCCAATTCGTCCGCGGCGTTACTTTCTCCAGCAGCGCATTCACCACGCCTGTGCAGCCAACGTGCGACAGTCCGAACTCTAGAATCGCGTCTAGACTCGCTTCCAAAGTGCCGGCGAATGGGCTGGGGACGGTGGGCGGAAGGGCGTAGTGCGCGGGCAAGCTGGCTATGCGCAAGGGTGTGGGTGTGTTGATGGATGGCGCGAACTCGCTGTCGACGGTTTCGGCGCGGATGTTGCGGACGCCGCGGGTGGCGACGCCGGCGCGACGGCGTGGTTGGGATTGGGGTTGGGGCGTGGCGAAGGAAGAGTCGGAGATGTTGCTATAGGCGCGGCTGCGGGCGCGGGCGCGTGGGTGGGTAGTGCGGTGGTTTGGGTTTGGGTTCGGGTTGTAGGCGGCCATGGTTGATGTGAGAGGTGGTGTTGAGAAGGAAAGATGGTGGTGTTTTTGGAAGAGAAGAGTTGTAGTTGAGGAGGATGAGGTGAAAAGTCGTGTGGTGGGAATGACCTAGGCTAGGATGGAGCGAGGTGAAGGTGAAAGTAACGCATGTGGAGGTAAGTAGAAAATCTTTCTCCAGTAGGCTCGTGTATATACAAATGACGCCTCGAAACTACGCACAACTTTTCGTTCATTATGTTGTTCTCTTATATCAGCATCAAAGCACTCTGCCGAGAGTATTCATTACCAGCTGTCAATTTGCTGAAATCAAATTTGAGCCATGTCAAGACTTGGTGAGTGATCAATTCGCTGCACACTAAGTATCACACGCTCATTCGAGGTTTGTATAAAGGCCGTGGTCGTCTTGTTCACACTTGTTCTCAAGCCGTCAGCGGCAGACTGTTTGTATTGACGTATTGACGTATCTCGAGTCTGCTTGGGACTGTGCTAAGTCGTTCCAAGGCACCAACGTGCATTGACCTTCTTGCGACTCTCGCGCTAAGCCTTGTGCTCCCGTTGTTGCGCACTTTGTATTTATACCCCAAAATGTTCTGAACTGGAACATTCTCCTCTCCATTAACATATCAACCACGGGTTGAGTCGAGACTCAGCGCGACCATCCTTCTCTCTATACCACTTCCATCGACAATCTAGAAGCGAGGTACCAAAGATTGGTCAACCATACTCTAATCATGGGAGAACAGACGCGGCTTCGGACTTCTACCCCGCGCGCTGTGAGTTTTAAGCCAATGTTCATTTGCATATGTACTGGGCGCTGACTTTATATACTACAGAAAAGCACGGTTGCGCTAGTAACGCGCTTCATTGAAGATGAGAGCGATCGGGATATCTACTTCCTCCGGAGTACAGGTAGACTGAAAATAATCCCGTGTGCTAGGCGTCGCGCAGTTCGGAGTAAGAACGGATCAGTCAGTGACATTGTGATCAGAGAGTCGGGATATGAAGACAAGATACTCCGTATCCGCAACAACCCAAATCCCACGCTGAAGGGAAGGGGAATCGATGATCCTTATAAAAGATTGGAAGTTGGCGCTGGACCCAGATGGCTTCCACTAAGCGCTTGGTTACACTGCCATTACGATGACTTCAGGATCAACATTGAAGCCGACGAAGATGTAAGCATCGCATTCCTTTGTTAATCTGCGCAGACTAACTCGTCGGCAGTTCCATCCCTATAGGTTGTTGAAGTCGTACTTCCACCGGAGACGCCGAACAGACTTCACATTCTGGAGAAGGTTTCGAGATCTTAAGATCACACAGACTTTGGTCGACAGCGCTTCATCATGGCGCTGCACCATATCTTCCACTTCCGAGCTGATATTCGAGGTTGAAGTCCGCCTAAAACGCAGCGGTGTACAACCAGTTATCTCCCCAGCGTTGTCAGATCTTGAAGTCAAGTCATCCGAGGACTGGCAGCCGTTCTTGGAATGGGAGGCAAGTGCACTCGAGATGCTTGAGATATATGGTGATAGTCTCATCGAGCAATCGGCATGGTGGGCAGACAACGGGATGGTATTTCAACTGATGGACTTGCCTCTTGAGCTTCGCGAGACCATCTATGACCAGATCACTGGCCCTTATCTATGGCCGCATACAGCCCGAATCCAACCAGTGCAGTTGGGACAAACATACACACGGTCCAACTTGGAACCAATCAGAATGTTTGATCCGACCATGGTTGATTGGAGAGATCCTATATGGAAGCGTCTCATTGGATCTTCGCAATTCCACCTTGACCCCTCTGGCAATCGACCTCCTCCATTTACTTCGATAATAGGCACAAACACTCAGATCAAGTCAGAGTTCTGCAACAACGCTTATCGGAACGCAACGATGCATTTTCAGGACGACTTCAACTTGCATCTTGCCATCTGCAGTCCCCAGATTAGCTGCCACATTCGCTCCATCTCGATCGGATTTCCGAACTCCTCCCTCTTCAATTTTGTTGGCTTTGTACAGCATCATCATCAGCCGTTCGTTCCCATGGACCGTATCCCTGTCAAGATTCTGTGTCAATTGAAGACATTGGAACACATTGAATTTCATTTCCAAGTTACACCACCGCGCCTACCCAACGGGATGCCTTGTTTGGACCCGTTTCTTCGCCAGGTACTGATGAATAATATGACGGATGTCACCTGCCAGAAGGTTTTGGTAGACTGGTTCCTCACGCTAGCGCTCGCCTACATTCGACACATTCCCCACATCTCAATCTCAGGACATGTCAAGAACAGCACACGTGCTGATTGGGAAGCTATCTTCGAAGACGAGCGTCAGGGCATTGAGCATGACATGTCTGCTCAGGTCCAAAACATCCTCTCATTGCATTGGACCAACTTGTAAGTAAGGTAAAAAAAGAATACCTGCGTGCTCATACTGACTGAGGCATTCTAGTCCAATGCTCTGTGCTTGCCAGCACCCCTGCGACTGGTGGAAGCAGCGAGGACCCTATCCAGAGGGTGAGCGAGATCCCAATTTCAACCCGATGCCGCAGCCCTCAGACATTGATTACGAACCTCGAAAGCATGATCGCTTCAATTACGAGGGTTAGCGACGTGAGCAACTTGAGCGATACATCTTTGCGGTGGCTTGGTCTCGACTATGGCCCCTGGGTTTGGAAGTGTGTGCAGTATGGTTCACGATGGCTGGTCTCTTGTAGCAGAAGGAAATATCTGTACCGATGTGGTCTGAAGATTCCTGATGATAAATTTATGTGGACACTAGCCTGTATCTGAGAGAAGTAATAACAAATATCCCAAACTACTGTGCTCTCTGTTCTGAGATACTACTGGGGTGAAAAGCAGGACCTTTGATATAGAGTGGTGGCTTCAGAGCTTTCAGTTTGGGTATAAGTGTGTGAGAAGTTGTACAAAAGGCAAGAAGGGTTCTGAGCAGACACGGACACAGTAAAAAATGTACAGTGGGTTTGACTGAGACAAAAGGCAGCACACTGCTCAACGCTAGCTCTGGAGAGAAAGCTATAGTAGTCATATTTGTCAATACCCCATAGATCTTTGTGCACGCCGCAATCACCAACGGGCGTGAACGTCGCTAATGGTGTTCGGGCCGAAGTAGACGTCGACATTACAGCGCTTGCTAAGGGAACAATCGATGTAGAGCTGAGTAATTCGGTCGAGCTGGAGGCTGGGACTGAGCTGCTGAGAGAGAGTACCGAAGATGAAGAGGTGGCGGAGGACTGGATTTCCAAGCTTGTGGTGATTGATCTCGCCGCAAAGCAAGACCTCTGATAAATCGCAATATAACCCACAGGTATAATTCCGGTTGTATCGTACGGGATATCGTACAAGAAGCAGTCTGCATCGGACCGAACGAGAAGGGATTTGCACCGGTCTTGATTGAGACAACGTGTGCTGCATTCTTCGAGGTTAGCCGGAAAATCTTCGTAGTAAGAGCCGGTAAAACTGTTTGGATAGTTATGCGTGCCGCAGTCACTATTGAGAACAGAGGTCGCCGATGGGACCGGGGCTGCTGTTGTAACGACCGTTGTGGAGCTGACGGTTGGAGTTGATGAGCTTGCCACTGGAATGGAAACCACGTTGGAACTCGTTGAAGATAATGAGGCCACGATAGGCGAGTTCACAAAAGAGCTGGTGGACGATGAAGTCGTGGAGGTAGTAAGAGCAGTTGAGGACGAGGCGGCAGACGACGATGAAGATAATGGGATCGCATCACAGTCACCAAATCCGGGCTGACATCCCTTTCCACAGTAGTCTTTCGAGCTACCACTACAAGAAGTCAGTATGATAACGACTGTCAATGTGCGATCTGGCGGCAGTATAAGACATACCAGTAGGAGTATTGGCTGCAACAGTTGCCATATTTTGATCCGCTACAAGTCATGCCCTTCGGTGAAGCATTGTAAAGACTGCCGCACCGACCGTTGTTCGACATTGACATAACTGAAGAAGGCGAAGCTGATGGAACAGAAAGAGTGGAGGGAGGAGTAGCCTTTGGAGGCGCAGACGAGGTTGAAAATTGCTCCGAAGCAGAACATTTGCCGTATAATGGATTGCAACCTTTGCCACAGTAGTTGCGGTTGGACCCGCAGTAACCATATTGACTAAGCTCAGGTCAGTCCTACAGGTTTTTGATCCAGTGTTTGTACACTTACCTGCAGCAGTCTCCGAAAGTGGAGCCAAGACATGTCGCTCCTCCCCTCGTGCCGCAATCGCCATTCTTCGACAAATTCGATTGTATGACAGGTGCTGGAGACGTGGTGCAAGATCCTCAGCCAGTCTGGCAACCATCGCCGCAGTAGTCTTTCGATGAACCACAGTAGCCATTTTTCGAGCAGCAGTTGCCAAATGAGCTGCCTTGGCAAGTAAGAGCAAAAGCTGACCCACAACGAGCGGTGCGACTGATAGCCGGAGACGCTCCTTGCGCGATATGCACGGCAGCAAGCGCCGCAAGCACCAAAGTAGAAAAGCTTGGCATGATGAACGAATAGTAGAACGGTAGTGAACGACAATGACCTAGCAAGGACACAAAGATTGAGCAACTGTCAGTTTTCCTACAATAAGAAAGTAAGAAGTACAGAAGTCAGCGCGTGGAAAAGACGAGTTCCTATACAATATCGCTCACCCTGACTGACTAGGTGATGCTAGATGCTAGTGCAAAAAGAGCGCATCCTCAGCTGGCAAAATTGCAGCCACCAGGGGCGGCGACACCGGTAACTCCACGCTACAGTGTGAGTCAAAGTCGACGCCTGAAAAGTAAAGAATTGTGGAAATGACAGCTACAGGTAGTTGAACAAGGCTGGCGCTATTGGTAATACGCTAAGGCCCAAATCGAGTTTAGATCGGACCCCTTTGCGGGTGAGGCTGAGAGCTTACATCTAGAACGCAACTCCGTGCCCTTTTGCACAGGCAATAACGTACGTTTCTCCAGCTGAGTTCAGAGAATTTGCACGGAGCTGCCGATTCCACGACAAACCCATGACGAGTCATTCTCGAACCTACCTGTAGCAGGTGTGGCTTAGCGACCTCGAGAATGTCGATACAGCATCACGTATTCATGCCTCTGGAACGAGTAGGTAGGCTTCGAATTGAGTTCCGATTGACTTGATTATGATGGTTTTCAATGTACCTGTAAACGTACGCATTTCGGCGTCCTGTCTTAGTGTACCGTATGACTACATAGTGTGCACTCAACAACCATTTTGTAGTCAATTGAAAGCTGCAACATTATAAAAACGCGGTTGGAACCGCAAGAGAAATGGAGGTACTACGTACGCTACTACGCTGTCTACATATGATAATCTGCATGCTAGACAATAAAGATATATGAAACGTTCAAGACATACAAAACTCCAAACCATCTATAGCAATGCTCAAAGACCAGAGAACAATACAGTCCTCTCGCAAAGCAAGCCACCAACAAATATAGCCAACCACCCAAATCCCCCCCATCACCTCATCCCCTTAACCTCTCGCTACAACTCCTCAAAATTTATCGCCCTAACCACCCACTTCCCGCCTATCTGCCGAATTTTCCACTCCGAGTCCCAGATATTCATCCCGTCCCCTGTATACACCACTCTTTCAAAAAAGCTCAACAGCCTCTTCGTCCGCGGCCCAACCACACTCGTCTCGATGCCAAATTTCTTCAAAAACGCCCTCGACACCATGCGCTCCACCTCAGTGCCGAATACACGCAAGTTGAGTCTACCGATGTTCTTCGGCGCGCCGGGATACACGATGACCGCGAGGACGTCTCGCACGGCAGTGAATAGTGCTTCGATATGCAATGCTGCTTGGATTTCAGGCGGTATGGGCGATGAAGCTGTGATGGGTGGGAGGTTGGTGGTGATATTCAAAATCTCGATGCGCTTCCATGACGCTGGTTCCCCGTGAGGTCGACTGAGCCATGTATGGCGCACTGTACCGTTTGGGAGCAGTGTGCTATCAATGGTTAGGGGGACATGGCTTTGGAGACTTTTCGCTCGGTAGAGAGTCTCGTGGCGAAGTGCCGAGCATGTATGGAGCAAGGCGTGGTGGAATGGCGGGATTTTCGGCCATGTTTGTGGACTGAAGGGTGCGAAGCGTGTGGGCTCGGTCCAGCCTGGGAAGAAGAGCACACGGTTTGATATCGTGGTGTGTGCAGTAGGAGAGTGAGTACTGGGGTTTAGAAGAGCTTGGTCGATGATCATATGGAGCACTTCGCGAGGGAGCTCCAGGAGATGTACCATTGTGATTGTGTTGAGATGAAGATGGGTTTTGTAAGTATCAGATTCGTGACGGACAGTGATTTGTGAGATTAGAAGAGTATCTCAGAAGCATAATTTTTATTTGTGTGTTATTTCAGGGTTAAAAATGGTGTACCATGTTTCCACAAATCCACGAAACGTTTTGCTACCCGATCAGGAAGTATGGCACCCTACGCAACCCGAACCAGGATCCTGCAAAGATATCGGAGCAATCCAATACGATCTGGTAGAAACCTCTCCCCCCTCTACTCTCCAACCCCTTTCCTATCTCACTTGCCAAACACCCACCATGTCCTTCCTCATCTGCCCACCGCTCATCTCGACCTCACCGCATCTCCCTTCTTCGCCCAGCTCTGATCCCTCTACATTCACATATGCATAATCACCGTACCGCGCAGGGACGCTTCAAGGACTCGATGACCCATAGATATCACCGAGCTATTTGTAGTTTCTTAGGTTGTCTTGATTGATGTCAACGTTATATTAAACCTTAAGATACAACAATACCTAAGATCATTCCGAACAAGGTCTGATCTATGTCAGACTTCTGATACATATCAGAAGTACAATTGAACCCATCACAAAGATATGAAAATATTGGGTCTTGAAGCATACCAACAACTGATGTTATCATACAAAGTCACACAGCTAGATTAGCAATCCCGCATCAGGTGCCACGGTATTCACCTCGCCCGCCACCTCGCAAGCCCATCGACCTCCACATCCGGCGTAGCTACATCGACAGTTTTAACCCACCACAATATTCCTCCTCACGTTCCCCGCCCCAGATCCTCTCCACGCCCACTCATATCGGCGACATCCATTTCTTGGCTAGGATCTACCATATTATCTCTATTTCCGCCTGGTGAGATACCTCGGCCGCTAACTCGCGATGACGGCGCTCGGAAGATAGAGCTACACTTGAAGTCCGAAAATCTTGCTGCACTTGCGAATAGACTTCAATCTATTTTTTTGCTGTGACGCGGCGCCGAAAAGGTACGATAGAGGCACTAACTCGGACCGAAACCGTGGTATGGTATGTAGTCTTACCTTTGGAGCTAATCCACCCTAGCTTACCCATCTTCCTACACAAATAAATCCCTGAAGCACATCGCACTCACTGAAGCAAAGCCCACAAATCCCACATTTCCATCCTTGACATGACGTAAAAGGTTGAAAGCAAATCAAAGATCAAATCCCGTTAATTAAAACTGTATTCTTCGCTGATAAATAAACCCTCATCTCGCCTAGCCAGGCGGATCTTATCGCTTCCCGAATGAATCCCACGTCCTCCTCTCGCTGTGGCAGCCATAGATATCAACGCTCATCTTGCAGGTATATACTCCAACAAATCGCACGTACATATACACCCCTCCAAACCGCTTCAAAAATGTACACAGCTCAACAGTGGTTTATGCCCCACTCGAGCTAACCGTCCTCTTCCATCCGCCCCAATTCCACCCTCCAGCAGCCTGCGCCGCACCCTCGTTCTTCTTCTCCCCGCCCACAACCCCACCTGGACTAGGAATCGGACTCGTCGCCTGACCCGACATGACCCTCTTCATACCCTCAAACCGCGCCCTCATCTCCTCGAGTTCCTGCTTCGCCACGGCCTCCGCGGTTTTCGCGTTGACGAGCTCGAGCAACAGAGCTTCGTTATCGGCAGGCGCATTGTTGTCTGTTGCGAGGATTTGCTGGGTTGCGAGGGAGGAGGAGCGCTTGGAGAAGACGGTGGTGGGCGGGTGTTGGGATTTTTGAGAGGGTGTGCGGCCGAGGCGGAGTTCGCGAAGGCCGCCGGATATGCTATCTGCAGTGGTGGAGCGGGAGAGCGTGGGAGGCGTGTCTGGGCCAGAATCCGCGCCTGTCCAAGATGCCACTGCTGAATTCTTCCGAGCGTTTTGCTTCAGGTCTTGGATAGTCTTTTCCTGCTGCTGGACCTGGTTATAGTATCCTTGGGCGCGGTGGCGCGTGTCTTTCAGCGCGTCACGTGCGGACTGCAGTTCGGTGTCGCGGTCGTTGAGATCGCGCGCGAGGGCTTGTGCGCGGGCAGTCTCTGAGGCGAGTTGTTCTTTAATGCGGGCCATGTTCTCGCGGAGCACTTCCTTGGTCTCAAACATGGACGACGCACGGTGGTGGGTTGGCTCGAATGGGAAACGCGTTTCCAGCGTGTCCACAATTTCGATGGCTTCTTCGGGTAGGCCCGAGTTGGCGGAGTCTTCTGGTGGTGGTATCACAGTTGCTGCTGTGATGGTGGTTCTGCGCCTCGATGAGCGGGATGTGGGTGGCGCGAGTGTGGTCGTCTTCTTCCGGATCTTGTCGACTACAGTGCGCACGATGCGGGTATCTTCTTTGCGGTCTTCGCGCTGCTTCTGCAACGCAGCCTCGAGCTCGCTGTTCTGGCGTTGCAGCTGGCTCACAGACATGAGTAGCTGTTCGATCTGGTAGTCCAGATCGCGCACCCTCGAATTTTGACCCATGGCGACGGAGCCGTGACCTGACTTCAGTGAGAAGGCGTCGGCAGTCGATCCTCGAGACATATCAGTCAGTGCTGTGCTTTGTGTCGCAGCAGAGGAGTCCGAGTCAGCGGTTGAGTTGAGGGTAGAGGCGAGGCTCTGTTTAGAAGCAGATCGTCGCAGAAAGCTGACAGGCCGCGATGGCGCCGACAACCCCGGACTGAGGGCCACTGATTTAGTGGATGAATTGGAGGGTCCCCACAAACGACCAAGGAACGACATCGCCGACTTCTGGACTTGCTGTTTCGATGTGTCTCTTTCTTGTGACTCCTTATATTGCTGCTCGAGCCCCTGCAGCCTCTCACGGGTGACGTCGTTGGTGAAACCGACAAAGTCATTCACAAGCTCGTCTGCGGAATGGGTGTTACGGCCGTACGGGTCCCACAGCTGTCGGCCTAGGAGAAGCTGCATGACATCTTCAAACTCGCTTAATGAGAGAAGTTTTTGCTCATTGCGCTTCATCAGCGCCAGTGCAACCCTCATAATCGTCTCAGAGGCGCCCTCGGCGAAGAGGACGTCGTAGATGCGGAAGAGCATAGGAAGCGGGCATGTGACGGCGAAGAACGACAGGAACCATTGCGATAGGTATGCGGATTCGATGCCAAGTTCGTCAAGGTGTTTTGCGAGCTGTGGCATGTGCTGCGCAAGGAGTTGCTGGAACTGGTAGATGCGCAGATGGAGGCCAGAGAGGTCTGGAAGGAAGCAAGATCTTAGATCGTAGTCTTCCATGAGCCTGGATATCATTAGCAGCCGCATAAAGTGAAATGGTACTGAGTTGCTCACCTGACAAGCACGCAAAAGGCCTCCTTGTCGCCCATCTGCATCAACAGCGGGCCAACGAGGAAGCCCAGACCCTGACAGTACCCAACCTTGTGGTCATACAAGCTGAAGCACTTCAAGACGCGACCCAGCATCTTCTGGCCTTCGCCTTCAGGGTCTTTGAACATCTCAACACCCGGGAAACTTCTCCCGAGGTCCTTGTTGATGATGTTCTCGTGCGGACTTGATTCGCCGCATAGTGTGTCGTATTGGTCCTCGATCAGCTTCTCTCGCGAGCCTGATGCGCTCTGCCAGACAACACCACGCAGTGGCGCTGGGATGCCTCCGCGGATCTTGTTAAGACTCAGGGTCGGCAGTCGCTGGACTGTTTGTGGATAGTCGCGGACAAGAGCGGCCCAGAATTCGAGCTCGGTCATGGGTGGAGGTGACGGTAGTTGCGAGAATCTGACCTGCGAGGCTTCGTCTTCCTGTACGAGACGCTTCAGCTGACCAAACGAGGGCGGTCGAGACTGGCTACGGGCGCGGGAGGCTTTGATGCCGGCTTTTGAGTCGGACATGAGGGCGTTGTTCTCTTGCTCGAGTCGTGCGAGAAGGAGTGCCATGGCCTGGGAGTGTTAGTCTTCACATGCAGTCTGCTCCGCTGAGAAAACCCACCTTGTCCTGGCCCTCGCCCTCGGGCTCCTGTTCTTCCTTCTTCTCCAACTCGGCCCAGTCAACGGGCTCACTCTTGCCCGAGTCATCGCTTTCTCGCCGTAACCGCGCCCGTGACTTTCGCGCGTCGTCGGCGTCGGCGTCGGCGTCATGTACTGACACAGTCGGGCTGCCTACTGTGCGTGTCTCGACGCTCGCCTGGCTGTCGCGGCGTCCAAAGGCCTTGAGTATCTCGCTTGAAAAGGGTCGTGACGACTCTGGCCTCTCCTCTACTATAATCTGTGGTTGCGACACCGATTCTCTTACATCTTCGTCGTCTGGGGTCGTGCCTGCCTCTGACAGTGGCACGGTGACCATTGAGTCTGTTGGTAGTGGGGCACTGTCGACGTGAGTCCTGGGTGACCTTGCGACCGTCTCTTCGACAGTCACGGTCGCAGTCGCCATCTCTGAGGTCATGATGGTGGTGGTTCGGTCCGTTTCTATGTCGTATGCGGGTACATGTACCGGGTATCGTACAGTCAAAGCAGTTGGCAACAGTGGATGCGACACCTATTTGATGTTTGTTGTATGCAGAACCAGTTGGCGCTTGGTTGCGAGAACCGAAGAATGCTGGCGTTGCTTAGGTTTCGAAAGCGTGGAACTCGAGGTTTGAACGACTGGGATGCGTCACTGCGTCACTGCAGCGCAACCACGTCAAATCCGGGGCTGAATGACACACTCGCTCGGGAGCAATCCCGACGGCTAGCAATAAAGAGCGGCTTCGCACTGGGTGCGAAAAGACGTTACGGCGTAAAAAGAGCGTCGAGGCTGCAAAGAGGGGACAATACGGATAAAGCTCGAAAGGAGCATCAGGAGGTCCCTTCGTTAGCTTATCGCGAATGCGGCAGGGTCCACCGCTCGACCTTGGCTAAATTACCCCCAGACCAATTGCCGCACACCGCACAGGCGTCCCGATCGTCGACCTGCGCTGCTGCATCGACTATAGGCTGCAGTTGCGGTGTGAATGCTCGTGGTTCACGCGTTGATTTAACCTCGCGCGGCGAATGCGGTCGCATGTGTGGCCGCCGTGGCAGTTTTTCCGCCACGAGGTGACACGCGAACGTAAACATGTAAAACACGCCAAAGACTTGCGACACGGCCAATCACACGCGAGACGCCCGTTTAGTCAGCACGTGATCCTTCACGCAGGTACAAAGACTCTTTCCTCAACACTTTCCAGGACTACCGAGTCGGTGAGCAGAAAATCCCAAAAGTGCGGGGTATACCTCGAATGATATAGAGCGGCATTGGCAACTACTTCCGCTTCCACTACTGCAAACATGGTCCTGGCCCACAGAACGGCAAGCGCTACCGAGCTCTAAGCTCACCGACTTTCTTCATCACGATCTAGATCACCTCATCACGTCCGATCAACGCTGCCCTTCGCATGGAGATATGTGATGCTGCAATAGAGACAGGCAGGTCTTGAGCAGTCGTTTGATCATCGATGGGACTTTTCTCACATCTGTCGCTCGTACTCTAGAGTATGCACTGTGTTGATATTTTCTTCTCTACGTGAACCTGATTTGAATTAAGCTAGACAGATGATGATGCAAGCAGTAGCGTGAACCGTTGAGACTAGCCTATGAGTACTGCGTCATGGACGATAGCTTGCACGTTGCAGAGTGCGAAACGATGAGGTTTATTTTCCGAGAATATATTATATAATAAAACTCATTTTCTTTCACATACGACCATAGGGCGTTGAATACAAGGCTTCCCGTCCGCTCAGCCATATTTAAGCAGCGCACCGGCGGATTAGTAGTCAGGTGGGTGACCACTGGCGAATCCCCGCTGTTGTATGTTTTTGTCGTTTTTGTCGCTTCGAATCAATGGACCAGATATGGTAACAAGGGAGTGTACATAGACAATTCACCGCTTACAGCCAGAGACATAGGTGTACTCGCCTACAGCAGTAGTAATGTTTTTCGTGACAGTGATATACTTAGGCTTCTTAGGATGTTGAATTTGAAGAAATGCTAATCATGTCCGAGTCATAATGAGGTATAGATGCTGTGGTGTAGTAGTTGCGCGCGTCATCCGAGGATGAAGTAAGCATGATAGTACCCTCCTGAGGGTTTAAGGAGGCACCGACAACAATCGAAACTATTGAGATATCACATTTACCACCCCTCCTCCCGACTGCGGGTCGATCCCCTGGTCTCATATTTGCTATGAGAAGGTGTCATTGCAACAATACCATAAGGTCTGTGAGCCTGGGGGCTGACATCGCTACAGAGACTGTGGGACGAGCAGAATATTAATATCAATGAGGTAGCATGCGCTCACGCGCTGCAGTAAGAACGTACTGACATTGTGTCTTTCCACAACTGCCAAGTAGATCAATTTAACACGCATGGATGATCGCAGCAGCCTTTCAAGTAGGTATAGCTTAGTCAAGTACATAATCCCCACTCAATTATGACGCAGCGATCAATTTCATAGCACTCGTTACCACAGCGACGTCACATCTCGGGAAATCTGTAAGCGAGGCGGGTAGATATGCGTGTTTGTGGAACTGGCACAAGCGCGTGGCGGTGGTGTAACATCACACCATGCGGAATCGAGACATGGGGTATGATGCACGAAACAACACATGTAGAGTGAGACATGAGGTAAACTGCGCTACTGAGACATTGAGATACACGCGGGGAAGAAGAGGGGTTGCACAAGCACTTTCACCAGGGAAGTAGACGAGTTGCGGAAGCACGTTCTCAAATAACATCGGAGACCATGGCTTTGTGCATAGCAATCGCATTTTTCTACATAACATAGCCTGGCGATCTTAACGCTATGACTGCGAAACACCAGCTCTATATCCAGATACTAAAACAAGCCAAAACAAAAGAGTCTAGTTGCGCGTGGCGACTAGACGAGAAGATGGTACGAAAGTGCAACGCTTACTGACATCTGGGACTATGCGACGGCCTACAACTCGTCATCGTCGTCGTAGTCCTCGTCGATCACGATGTCGCGAATGGCGCGGGGAGTAGGCGCAGGCTTCAATTCCAGGGAAAGGACGGGGCTGACTACCTCCTCGATGGGCTCCTGTGGCGAATCCTTGGTCTCCGGTATGAAATCCTTGGCTAAGGTCTGCTTCTCATTGCTGTATTCCATCTGCTCATCGGCATCCTCCTGGATGGTGATGACCTGCTCTACTAAAGTCTCGATTGGGACGACAGGCTCCACGGCCTTGAGCTGCTCCTCAGTGACGACAGTCGCGACAGACTCAACGTTGAGCGTCGTGAGAGCTGCCTTGAAGTCCTGAGTGCCGGGCGACTCTAGATCTGCCGGCTGGTCAGAAAGATGAGCGTCAGAAATCCACGTCAAAACATCAACAAGCGTACCTTGATCCTTGGAAGGGGTCTTGGATTTCAGGATGGGCGAATTTCCAGGCGTGTGGAGGTCTGAGGGTACGTCAGAAAGGCTGCTACCGGAGCTCCAGCTGAATGCACGAGTGCGGAGAGGGGAGTTAGGTGGTAGACTACCTGGGGGAGAAGTGCGAATCTGCTCCGGGTCGTCGAGACCAGCCAGTTGCAGCAACTCCTCGTCGCTGTCATTCAGCTTGGGCTGCTTGGTCATCTCGATGGCGGCCTTGACGGTGAGCTCGGCGTCCTTGGTCTTCTTAACAGGGGACTTCTTGGTACGCTTCTTCTTGGGCGTAGAGATCTTCACCGCCTCAGCACCCTCGTCTGCTGCGTCGTCGGAGCCAGAGTCGTCCTCATCACCGGCCACTTTCATGACCCTACCTGGCTTGCCGAACTTCGCAATCATCTTTTTGTCGATGCGCTCGCCCTGCTCCGATTTGTTGCGGGACCAACGAGTCACTGGAACGCCGCCCTGGTCATACAAAGGCTTATATGTGACGTATTCATGGCGGACGCTCTCCACAGTGCGTCCCTCAGAAAGCTCGAAACCGATCGTCATCACGACCTCCTTCTCCATGAAATGGTCGTTGTGGAGCTCCGTCAGCTCCCAAATCGAGGCATCCGGGTGCCCAGTAAGGAGCTCCGAAAGGTACTCACGCTCTGATTTTGTCCAAGGCGCATCCCGGGAGACACGGTCAATGGCTTGCGTCCGGCGATCATTAAGAGCCTTAAGAGCCTGTTTGTCGTTCCAGTCCTTTGGCTTACCATGCTCGCAGAAGTAAGGCTCTGCGGTACGCTTAGGTACAACCGGAACATCCTTCGGTACGCCCTTCTTGCCCTTGATTTCGGATCGCATGTCGACAAGCTTGAGGATTAGAAGGTCTTCTTGGTCTAGATCAGGACCATCATCTGCGCCATCGGGCTTGATAGGTCCGAAGTATTTTACATAGCGTGATCCGCGCTTGAACCTAAAGCCACGGTCTTCGTACATAGGCGGGTTGGTGGCACCATTGCTGCTTCGGGCTGATGGCTGATCTGGGTGTGGCCGTGGGTCACCACTGACAGGCTTGATACCCCACCAGCCATTGTTCTTGGGCTTGGGAAGTTGCGCATCATCAGGAGTCCAGGGAATGAATGCATCCTGAACGGTAGGTACTGCTGGCGTGGCACGTACCTTGACCACTTTCTCCTTCTTTACCTTCGGTTCCTTAAGCGTCGTCTCCTTCTTCGGCTTGGGGTCCACCTTGGCCTTGGTCTCCTTCTTATTTGCCTTCTTAACTTTGTAGGTCGTTACAGGCGGAGCAACGGGCCCAGCAACTTCCGGGGCCTTCGCAATATCGGTAGTATCGGCTGGCTGCGGTCGTGTAGCAGTGATCTCACCTGGCGTCGGCGCCGTCGCAATTGGCTGGGCGATAGTCTCGTTGATCTTTTGCTTCTTGGAAGCAGGCGACTCGATGACCGAAGACGGGGAGGCCGGTCGCTTAGACATAGTGGATGAAAAGATCGCGCGGGTGTCTTGTGCAATTGTAGCGGTTTTGGATACTAGAAATGCGCGTGGTAGATTTTACGGAAACGTTGTGCTGTTTTCTAAGGTTGAGGTGGTAGTTGTGTGGGAGAAAAGTCTGCTGGGATGTACGGGGTGGTTTATGTATGCGGAGGGCGACGCTTTCCGCCGCGGTGTTCGCTGACTATACCGTGGTGAAAGAACAGGGAATGACGGACATGCTCTACGGACATCAATCCACAATGTTACAAGTGAAAATTGCGGTCGTCAACAAAGGTTCCGAAAGACATAGCAAGCATACAATGTGACAAAGAGACGTAAGACACCAGGACGCGCCATGAAGCAATCGAAGCAGACATTGTGTGAGATGGAAGCGCTCCCTATTGTTTTCGTCTGCACGAGCACTCGCCTTCTCGACCGTGGGGAATCGAAAATATCATCTCTGTGCATTGTAGAGATCCATGTGGCCGAGCTCGTCAAAGCCCTCGAGCAGTCGCTGCGTATACACGAGCATTCGACATGGTGTCGCTCGGAATCCATGCGCATTGTATGCCTGGACGATAGGGGACCAGCGATAACCAGTAAGCATCTCAGCTGTGATGAATGAGCAATTGTACTAGGCATTTCCATTGCCCAGGTGTTCCGAAGTCCCCGTAATAGCTCTGTGCCATCGGCGGTAGGAGAATACTAGGCGGCCATATCGCGTGGTGACGATGAGGCAATGCACCTGGCTATATCAACGGTAAATCTCCTAGACACACAGTTCTTCAATGGTTGTGAGCACTGCGATGACGGAGTGAGTAACGGCGTTAGGTGGTGGCTCGGGCTGGGCGCACAAAATCGTCATCGACAGTCTTGGCAGGCTAAAATCAGCGGTTACTTTTTTCTCACGTGTTTGTGTTGTCGTCTGATCTCCAGCCTCCTCGACCCATCCGTCTCCCATCCAACGGCGTCTAATCTCCACATCTTTGTTTCTCCGAATACCTCATGGCTATGACTGGCTCCGCTCGACGCTTCACGTTCACGATGTGTCCGTCATCGCACAGCATCCCGAGGTAGTGCTACGTTACCTCATAAGTGCACGCTTCGCACCTGACAATTTCCTCATGTCAGGATGTATAGCAGCGACTGCCAACATCAACTGCATGATACAATACCGTGTCTTATCTTCATACAATGCATGTGTGGCGGGTTGTCAATCTTCGCGTGCAGCCCTCGACGCCCTGTATCACAGACAATATGCCACTTGACCGTAAAAGCTTGACAACTTCGAAATCCTATCCACCCTGTTAGCCAATACTTAGTCGCGTTGCCAGCCTCAGATGCAAGTCAATCAACTTGCAGCCGTTCAAGGCGACCCACAGATGTATGTGCTTATGCAGCCAAAATGGCGTAACCATAGTTTGATACCCATGGAAAGAGGTAACACGACATGGGGCTGGGTCTGGAAGAGACAGACTTATAACAGGCTATCCCAGGAAAGCCCATCTTGCTCCATCGCTTGCCTCTCCTTCCTTGTCTCGATGTCTCATATCATGCTGTCTTTCATTGTAGCATTATGTCTCACCTTTCCAGCACACACCGTCGCAGACACATCAAACTTCAAGCTGGAATTAACATGGCGAAAAGGTGCGCCCGATGGACATGAGCGAGATATGATCTTCATCAACGGACAGTACCCGGGACCTTTGTTGGACATACGGCAAGACGACTGGGTAGAGATTGAAGTGGTCAATTTGATGCCTTTCAGTACCACCATACACGCCCATGGTACACAGCCGAAAACACGAATGGATGCAACAGTACACTGATAACAAACAGGGATTACCCAGATGCACACTCCGTGGTCGGACGGTACTCCAGACATATCGCAGAGAGCTATTCAGCCAAACGCCACCTTCACATATCGATGGCAAGCCGACGCATACGGGAGCTACATGTACCATGCGCACAGTCGTGGGCAGATCGAGGACGGCGCATACGGGCCAATTATCATCAGGCCAAAGGAAGGCATACCCAAGCCTTTTGATCAAATCGACGGCGCTAAATACGAAGAGCTGGACGCCGCTGAACAGGATGTACAACCTGTTATGCTCACAGATTGGCGGCATCGCACGTCCGAGCAAACATGGAACGACCAGCTTGCATCCGGGGTGGAAAGCGCCGCCTGTATGGATTCCGTGCTCGTCAATGGTAGAGGCGCAGCTGAATGTCTATCGCGACAAGACATTGAGAAATTCATGCATCCTGGCATAGCACCTTTGATGAAAGCTAGGGGATTGCGACTCACAGACAAAGGGTAGGAATTAGCCTCTCACATCAGCCTAATACTGACAACTACAGTTGTGTCCCTCCCGAGTACTACCAGATCACACTTGGTAACGACTCCGCTGTCAACCTTGGTAGTATCGCACCAGAAGTGTTTAATGTATGTACTCCCAGTCATGGCTCCCGTGCCGTGGTCACTGCGCCGCTCGAGAAGAACTGGTTTGCGTTAGATCTCATCTCCACTGCTGGAATTGACACTTTCGCCTTCAGCATTGATGAACATCCAATGTGGGTGTACGCTGTGGATGGTCATTACATCGAGCCCATGAAAGTTGACGCTCTGACCATCGCGAACGGAGACCGATATTCGGTATTCATTCGACTTGACAAAGAGAGAGGTAACTATGGCATGCGAGTAGCTTCCATAGCCGCGACGCAGATTATTGGCACGACCGCTGTTCTATCGTACAACGGAGAATACTACCACGATCGCTTCAAGAACAGTACGGAGGTTGTTACTTCCATGCCCTATATCGACCTCCGCGGTGCGCTCGTATCGCAAGACTTCACAATGTTCAACGAAAGTCTGCAAAGGTCCTTCCCTCCTCAGTTCCCACAACCACCACCCAAGGTCGATCAGACGGTCATTTTCAACATGGGCACCAGCGGCAAAACCTACACCTGGGCGCTAAACTCCACGCATCCCTTTCCTCTAGACTCGGGTGAGGCGGCATCGCCTATGCTCTACGATCCGCCCACGCTTAGCAACAGCAGTCTCACAGTGACAACAAAGAACAACACCTGGGTCGACCTGATCTTCATCACTCATCAGCTCTTTGCGCCTCCGCACACAATGCACAAGCACTCCAACAAGGCCTTTGTTCTCGGGTACGGCGACGGTGTTTTCAATTGGACCACGGTGGCCGACGCCGCAGCTGCCATGCCACAGAACTTCAATCTCGTCACACCTCCCTACCGAGATGGGTTTGTCGTACCGGCATCCAAACAAAAGCCAACATGGCTTGCAGTCAGATATCATGTCGTCAATCCCGGCGCCTTTATGCTGCACTGCCACATTCAGAATCATATGAGCGGCGGCATGGCCATGACCATACTGGACGGGATCGATGAATGGCCAGAAGTGCCCGAGAACTGTAGGAACTAAGGGTGGTATATCGCAGCTAATGTATAGTCACCTCCATAGTCCAAACAATACCATATATATAACTTGGTTCGGCCCCTCCTCCGACCCAGCGATCTGGTGTTTTGGTACCGAGTCGGCGGCGCACGAAACCGTTGACCAGCTACAATTGACAAGCTCAAGCCGTCGCCTAAGCAACGTGTAGCTCCCCAGCCACCTCGCACCGCATCTTCACGACAACCGTTGTGATGGTCTGCCCGATTGTCACGCCACCGAGGGCGCCTTGCATCGGCTGCCTTCTCCCGACATTCTCCTAGCACCTCGGCCCAATCGGGGGATTCCGGCCAGTGACGTCGCACGCCAACACCATGAGTACCCTTATCGTCATGCGATCGCTATATATTGCTAATCGCTTTCCCCACAGTTTGCCAATCCTCTCGGCGAACTTTCAGCCGTCGCCGTCGTTGTAGATTCCTAGCGAAACATTTAATACAACAAGAAAGATGCCGACCCCACCATTTTCCCAAGATCGCCGAGACTGGCTAACTGAAATTTCTGGACTTTTTGCTGCGAAGAAGACCAAGAGTGTGACCAAGGACACAACGTTGAACGTGAGGATTCCAAAAGCGTGCGATTCTGTGACGACGATCAGTACAATCGGTTCGAGAGATCATGGCGCCGCAAAAAATCAAGCAATGGGTAACCGGCCAGGACGGCTTGGATAAGCTGAGAATGGAAGAGACGGAGCGTCCTACGCCTGGCGAGGATGAGGTATTGGTAGAAATTCATTCCGTCAGCTTGAACTACAGGGATACTGAAGGTATGTCGATCCTGTATGCAGCATCCTAAGCTTCGAGCAAAGAAGTCTCAGATGCTTAGGAATACCCGTCTAATCACCTACCACAGTATGCATGGGTCTCTACAACCACCACAAGTCCGTTGAGCAACCTCCTGCCATCGTACCATGCTCCGACATGTGCGGTGTCGTCGTTGCCGTCGGCCCATCCTCAAACAACACTTCCGACCCGTACAAGAACCCAGCATTCCGCGTCAAGGAAGGCGACCGTGTCATTAGCACCTTCGCACCGACCCACATCACCGGCCAGATCCAAGCTAAAGACCTTGGGAATGGACTTGGAGGACCCGCGCCCGGTGTCCTGGTTCAGTACCGCGTCTTCCCTACCTTCGGTGTCGTCAAGATCCCAGACTACATGACCGATGATGAAGCCGCCTGCTTACCCATCGCCGCTATGACTGCATGGATGAGCTTGAACTGCATGCGACCCAAGGGCGAAATCGTCGGCAAAGGCGAGACCATCGTCTGCCAGGGTACCGGTGGTGTCAGCATTTCCGCAGCGCAAATCGCGTCAGCGGCTGGTGCCGATGTCATCGTCACTTCTTCGTCGGACGAGAAGCTCAAGCGCGCCACGGAGCTCGGCGCAAAGAACACTATCAACTACCGCTCCAAGCCAGACTGGGATGATGCGGTGCTTAATGCCACGTCTTCTCGTGGCGCAGATATCATCATCGAGGTCGGTGGCGCCACAACGCTTCGGAAGTCCTTCGAGTGCGTGCGCTTTGGCGGGCTCATTGCTTGCATTGGGTACTTGTCTGGTAAGCAGGACGAAGCTGGCGACAGGACGAACACGAACTTGCTATGCTTGAAGAGGAATGTTACGCTCAAGGGTATTGTCAATGGCCCGAGGGACGAGCTTGAAACGATGTTAAAGTTCTATGAACAGAAGCAGATCAGGCCTGTTGTCGATCGCTTATTTAAGTTTGAAGAGGCGGATCAGGCATTGCAGTATTTGTTCAGTGGTGGGCATTTTGGAAAGGTCGTTGTTAAGGTTAAGGCGTAAATTATTTCAACGGCATTAATATTTATCATTGTTATTCATCGCGACTCATTCTACCACATCCAAAGACCTCAAACCTCCACAAAGTCCCCAAACCTCACATAACCCCCTTTATCACCCTGTCCCATCTCCTTACCCCAGTCACACAACCCCTCCGTAAAGTCCCTCAACGCCTGAACCTGACTCGCGAAATCATCATCATCCACATGATCCAACATCCACTCCTGCTCCACATCCATCAATATCTGAAGCACGCCCACCCCGCCTGCGATACCATTCGCAAGCCCATGCGGTCCAATCTGCAGTGCCCAGATAACAGCCGAGACCTCGAAGTCGCCAGCCTCGACCAGCGCCTTGTCTTTCTCAGCCCAGTCTGTGCCAATGAGCATCTGGAGGAGGACGTTGAGAGGGTGTCGCGAGCTGGCTGCGTTGTTAATGTGGTACAGTATGCAGTCGAGAGACTTGACGAGTGTTTTGGTGAGGTCGTTCCATAGGTCGGAGCACGTGAAGAGGAGTTCGATAGCGGCGATGGTGGAGGAACATTGAGGGCACTTGCGTGCGATGTAGCATGCACTGTGCTTGTTACCGTGGAGGCGGCGCAGGAGGTAGTTGGCCACGCTGGTGCGGGTTAGAGCCTGTGGAATGTTAGTGGGTTGAATGGGTAGAGGGAGTGGTGCACGAACGCCTTGAGGGAGCACATCGGTGTCGATCACCACGCCGTAGTCGTCTTCGACGTTGAGTTCGGTGGGGATGGATCATCTCGAAGTTTTTCCATAGGCTTTTCTCGACAGGATATGGTGGGACAATGGCTGGCAGTGCTCGTTGTGGGTGCTGGAGTTGTTTGCATGCTATTGGTCGACCTGGTTGTACAATTGATCTTGTGAGGTGATCGGTGATGTGAGAGTCAATTCAGTATTTGTTGGAGTGCAACAGAGGAAATCAAGGTGCGGAGCTCGCCACGCTCGTTGTGTGTGCGGGCAGGCAGAAACACTGCCAAGGGTGAATGTTCATAGTTCATGGCGACGCAATGTAGTTAGCATGAGACAAGAGAAACCGAGGGTAGACGCATCACAGAGATATTCTCGCGATTCAATGTAAACATGTGTGTATGCGATCCGCGACTACGTCGTAACTGCGACGCGAGGCTAACTCGAAATGGCAATAAAGCAAATTCCGCCATGAAAAAAACCATGAATTTGCTCGTAGGCGAGCAACAACCAGACCAAAACCTGTGTCATGTTCTCAACCACGGTTCATCAACTCCTCACCCCACTTCTCAATCTTCTTTCCGAGCCAGAGAAAGCCATTGAGCTCGCACACATCCACCTCATCCCTCCAAAATTCGTCCCGGTGCGAGAGACCTTGGTAGATGTCCCGGTACTTCGTCTCTAAAATCACGCCGATGCGCGCAACGCCAGCCTTGACGGTCCAGGCTTGCGGCGTAACCACAAACTCGCCGTTTGCTACTAACCTCCGGTTTTCGTGGAACCAAGATCTCTGGTCGGCCATTGGGGTGATGGCGTCGAAGAAGAGCCACAAAGTCCTTTGGTCCACGGTGGGGAGTCCGTAGATTGCAGCCATTACCGCTCGGATCCTGGCTTCGCCGAGCTTGGTCATTGGAACAGTGGTGAGCTGGATTCCGAACTCAGTGTTCCCGGGGCTTGCGGAGACGTTGTTGTAGATCTCGTGGAGCTTTTCGATGATGATGAGGCCACGGTGGATGATTTGAGGCTGGGATCGCATTTTGTCTTGCCAGGACGTGGCACTGCGATCTGCTGAAGGGTAGGCCAGTGTAGGGAGGATGAGGCTGCGTACACGAGCGATGTCGGTCGCAGCCATGCTTGCTGTGGTGATGGTGTGCACCATATTTGATATGAAGACAGTTGGATAGTGTGTTGTGACTTGTGTGTAGAAGTTGCGCGAGGAAGAAGAAGATGAAGAGAAAACAGCAGGTTGGCAGCATTTATATGGGTCTCCTGAGCCAGGCCGCGCATTTTAGATCACACATGAACCGCGCTTTGCAGATTGATATGAATTAACTATGGTTCGCCTCCGGACTCCGATCCGATAATGCTACGAACAGCTTCAGGACTGGGGTCCTCATCTTGAACCCGCTAAACGGTTCATAGGTGGAGCATGAGCAGATTGACGGCAATATTGAAGATTGAAGATGATTGAAAACGTGCCGAATACATACAGCGCATTACGTGATAATACTCTTTTGATTTGCAACAATATGTGCACATGTTCACGGTTCCCAACCATGTCGCTCATATCCCTTCAACGCACATCTGATGTTGTTACATACTAAAGTGTGACGCAATCATGAGTTTTCAATTGACCAGGAGCTCATGCGAAAAACGGGTTGTCCAAGGCAGGTGATACATGTTGTAAGCAAACTTTATGGTGTATAAATTAATGCTTCTTCTCAGCCAGGATGCACATCAATACTCATCTCCTTTCAACATGAGCGAAGAAGACATCAAACTCGCACATGACATTGCGCTCTATCTACAAGAGACCTACTATCCTGAGGATACGGACAGGCTCGAGCATTTCAAGAAGGGGCTAGCACTGCTCATCAGCGTTTCGCAGCTATGGACCTTGAACAGAGCAGCCACATCTACTGTAAGCAACCAAATCATGAGCCAAATCAGAAGTGCTTCCAACGTCGACCAACTAGGCTTGTGTTGCCTCATCATACACTGCATTGGTGATGCGGACTGGAATGAGCGCTCAATCGACCACGACAAAGAATACTACGGGAACAAGGGGTTTCACATTCATCCGGTCGTATGGATGTTCAAGATCAGGCCGATGAGTCTCAAAACCATTGGTGCACGCGAGGAATACGGCTATGCGAGCGAGGGCGCTATGTTCGGGCTGCTACGTACAGAGCAACACAACTGGCGACTTGCAGGTGACAATAAGGATAATGTTGACCAGAAGAGTGCTCTCAAGCAGTTGGTTATTGATCTGAAGAAATGGTGTCCATGGTAAATTAGGTTTGGCGTGTATCTCCAATAGTCGCTCGTGATTCAGTACTAAATGTCGTTTTCACTTCTCATTTTCCATGAAACTCTCAGTTGTGCGCTCGTACCATTGGTTGAATTGTATTGGCTGCCTGGATGAACTCTGCCTCATTCGTTTTCTCATCTCCCCCCACAGACCTGAGTCGTCAACAGCAACCCTATGGCATTATGTCAACTGCCATCAACTCCATCTTCCGTCAGATCAAGAGCGCAATCACTTCCACCAAAAACAACCCGAAGGAAGCTGTCACACCAGCGGATCTTCAAAGCATTGCGTCTTCTTCAGGTTACTTAACACCATCCGTGACATCTGAAATGACGGCCCCATCGCGTGGTCATAGCTTCGTCGTAGTTCCTGGTGCAAGCCAGGACTCATTCTTGCTCACTGTTGATGTAAGCACAATGCAGAAAGACGATTCTAAATCGAGCTCACAAATCCAGTCTCTCAGCAAAGCCAAACTCATCGAGTATTGCATTGAACAGCTGTTCCTCGCACAGAAGACCACAGCGTTCAAGCACACTCATCACGTCCTCAGCTGCGGTCTCGAGCTCCTCAGTAAGATCTCACGTGAGTGGGAATCTTCAAGCCTACCTCCCCCAGCGACGTTCAAATTCATGATGAACAACGTGTTAGGTTGCTCATCCGAGTCCAACCAGAAGGCTCTTTACCATGTACTTAGTACACTAGTAGGATACAGCTGCTGGCTTGATGCCGACCAACACATACAAGGCTTCAAGACTGCTCCGTTGTTGTGGGCCCTGCAGCTTGGTCCAAGAGGGCTGGCTCGTGGATGGGAGGAAGACAAGGCGACCATAGATATTCTGTATCGTACGGAATGCAGGTATCTTGCAGAAGATCACGATGAAGCTGCTATACGAGATTTCATTCAAGCTTTTCGAGCGTGGGGCGTCAAGATGCGTCGATTGGTAGACGCAGAGGAAGATGAACCACGATATGTAGGTCGTTAGGTAGAGCTACAGTGTCGGAAATTGAATCAATCTTGCATTCGTCCTTCGGGAGAAATATGCTTGAGTAGGACACGGAATCAAGGCGACACTGCATAGCACACCTATCAACTGGGGAAAATATACCGATTTGCGCAACGAGCGTCTATTACAAGCTATTTTAACAGTGTTGTCCATATCTCGTTGCAATCAGTCAAACCTTGCAAGCTTGCAACAACGTCGCAAAACTCTTGACAGCCTGACAAGTGAGCACACCCTGGCTTGAGTTCTGCTTCTACCGAATACAAACCGTTTTTAATCTCACAGAAATAGCAATACCGTGTTATCGAATAGCAAGTCTTATTCGACAAGCACGTCCTGTCTTCTCGACAGCAAATCCCTCACATCTGTTTAGAACTTGCCCGCGCTCTCCTCCTCCATTGCTAGTTCTACGTCCACGATCCAGGAAAGACTGGTCTGGCGTGTGAGGTTTATTCTCTTATCGCTTCGAGGTCTTGGACATCAAGTGGCGGTTCTGTATCTGGTTGTCATGCCTACCCAGTCACGGGTAGTTGGATACCACAGGGACTAGGCTTCCTGCCGCTTTGCGTAGCCAAACTTTTTGCTAAGATATTTCTTTTCTGCTTGACGGTCGCTTGACAGCAATCCATGACCAATAAGGCAGAACTTCCTTTATCACTTGTCAGTAGCCCCCTAATCACAGTTGTGAAAGCCTTGCCTGGTATATGACGTACACGTCTCTCCAAAATCTCACGACCGTTCATGGATTCTTTCCCTTCTGTGCTTACCCAACACTAGCGCTCCAGCGTCCACGCTAGCAACCTTCCCCACTGGTATATATACCGCGAGATGCGCACCGTATCTTGTTTTCTCTCTTTATAGTTCTCAAGTTCTCACCTTCACGCGCAAGGTTGCTGATCTGTTCCACCCTGAACGCCGGCCGCTACCACCAACACGACCTCAAGATATTCAACTTCAAGATCATCAGCCATTTGTTTGTCCCAGCCACAGAGCCAGCAGTCACTGCCTCCGATACCGACGACAAGCATGCCGACATGCCAGCCACGATCGACGAGCCAGAAGACGACTTCGTCTGCGTCGCAAGCCCCGTCCTTCCCACCGCAAAGTCAATCACTGTCCACGAGGACTTCGTGGAAGTGACCGCCGGTATCGATGAGCCCGTCGAGCTCTACCAGACCACCGTCGAGAGGACGCCCACCAAGATTGTGGTGACTCTCCATGGAGAACAGCCACAGACCAAGGTCAGTCAGTCCTAGTTTCACACCTTGTATCCTCATCTCACTGACATGATCCAGGTCCTGAATGCGAAGCAAGCTATCGCACTTCTTGTCACCATGTTTTTCGACCGGATCCCCGTCGGCAGCCCCCTCAAGCGCTACCAGTTCCAGGAGGGTTTGTCCGTCCTCGACGACTGCGCCAAGTTCCTGTCGAATACCCCCAGTTGCTACTTCGACTTGATCCACGTCCTCCACGACATCGCGGCTGACTCCCGCTGGGTCCTCAGCCTGGTTCTCCGTGACTTCCTTGAGGACAAGAACTGGCCCAGCGCAGTATTTGTTGGCCACGAGATCCACCCAGTCGTTTGGGCTGTGCTGCTCGGCCCCCTTGGTCTCGCTGCAGGCTCGATCGAGGGCAAGCTCCGGGCGGATATCTTGCTGGAAGCAGAAGACCACTGGGTGCAGAAGCATGTGCACGACGAGGACTTCGACGCCCAGTTGACCGAGCTCGCGCGGTTTGCTGCAGCGCTTTGCGAGATGGGAAAGGAGGCGCTTACCCCGCCGGAGCATGTTTTGCCAGAGGCTGTCCCAGCGACGACTGTTGCTTCAGACCCCGTTGCACGGAGGCGTGCAAGGAAGATCGCAGTCAGCAAGGTGAGGATTGTTGGTCCCGCGTAGGGATCTTTTCCCTTTGTGCGTCGAAGACCACAATCAAGGACTTGAATTATAGACGCTTTCCAATTATCATAAAAAATTCTATCATATCCCTTCCTTCATGCAACGCGAGCCCTTGTGAAAGCAACCCCTCCGTTCTCCCATACTACACCAAGATATCCTTCAATCTTAATACCTACTACCCCCGCAACGCGACACACACTCCTGGCGACTTCTCCCCATTCAAATCGCTCCAGATATCTCTAAAAAGGCCAGCGTGACGTTCAGCAACAAGTCCCTGTCCATCGACTTCCGAGAACTGTTGATCTTGGGCGTGGTCGCACTGAGGTTCTCTAGCGCTGGGGAGAGCGTCATATAGTAGTGAGGAAGAAAAGTATCACGAGTTACAACGCCATTGCATTTCCGTAAGACCCAGGAGCTTATCCCCTCGCGTCCCTTCTTATAATTATGTCCTTCTTCAAGAACGTGTACTTTCTCAGATCTAGGAAACCGAATGTCTCACACGCTTCGCACTATTAATCTTGTTCATGTAATCCCATCTCTATTTCCATCTCCACCAAATCCCTATATCTCCGACATGGCCTAATCCTCAAACCTCCAATACATATCATCAACATGTTGCTCCAGACCATCGATGGCCTTGATCTCGTACTCTGTGAATACGCAAACTCTGCCCTCCCCTGCCTCTTTCCGCGAGCATCGTGTCGTGCACTTGCACTCACCCGGTCCATGTGTCGCTCTGATCATCGCTTCCTCAGCTTGCATATCAACTGTTTGATCAGTGTGCGCGTCGTTCAATAATCGCTCCCAGAGTAGTTTAGTGCTCGTCTTGACGCAACCTGAGAGTGTGTAGCGCACGGGGTGAGATGCGCCCAGTGTCCGCAGTGTACGCCATGCAAGCGTGAAGAGCCAATCGATCCAGATTTTCTGACAAGCGTGTGCGCCGTGGACACTCGTGCCATCTGCCTTAGCCCACGGGCAGAGAGCGCCGGGGTGTTTGGGGCTGATGAAGCGGAAGTCGAGGTTGCGGAGGGCGGGAAACCTGGTTAGGTTGCGTAGTTCAAAGGCGCCCACTTGGCTTGCGAAAGGATCGTTGTGGCCGGGCACGATGTTGATGGACGCGAAGTACGCTGCGGCTGACATTTCCAGCTGTATGTTTCGAAGAAATAAGGCGTGTGGAGGATTGCTTATGATTGAAGCTAGGATATTAGGGATAGCATTGAAAGGCTGGCAAATCTTATTGTATGCTCGTGTGTGAGCGACTTGTCGGAGCCGCTTGTATGTGTCTCTATTCGCGACTATAGTAGCTTCTTCACGAAAGGCCTTGCAAACGCGCATTACGGTCATGTTGGCGCGATCGATATCGGCGTCGCGATTTCGTCCCAGTCGTTCCGCGCTGCCGTACGATAAACCCTTTCCGATGACGACCCTTCCATGGTGAGTGTCTGGTAGAACTACCGGACCAACCATCTGAAGGTATACAGCATCGCGAAGCTCTTGTGGCAAGTCAAAGATTCTGAAGCTTTGACCGTTATTCTTCCACCAAGCTTGCTGCTTCTCGTATTGCATCTTGGTGAATCTCATATCCCACTCGTCATCCCAGTTGTACGTTTCTCGGAGCCACGCATCCGCTCGGATGAAGCAGGGCTCAGGTTTGCGTCGGGGTATACAGATGGCCAAATTCTCGATTCTGAGGTTCTCTCCATGCGTGAGAGCTATGGCGACGGTATGAATCGGATTGTTGCCCTTGGGTTCTTCGAATGTGTACCAGTCTTGGGTGTACTCTTGGGGGTGCACATCGCCGCTATGTCCTAATGCTGCACGAATATCGTCGCAAGTAGCAAGTGACACGATCAAAAGGTCGCGATGGCCCATGAATCGATGCGCATGCTTTCCAAGGAAGCAAAAATTGTGGCGACGCTCCTCCTCGATGAAATCATGTATCGTGCGAATGATACTCTCCGAAGTATCGGTATGCATTTTCCTTGGATACCTTGGGCTCATGGTGCCTGTTTCTCTGGACTGGACGAGAAGGTTTTGCTTGGCAGGGCGCTCGGAGTTAGGTGCTTCTGCAGGATGTGATGCGTAGTCTGATACGTCCTTATGAAGACTGGCATGCGCAAACGGTGGCACCGTAGACGCTAACTCGAATTTCGACGGTGCGGTAGTTTTTAAGTCTGCAGGCGAATGTTTTGCGGTTGTTTGCTGAAGGTCATGAATCGCAGCAAGTGAGTGATGAATAGAGTGCGATGGGCCTGCAATCTTGTTCTGATATGCGATACTGTCTGGCCCAAAAATCGAATGCATCTTTTGCGTTTCCGTGGTACTTGAGTCGCTTGGCACCCGGGGTACCGTGGTCGACGTCTCTGGCGCAGATATGATTGGAGGAGCGAGCAGCAGAGCCGCATACGACGTCCAGATCTCCTGGATTATGGCCATCGTGGAGTTGATGGCGGAGTAGATGCGATTCTAAGCTGTCGGTAGTAGCACCATGAAAAGGTAAGGTTGTCTTGCTAGAAGGCTGAAAGCTGGGTGAAGCTGCGTCACAAGCTAGGCCGCGCTAGGCTCCTTTCAGTGGTGAGAGTGAGGCAGGCAGGCATGGCAGTGACCGACGAACCAGAAGCCTTTCGCGAGACAACAACTGCGCGTAAAGGTCATTCGAAATGGAAGAAGTGTAATAAACGTTGTTCATTCGTACATGACTAGTAATAAGAGCTGTCTGGCTACCGCTATCGCTGACGCTCCAACTTGGTCCTGCGCGCTAATGCTGCGCTCATAATCGTACAACAATCCAAAACTCCACGCTATGATGCGACCCCGTTTAAGCATAAGACTGGGCGGAACAAGTGAACGCACCCCTGACGCTGCCCGAGTTGTACTGTGTGATGATGTCCTCGACCGATGCATATGTACCACATCCGAGGACTGCAATGCCGATCAAAAACGTGCAAGAGTTCAAGATGGAGAGCGAAATATTTCTCCAGCCGTCGTTCCACTTGCCGACCTTGATGAGCTGGAACCAGAAGAGCGCAGGGAAGTAGAATGTGAAACCAGAGATGAAAAGCGAAGAGATCAACCCAAGGAGGGCATTGAAGAAGGGGATAGCCTCAGCGATGATCCAGCCAATGATTGTAATGATAGTGATCAGCACAAACCAGACTCCCCATGCCTTCGGGGTTGCCACGAATCGGATTGGGCTGTTGGCGAACGCGCGATCCATGATAAAGCGGCCGACGACGGTACCGTTGATACTACCGGAGATGAAGATGACAGGAAGTGCGATTCCGAAAGCGATGCGGGAAATGGTGTCACCGGCAGACAGAAGAGCAGGCGACTTGACATCCTGTCCAACAAATGCGTAAACGAGGGCACCGGTAATTGTGTAGATGAAGATCTCGATCAAGCCGAGCGCCCAGATGGACTTGACGTAGTCTTTCGGAGTGTGCATCTCAGACATGAATGAGAATTGGCAGACAGCGAAGGAGTACGCGAAGATGATGTTGGTGGTCGCAAGGAAAGCCTCGTAGAAAGTAGTTTCTGGGGGTGGGTATGCAGACCAATTGACTGCACCGAGACCGCCAGGTGCGTTGTGCGCCTGGACACCAGTAGCGACAATAGTGACGAGGATGGCCGCAATGATGCTGACAAAGTCGATGTAGCCGAGCCATGCGAATTCGGCGAACGTGGGTGGCAGTGCGAGGAGCAAAAGGATGATCAGAGAGATCACACTCCACACCAAAGCACAGGTGTCGTAGTTGCCGATGATGTTGATCCAGGCAATAGTACCAGTGAGCGCATGCGATCCGACCAAGAGAATGAGGAAGAGCGCAAACATGACACCAGTCAATTCTTTTCCGAATCGTCCCCAGATGAGTTCGACAGCATCCGAGTAATGGTTCACGAGTGGATATCTCATCTTAACTTGTCCGACGACGTAGGACGTGTAGATTGCGATGAGTCCAAGTCCGATGCACATGATCACACCAGCGATCATACCGAGCTTTGCGAAAGCGCTGGGAATACTGAGAGATCCAAGAGCAATAGCCTCGACGATGAGGCAGACAGTGAGACGTTTCCATCCCAAGCGGTTGAACTTTTCGTGACCTTCTTGCACGGTCGGGGACTTGTCAACAGGCGCAAGTTCCGGGTCGCTCTTTTTGCCCTCGGATATGCCATCCAGGCTGTAGCCCGGTGGCGCGGGGGCGTACACGTCGCCGTTATGTGCGGCATCGTAGCCAGGTCCCTGACGAGGGGCCTGCGCGCCGGGGACGTGAGGGACTTCCTGCATAATGAAGAGTGATAATGAAGGGTGAGGTAGAAAAGCTGGGGAAGACCGGCTATGTCGAGGGAAACAGCGAGGTTTAAACTTCCAGCCGGCGCAGATCGTTTCTCCAAGCTCGTCTCGAAGCGGAAGTCGTAGTGTAGGTCACTGGCAACGTGGACCGTGGGACAACGACGATATCAGTGATGTAGCGAACCGAAAAGCCACACTTGTAATCCTGAACCTCTACACAGCCGGGTCGCGCTCTGGCCTTAAATCAAACCAGCCTTATCTCCGCCTTCGCGATGCGTAATAGAATGTTGCAAAGACATGCTCTCCACGCCGCCCCCAGAGACCGTGCAGTGCATGAATACCGACATTGCCCGACACTTTGGGCATCTGGTCGTGCGAGCTGCACGAAATGTTCCCTGCGTGGCGCTGAATGACGAGGTCCACATGGTGCTGAAAAGCTTGCAACTTTTACGTCAATGCTAGGGCCGTGCGAAGGTAACGCTGTCTCACCACATCCCACGAAGTGCAGGGTTTGAGGTGACATCACAGTAGATTTTCGCATCGTCAAGATAAGAACTGGGCGTCGCTTTATGCCCGCAGAAGAGGGCAGCGTGATCACTTGCAGGTGGTGGTGACGAGTCGAAGTGTCAAGCAATGCGGGTGGCTGCAGAGGATGATGGCATTGCTTGAGTGTGGGTCAAGCTTTCAAGCCGCCTTCTGCCGGTCGATCGCCTAGCCATTTTTGTGGCTAGCGACAAGTCCCGTGACGGCCAGCCAACACCGACGCTGCCCGGAGCTATTCTCAGAACGGCTTTCCACGACACATTGTTTGGGAATATGCCCCATCTCGAAGTTCTAGGATGGTAATAGAAACATCGAAATTGCTTGGAGTACTTGGCTTATCGCAACGAGTTCGGACGGGATGCCGATTCACGCGCCGGCCAACGGGAGATCTTGCGAATGATCATGTCCCTGTCGCATTGCGTGGGCACTCCTTCCCCCCGTGCCGATAATTTCTCCGTACGGACCGTACGGAGTAACTCCTGCATCGACCTGCACTGTGGTCCCTGAATCGATTCTCGGAGGAGTGCTCGGAGCCTGAGTTGCGATTGCGGGGTTGGCGCGAAGGCGTACCTGAATTGGCTTCTACCGCTATTGGCGCCGGTACAGCCCTTAGTTCAACGGCTTCCAGATTACTGCACCTCATCCTTAGCCTGCTGCTGCATAGTCTTCATCTCGTCCAGAACATGCGGATCCGACTCTGGCCCGTTCGGGCCTCGTCTCGCCCGGCTTCGTTCAGTCTCCTCAACGTGGGCATCTGCGGATGTTGAGTCGGACGTAAAGACGAATTCGCGGTGTTCGCCTATCTCTGTCAGCTCGTCCCTCTGAAGAAATGCCTCACGGAGTGTTGGCGCACAGTTTTTGTATGCCGTGCCTATCATTGGGTCCTCCACGTCCCAATCTTCGGTCAAAAAGTGGGCAATTGCACCGTGCGTTACCACAATAACCTATCCACAGTTGATCAGCATAGATTTGGTAGCGAGAAGTGGCGGCATCCGGACCTCTGCCTCTGGTCTCTGAAACAACCAGTTCCGAACGTCTGCAGCACGCCTTGATATAGCTGGCTTCTCATAGGCCCAGTAGCCTTGCTGCAAGACGTGTGAGTCAGTATCAGTATGCAGCTAAAACACGCCATACTTGCCTTCGAATTCCATCCCTGGGTCAAAGCAGAGGAATCAATCTTTTCCAGCTCGAACGTCAGCTCATCCTCTGCGAACAAAGCTGGCAAAATCTGCCCGAGATCTTCTGGAGTGCCTGCAATGCCGGTGTCACTTTCAATGTTGCCAACTTCTTGCAGTCCCGGGAGAAGGATGAACGGCACTTCCTTACGCGCCAAGGTCGGCCCGAAGCTGAGTGCCGCCGTTTGGATGGTACGACGCAGTGGAGAGGCGAACACAGTTTCCACGTTCTGATGGTGCGGAAAAGCTGCACTGAGAGCGCGGCACTGTTCCTTGCCCTTCGCGGTTAAGACGGCATCGGGAATCGTGTAGTCGTGCTGCGCAATAGTGAGATCATGTTTAGTATGTGTATGCGGTCGTTCTCACAGATACATTATGTTCGCCCTGGGCATGACGGATGAGGTGTACTTTGGGCGGCATGTTTGATGGTGTTTTCGATGCAGTTCCTGTTCCTGCTATCGTGGAGTACCTACTTGGCGGGGTGCTAAGATTGAGTCATCTTAGCGGCTCAGGCAAGGTAGCCGATAAGGCGCCACCGTCCTCATCGAATTCTTCGTATGTGTATACGTGCGAGGGTCTTTCGAGCTGTACGACGCAGTTCGCAAAGTCTCACAAGTTTACTCGACTGTCGCGATGGTTCTTCTGGTGTTGAGCATCGCATTTTCCTTATGAAGCGATGACGACACTTAGTTGATCGCGCTAGCTAGCAGGGACTGTCTGTTAGTCAGATACACCTCCCACCATCAACCTCACCACATGCTTTTCAGAAGATTGTCAATGGCCTCTGAATTCATTGCAAGCTTTCCCAATTCCAAACACGCCCTTTTGGCGCGCTACAGTCACACCGAAATTGGTTTCTGCGACACCTGACAAGCCTCAAGAGGCACGATGACATGCTTCCACAGATCTGTCCGCCAACTAGTTTCGCTGAGCGCCTTGGTATGGAGACACCACTCGACGGCCTCTGCAAATTCAGGTCCTGCTTCTTCGGCGACCGACCTGCTCCATTGAATAGCTGCAGTGTAATCAAGCATAGGCGCTAAAGCGGCATCGCAAGGTGGAAATTGTTTTCGAAGCTTCGTGGCTTCTATGGGAACCCCAAAGCAGAGCTCTAAAAGGCGTATACCGAGGCACGAGAGTGTGTCTGTCGCAGACATATCAGCCGTGCTGAGAACATCCTGGCAGATGTAGGGCTGGTCCAAACGCGCCGATCCTGGCTCGGTGGGATCTTCCAGAAAGACGATGCTCTTCTTGCGCAAATGAGAATTGAGCCATGGCGTTGCACTGAGTTGGAGATACGATGAAGCTAACGTGAGTGCCAGCGAGTAACGCTTGTGTCTCGTCAAGGTGTATGTGCTGCTAAGCAACTGCTCGAGCGAGACGGTACCCAAATGGCTCACTGAGGAAGTATGTTCCCTTGGATACAACTCAAAGCGATGCTCATCCGCTTGCAGGAAACCAAGGCAGTCCGGACATGTCGAACTAAGAGCGCTGCAGAGGTCTTTGATCAAGGCCTTCTGATCCATACTATCTCTTTGGCCGTGCGCATCGGCAATGTCAAAGCGCACGCGACCTCCGGCCTGTGTTGACCCAGGCTGAGGCACTTGGATTGATAATGCATTGGCGTTTGTCACCATCTTTATCCTTGTGCCCTGCCATCCAACCTTTCGCTAATCATCGTTCAAATGGAATAGGACGTCAAATTCGACCTTGTCAGATGTGCGATGTTCGAGCCCAAGATTCGTGATGTGGTTGGCGCAACCACATCTCCAAGCTGTCGCCAAAGCTTCATGCAACCGCTTCGCATGTCGCCAGAACTCGTTGATCTTCCGATTAATCATATATGACGCTTTGGTAGTGTTTCCTCGCAGACGCGCGGCTGAAGTCCGATCGCTACTCTCCAACAGCTTGCGCATGCGCTCATTAGCAACCTCTAGCTGCGCGAAAATCTTCTCGCGGGAAGACTTCCTCATAGTGAACTTGATCCTTTTCGCCTGGAACTCCATGTTGCCCATACTCAAAAGGTCGCTTCGCGAGACATCGTTTTTGTTCAATTTGCCATCCTAGGTCGTTTTGTCAGCGATCGGGTGTCCGTCAGTATCAGATGGCGATCGTCAGCAGGCTCACCTTAGCCACCAATGCCCGAAATTTCCCTTTGACGCCGAGTTCCTTCTTCAGAGCATCTACAAGATCGTTGATGTCCCCGATGATTGCTAGGAATAACTCGTAGCCCTTTGGGAGCCGCTGTCGCAATCTGACTTCTAGGTCGGCGTTTTCCCATGCCTTGCCCGCCGGATCATCCATTAGTACACGCAATTCGTCGTCGTTGGCTACCAAGGGGAGGAGGAACTCTTTCACACTGCCTTCGAATAATATTTCATGGTAGCTGAGGTCCTGACACGTCTTTTTGTAAGCTCTCTCAATCCGCCACCAGTCATTGACCACCTCAGCGCTCTCTCGATAAGTTTTGAGCACTTGGATAAGGAGCGGAATCGACCCAAGCACCAGACCCGCGATCTCTATCCCGCTCATGCTGCGATGTCAAAGGTCATGGAAGATGCATCAAAGGTTAAGATGCTACAGCCTGGTGTACTGTAGAAGACGAGGAAGTGCACGGTGGTTATCGCCACCGTGCATGGGGGCCGAAAGAGAGGGGCACGGCTAAACACACTTACCATCAAGTATGATTGGAAGGACGAGCTGCGACGCAAGCGAAAAGTGGTGTCTCGTCGAACGCTTCGATTGTCATTTCATGTTGATGCTTGACTTGCGCTCTAAAATCCCAGTTTCGAACAGAAGATGCAACGCTCTCTTGCAGCTGCCTCTATCGATTGCGCTCAGCTCCTAGCGGGACTTACGTTACTACACGGCGATGTGCAATATTCACAGCGCTCAGCCTTGCAAGCAACTGACCTAGAAGACCAATCTGCCAGGTTCCAAATATGGGCCGGAAATCTAGGGGCATTTCAACGATTACCAGCTTCTGCTTCTCTCGACTACAGGTTGCGTGGATCTCCGAAGATAGCGATGCAGATCCTTGAGCTCTTACAAGATCTAGAAGGAACATGTGGACATGGTGCGTTACCGAGGCGTGAGCTAAGAACATGCTGACAGCAGCAGTTCGAGCAATTGCGTTAGGTGAGCGAGCAAACAGACGATCTAATCCGGAAACTGAAGACATGGACGCCGATGAAGAAAGCGAATTTGAAGAAACTGATAATGAATCTGATCTCACGGACGACGACTCGGATGAGCAAGAGCAAAATTTGTCGGAAGCAGAAGAGCTCTTCGAGAGCATTAAAGATAGTCTTGCGAGTCTCTTCCGATTGGCAGTGGTGATACGCAATTCTAGTCCGCGCGACCGTTACGCTCGGGCTCTAGGCGGAAAAAACCCATTCAACGAACAATTCGACGTTGCCCATGTCGGAGAGAAATTCCCTAAGCTCAACGTTGACTCCAACGTGTGGCTTAAGGACCGCATTGGCAAAGCCATTGCGCAACGCAGGCAGTACTTATGCTACGCCAGGGAACATCGATACAAGCTTGGGAAAGAGCCTGTTGAGCTCTGGAAACCGGCGGTTGAAGTCCCCAAAGCCTTTCTTCAAGCCCAGTCGCAGGCGGCTAGGACAAGCAACAGTAGGCCATTGACCACGGTAGCGGACACAACTGCATCAACACTTTTCCTCCAAGAGACGCCCCAGATTGAGATGGACTTCCGCGATGATCAGTCTCAGACGTCTTTCGCCTTCTCGAAGGGAGGTGAAGAGAGCCAGGACAAGATTCAGCTGCCAAGGCTTTCCGAGGTTGCCAAAGGCCAAGCGTCGTTCGAATGTCCTTTTTGTTGGACCATGCAAGCTATCCGCAAAGAAAGTGCTTGGAGGAAGCATGCACTTGCAGACTTGCGACCCTATGTGTGCACCTTTGGAAATTGCGACGTGAAGCTATTTGCAGATCGCAAAACATGGTTCGAACACGAGCTGCAAACGCACCGGGCGACATGGCGCTGCCATTTCTGTAACCATGACGACTTTCCGGTCAAGGAAGCGTTGCAGAATCACATGCACCACAAACACAGTCAGATTGGGGAAGACCAACTTGGAGCATTGCTGGATGCAGGAAGGCGACCGAACACGTTCTTCAAGGCCTCGGACTGTCCGTTTTGCGATAATTGGGACATGTACCTGCGGGCAAAGGAGCATCCGCCACTACCACCTCAAGAACCTGTCGCTATTACCCTGATTGAGTTTAGGCGACATGTGGGGTCTCATATGCAAGATCTGGCGCTTTTTGCGATACCTCGAGGTTATCTGGAGGGAGATGGCGATGCTGATTCCGCTGCTAGCGCTAGGGCAGCTGGTGCTGGTAAGGAATCAGCGTCGGTTGCTCGATCCAGGATCGCCCTCTCAGTGGATAGTTACGACACGGATCACAATCTAGAGCCGACTCAGTCCCCGGTGGACCTTAAAGCGTGCATTGAAGCAATCAACACGTCTTTGTCAATGCCTAGCCCTGCTTTCGAGGAGCAACTCATCGCAGTTTTGCCGGGCCTGAGTGTGCCACAGTTTATTGGTGTGAAGATGAGTCGTGATCTCTCACGGAGGATCAAGAATTTGTCCGATTTCCGTTTTCGAATCATTGTAGAGGCGGCATGTTGCGGTCCAACGGGAGCTAACGCACGATGGCTGCGCAAATGGGAGTCAAGCGCTCCAGGCTCGCTCACATGGTTGAGCATCGTCATTCGCATTCTGACGAAACGATATAATTTCGACACATCCGAGGACTTCACGGATTTGAATCAAAGACACAGGCAGTACCTGGGAAGTTTGATTGGCTGCCCATCTTGGGTCATCAATGCTTTGGAATACGTCTTTGCTCATGGGATCGCAGTCACTCCTGGTCCAATTCCAGAAGATCGTATCATGCGGGACATTGATGTACTTAGAGCGAGTTTCGCTGCTATCGGCCGGAGTAACGAAAACCGTGAGGCCTCACTTAGATTGTATCTTACAGCGTCGAATCGCCACTTGCGAAAAATCTTTCGCGTGTACGGAAGGCTTCATCCTGACGATGACTTGATCACGCAAATTTTTCACTTGTTGAATAGCGCTACTGTAAGTCATCTCAGTGCTCTCTGAATTGACCTGCTGATCTCCATAGAACCCTACTTTGAAGGATAACTCTGAACTATACCGGAATTTCGTGGATGCATTAGTCAAGGAAGTCGCGAATAGTGCACTGAATTCAGTTACCAAGGATGCCAGGCGCTTATATACAGCTCTCCAAACATCCAGTAGCGATGGAACCAATCCGGAAACTGCCATGGAGGGGCTTGCTTTCGAGGTCCTTTATTTGCATTGGAATAAACCCCATCTGAGATCAGTCAAATCAGAATTTGAAGACCTCTATGGGGTCACCGTGGAGTCTTATATCGACAACGTGTGCAGTTACTGGGAGTCTTCTGAACTGCTCGCCGCATTTCTCAAAGCTCTTATTGTAGTGGACACGGAAGATCCTATGATGGAACCGGGAAGCGCATTAGAACTGAATTTGGAACAACCATTCGCCTCATCTACTCCATATCCATCTATACTAGATCCAACTCATGGCTCAAACAACCCAGGATCTGCTCTCCCTTTGCCCTCGGACCTACCAGCCGTCATCCCTCAAGTGAGCGGGGTTCTTGGGTTCCAAGAAGCTGCATGGACACTCATCGTGATCAAGCGCTGGTGGAGACTTTACAAACAGACTAAGATACTGGAAAAACTCTTAACCTCCATCAGCCAGGATAATCCTTTACTTGATGGCCCCGCATGGCTGCCAGTTCTGTCCAGATATCCTATCTTTACCGAATGTCCCGACTTCCTGGATGCGGTCAGACCACATATACAACTCCAAGGATACGACGCCAACCAGTTGATTCTTGGCAAACGTGACTGTTCTACGTCGATAGGCTGGCTCATCACCGGAACCACCTGGTATATTGCAACATACAATCAGAACAACCAAAGGCGCGAATGGGTGACTGAGGAGACTGGGGTTACAATCGGACTGGTAGACACCCTCTTCGGTCTTCCATCTCTCATCGAACACCGGACGAAAACGCCATGTCTACTGGCGACGCTACCTAACGTCACTTTTAACGAGCTTGCGAAAAGCTCTCCTGGAGTAGTAGAGCACATAACAGCGAAGGATTTTGGCGCATCCTTCGACCTCACTCAAGAATGTCTTCGAATTGAGGTTGAGTTTGGACATCCTTGGTGGCACATTTTCCATACCTTACCATCTACCGAGGTAAACCGAGCTGAGGTGGTCGCACGAATCCTGCAGTCTATACCAGACCCTCAAGTCATCCTTCTCCTGCAGCGGACTATCGATAACATCCAACACACGCCCCTGGATCTTGCTGCTGACATTGACGACATTGAGACTGCAAAGGTCCTTCTGGAATACGGTGCCCCAGTCCTGCTTCAGACCGTGAGAATAGTGCTGCGGAACTCCAACTTGGAGTTCATGGAGCTCATTCTCAATCGACGTGGCGCTGCTGAAGCGGCAAATAGACTGCTACGCAATGGGAACAAGGAAGATGTAGCGAAATTCCAGAATTTACTGAAGGAACTACAGGGCAGCGTGCCAGTAAATCTCGCGGTCGAAAGAGACTACAACGTCGCTTTGGTGGAGCCGAGAGATATTTCTGAAGGCGAGATTGAAGCTCCGGACGAGGATACGAACGAGCCTGACGACTTAATTCTCGAAGACGATATTCCATTCTCGCGTGATGACTTCGCAGCCGCGATTGAGAATTGCTTCAAAAACGACGACGCTACTACTGAGTCTACTAGTCATGTTGGCCAACTACTCGAAGCATTCCCAGACAAAGCGACGGCTTCTGCCTTCCTCAACAGCATAGCTTTATATAACGATGGTGGCTTCTCGCCCGTAACGGGTGCTATAAAACACGACCGCTTGGAGTTGTTGGCCATCCTATTGAAGAATGATATCGATACAAATGCTGCTGACGCTAATGGGTTGTATCCGCTGGATCTTGCCATGTCGAGCACCGAACGACGTACGGAGAAATGCGTCTTGCTACTTGATCACGGCGCAACGAAAAGCAGTCAAGATCGCCGAGCTGAACTAGCGCAGTTGAAAGAGCAGATCCGCATCGCGAAAGACCATGGTAGTGAATGGTCTGAGATACTACAGCGCGCGGCAACTTCGGAGGAGTCGTTGGCGCTCGTGCAGAACATCCTGGAGAAGGCGGAGCACCCGCGATTGACCGCAAACATCCTTCTTCCTTCCGGCCAGACAGCACTCGATGTTGCGATAGCCCAAAACAACGCCGATCTAGTGCTGCTGCTCCTGCAGCACGAGGCTTGGCCTGCAGAAAACTCGGCGCTGGTAGCTGCAGAGGCGAATTCCGATTTGGATCCAAGGATTGTTGGTGCCATGCGCAAACATCTTCCTGTTGCCTTCAAGAACTCCACAGCGGCGCAAGCAATCAAGAGCGAGGCGCCGGACGAAAATGCAAATGGGAATGAAGGAACGGATACGGAAGCCGAGCAAACGACGGCCGGCGAACACAACGATAATTCTCAAAAGGCGCCAATCGATACAGATGAGAAAGCACAAATCGATGCAAACGAGATAGAAGATGAGCCTATGACTGCAGACACTGGGAAATTAGATTACGAATCTACTGCAGCACATGCTGATACTACCCAAGAGACTTGTCAATCGTCTTCGGGCCCTGGGCTTGCCGAGCAGGCCACGCAAGTTGCAGTCCACGAAAAAGCACAAACCGGAGAGCAGGTGAAGATAGGTTAAAATGAATTTTCGATTACACAGGCTATACAGGCTGGAAAATCTGGTTGTCGTTCACGTCGACATTCTTGTTAAGGAAAAGTTTGGTACCTCGCCCAGTCTGTAGAAGACAACAGGTGACATGCACGAATCACGGGTCACACACGAATCTACATACGCACTTCGTTTGCACGAGAGGCTCCACATTTGCAGTGCGTGCAATGCTGCACTACCTGTCCTCCAGCAACCCCGAAGTTATCAAAGGGCTTCGGTTGTCGCTTGTCGCCCATGAAGATCGAGTTCGACACTAGTGCTACAAACGCCCGATTGAGGCCTTTCACTTCATTTGGAAAGGCCACTCGCTTCGGAATCGACCAAGCTCCCACCTTCACCAAGTCTTCCTTTACGTCCCGTTCGAGCTCTTTCAGCAGCTTCATGTTACGCCAATAGAAGTCCATGCCATGGCCACCCCGCGTCGAGATGTGCGCGAGCTCGTGCAGGAGCGTCTGCACAATTACATCTGTTCTAAGGAAAGTGTAAGGATCCGAGCGAGTACGCAGCTGGAGGTAGATCTTGTCGCACTGCACCGCTTGAGCTCCTGTGTAGGTACGGCCTAGGGAAGTCTCAAAATACTTGGTCTCCGTACGGACCTTCGCATAACCCCATCGGCCGTCATCACCTGACAATTCGAGTAGCATCGGGACAGTCCATTCACGACGGCACATTATGGGACCAACGACGTATGCGACGCGTCGAAGCGAGTGGAGAGTGCGGTCTGCTCGCTAGGTAAGTCTGAAAGCGTGTCATAGGCGCGGAAACATCCATCGAAACCTTCGCGAGACGGGAATTCGGGAAGAGTGTAGTACATCTTGGCGTATGGTGTGCAACTCGGTGTTGAGGTGCAGTGATCATGACAAAGGAGCATAGGGATTTTATGAATCTTGGAAATCGACTGACAGATCTTGTAGGGATACAATGCCGATTCTCGAGCGACGATGCGGCGCGCAAAATTCTAAACGCTGTGCGGGAATGAAATCGCGTTCACCACGAGTTGAAGGCTGCGTGATCCCGACTCGAGGTGAATGCGGCTCACAACAGCAGGCTTCAGATCTCACCCCCCTGGCTATTGTCAGCCTCAGATGTCTTGAGTATAAGACATTCGCTTTCCTCTCAAGCTTCTTTATCAACTTCCATTAGCTTTCAAGCAGCAGCAGCTGGCTTCACTATTCTCCAGCCTCAAGATCACATCCAACCTCGACAGAATACTCCGTTAACATGTCCGGCAACCAGACTTCTCCCACTGTCTGCGCCAGCAGTACTTCGACGTCCACTCTGAGGGATACCGACCACAGCATTGGGTCGCCGGAGCTGCCTCGTAAGTTCAACTACACTTCCTGAGCTTCAAAATCATCATCATGTATCTGTCTGACCTGTCTATCAGCTCGTGCTTCTCGCCGTCTTCTTGCCGCAGCAACCTCCCGGCTCCCGTCTTCTCGCCTCAAGGGCGCCCCCGGAGCCATCGTCTTCCACCCAGAAGATGATACCGACTCCGAGATTGAACTCTTCCCCACCAAGTCTCGCAAGGGCTCCAAGAGACAGAAGGTCAATCATCCAAACGATGATGAGAACGATGGTCATCGCGCTCGCATCTCAATTTCCCCTTCTCCAGACTCCGATATCGAATCTGTTCAGCAACTCGCTCTCGTCCACCCCGTGATCAAGCGCGCTCGACGCATTATCGACCCCCAGAACGCCGCCGATGCCACCCTCATCGCTTCTACATCTCGCGCTGGTGCAGACTACTACGACAGCGACGCCGAAGACCTCACTGGCCCGATCAAAGGCATGAAAGACACCGCCAACCACTTCCGCAACGTCAAATGGGGCGCTTACGCTACCGACAAATCTAACGACGCCGAATTCCCCACCACACCTGTCTTCCGCGCCTTCGTCCCCGGTCGCTTCGAGCGCCTCGCCGACGGGACCGCATTCGACCAGAAGCGCAAACTTATCGTCAAGCTCACCGATGCCAAGGGTACCAAACACATCTACGCCAACCCGCCCCCTCGCGAGTGGACTAACCAGGATGCCATCACTGCGCTCAACAAGAAGACGGTGCAGCAGATTCGTCGCAATACTGATGTCAAGTTCCGCGCGGGTGTGAATGAGTATGTTGAGGTTGAGCGTGCTTGGATCCTTGCGCATCTCAAGGATGGCGGGCCAGAGCATAGCTGGGCGCGATTTGTTAACGAGTTCAACAAGGAGTTCGCCGGGAAGGTTGTGGAGGGTGCTAAGGATGAGAGGCCAATGCGCAGTCAGTCTTCTTTGAGCAAGGAAGTTAGTGGACGCAAAGAGTTCTATGGGAAGGGCGTTGTGCCGGTGTTGAGCAAGGCGGCTAAGAAGTAGATACTGGCGGCTTCTTCAGTGGGTGTGTTCTTGGTTTGTCTTGCTCTCGGTTCACGATGCTGGTCGCCGCTCATGTATGCGCGATCTGTGTAGTGGTTGTCACCTGGAGACAGCCAGGTATCTGTTTGATCACTTCATGATACAAAGTACGCTGGAGAGCTCCCTGTTGATATTTCCATTTCTGGTCCGAAGCTATCGAATGATCTATGACTCATCCTCAACCGCTCACGAACATCAAACTTCATAGACGACTTCAGCGTCTCGTATTAGGTCCGCTTCGTCATATCCAGACTCGTCAAATTCCCTAAACATCTCGTACCTCTCATCCCCATAGATCTCCTCCATGATGACCATTCTGTTCTGCTGCGCAGGCCACACCTGCGCCATTTGCTGCATCCGCATCTGCTCCCACATACGACTCTGCCACGTCCTCTGATCAGCGAACCCCAACACCTGCCATCTCACGTCGTGAACATTATCCGGCATTCCACGGCATATGAACCTCACCATATAGAGGCTGTGTCTCAAACATGCATCATCTGCATCGACCCTGGGCAGATTCAGATCAGAATCGGGGTCGTGTGTGATGCGCGCGATCTCGTTGTGTATGATTGTGGCTGCTGGGAAGGAGCGCAGATGGTGCATGAATTCGTCGGCGCGATTCCCGCAGACATCGGGGTATCTGAGCGCGTAGATGATATCGGTCATGTAGACTTGTGTTACTTCAGGGCCAAGGATGTTGGAGATGGTTGAGAGGAGGGTGGAGGTGTATCTTGAAGTTCGTCCATGGTGTGGGCTACAATGTTGGTTTGTATGTGTGATTTTGTCAAACTCGTGATGCGAGATTATGGATAGGAAGGATGGGAAAGGGTAAGATTTATAGCAAAATTGTATTTGCACTAAAACAATTGAAATTCTGAAACTGTGTGGTCTGCTTTGCGAACCATGGTTGTCAACAAAACTCCTGGTGGCACGAACTGTGGTTGCGTTTTTATTAGTTCCATGAGAATCACACAACGAGAATTTAAAAGGCAACATTAGGCGTGATCTACCATACCAACGTTTACACTCTATTCAGACTCAATCAAGTATGCATCGTGTCTGCAAATCCATCTGCAAGATCATAAAGGTCAGAGTCGCGCGCGAGAGCAGCTGCATCCGCGCGAGCAGGATTGATGGCAAGACCCTCGAGAAGTGCAATGAGGCTGTCCTGATCTTCACGCGACTGCTTCTCAACAAAGGCCTTGCCGTCGCGTGTCGCAAGTTCCGCGTCGATGAAGGAAGCAGCATACTGCCGCTGCTCTTTCTCATCCTTGTGCCCACCCTTGTCAACTTCGCGCTCGCGCTGACACGAAAAGCCAATAAACTGTTCCGCCAAATCACCAGTCACAGCATGCCATGGATACGCTTTCGCTAGGTCCGGTGAGAAAGTCTTGACAAGACCCGGGACGAAATCTTCAACTAATAGTCGGTGGAAGGATACCAAGGATGTGTGCTGTTTGGTGAGATCTTCCAGGCGATCGTACGCCTGTTCGTTTGCGCATTCGTGGTCCAGGAGCGTAAGAAGTTTCGCGATGTAAGTGAACCACTGATCACTTGGGAAAGCCTTGAAGAGTCCTTTCATCTGATACAGGATATCGTTGACCGGTGAGCTCCAGAACCCGCGCTCGTAACCGTTGTCGGGAAAGTCTAGATCAACTAAGAAATCCGAGTTCTCCACGACGTCCATTTGTAGGCGTATTAATTTCGGTTGATGTAGGCCATTACTTGATGTCACATGCAGTCTGGGGGGCTGCGTCCTGGTGAAATGAAATGCTCAATCGGAGGATACACGTGATTTATACTGCTAAGTGACCTTTCAAAATCGTGAGACAACGTATCTCCGTGTAAGTGTGTGATAAAATCTGTGGTAGAGCGCACGTGGTGATTTTGCAGCGCCCGTGCTTGCCCACGTGATTCATGTATTTCATTGGCTAACCTTGGCGCTGTAGATACCCGTGATGACTCATTCTGAAACTCACTGTGCAAAAAAAAAACAGAGACAATGTTTGGGCACAGCCCGCGCGTTGTGATTTTCAGATGAGGCCCGGGCCGAGCTACGTGGGCAACACACGCTAACCATGAACGAGCCTTCTGAGTGAGACTGTGAAAAGTAAGTGCCAACCTCGCCATCCCATAATTTCCTCGCATAATCCCTAACTTGCCCATTAGGAGACACTCTCTCTCATCACATTAACAATTCGCTTGCTACAACTCAACACCGACTTTATCACGGGAATGGTACTCACATCAACATCAACATCAACATCAACATCTGGTCTTGGTATACACCATGTCTTCACATGGAGCGGATCGGCTGGACAAGGGGTTTCCTATCAAAGCCAAGTTTCCAAACGGGCACATTATGGCGATGGATGTTGGCTACGTCGGCCAAGTCTACCTTCACTTTGCACCAGACGGCACGGTAATCAAAGCTGAGGCCGATCTTATCGACGCGGCGTTCAAGCACATTATCATCGACGACCCGGAAATCCTGCGCATTTTTAGCAAAAATGGCGACACTATCGACATGAACATTCTACACCCAGCGGCGGTGTTCGCAATTGAGTCCCTGAACATTGTCAACTCTGAAGAAGAGTATTTCCTAGACGCAACCTGGGACAATGGACGACTGATAAACGTTACTCAATCTAGTCGCAGGATAGCTTATAGGATAAACACGACCTTGGACGGGCCACAGGAAGCAGAGGAAGGCGCTGTGCACAAGCGAATCCGCGAGTCTATCGAGACCCAGCTGACTGAGAAGGCCGCAAGAGGAAGACCTGGGAGGAAACGAGCGACCGAGGCCCGACCAAGCGATAAGATTGCCGTGCCAGCACTACCAGCCAAGCGACAAAGGGCTACCAAATCAGTAGTTGAGCTCCCGACTGAGTCAACGCCAACACGGGATGTCAGCGAGGAAGCCGATGAAACACAACAGGACTATCAGCCGGAAAAGTTCACCCCACGGAGGCGTGCTCCAAGACAACATACCCCACGAAAACGCGCCCCGAAGCTCTCCAAGACTCCGGAGCTAAACGAGAATGACGCACCGAAGTTGACCAAGACACAAATCGCAATGCAAGCATTATACCGCGTTCTCGATGTACTTCCCGACGACCATCGCGAGACATACAGACACTTCGCCACCGTCGTCCGCAAGGAAGTTGCCAAGGACGAAGAAAGGACGCTCGAGTTCCACCGGCAGCTCCGCCAATTCGTTGATCAGCATGGCATCCTCGAACAGCACAATGAATACGTCAAACTGCTCAAAGCCAGTGGACCCAACAAAGCTTTCCAAATGCCGTTTTTCGAAGACGAGGGCGCTTCTTAGGAGGAGCGTGGAGGAGACGAGCCTGGACTGGATGACAGCGGTGTCGCATTGGAATCGCCAGCCCATGCGACAAGGTCTAAATCTGTGCAACATGGCAACGATACATGGGGAGATGGCGGTAGCAGCGCTGGAGAGTCTCTGTCTAGCGTTTCAAAAGCGAAATACTCAGGGCCGCCTATCGGCTGGTACAGCACTACGCCGCCAAAGCCGAGGAAGCGTTAAAAATGAGACAGTTGTATTTTAATTCGACAGGCGGTTGCACGAGGACGAGTTTCGTGGGCAGGTGTAGAGTTTGATATCAGAGGATTCTTTTTTTGCCAGTCAATGGTCGAGCATAGTTCAAACTTAAGTGAGCACATGAGATTTGCCAACAGTGGTCTTAAATTCTCAGCTTTACCCATATTTTTTCGTTGTTACGAGCTTGCTGAAGTGCGTCAGTACTGGCTGGTGAGGATCAGCTGGGAGATCTGCATGTGTGACTGCCATTAGCTTAACAGTGTACCTTAGCTCTTACATCGTATCGCTCAGGGAGATCAGAGTAAGTGTGCACGCACGTGGGGAGCTCGGCGTGGTATAGACCCCACGTGAAGATTGGCCGACATCTGACGCCCGGCCAAGACTATGATTGACGATATAAAAACCTGATGTCCGGATATGTTGAGCCGTGGCCAGGTAGAGAGCGACTATTCTTGGGCGACTCGTCCGACCCAACGCATTTAATCCCCACTCTACTGAGACTCTTCTTGTCCTCCAAAAGAATCCACAGAATACATGTCTTGCAAGAATATGCGGCTCTGGGTTGAGTTTTGAGATTGAGCAGGTTTTGCCAAGGTGTGAAAGGGCATTCATCACATGCCGATCTGGCAGTGCAGCGCGCGCCTCAAAACCATATTATACGCCGCGATGCTACGTCACTATAAAAGCCCTATTGCGGCACTAAAACTATATCTCCCCCTCCTAAAACTCCCCCTGGTCACCCTCTCTTTGAAGCTCTCACCTCACTCTTCGCTCTCAACCTACCTGTCGAGATCAACCACGTCACTGTCTGTCAGCATGTTCTCATCAGAGTCACGTTCCTCACGCTCAAAAGAACAGCGTCGAAAGTCTGACCAAAAGCCTTGGAAGGGAGCGAATGAGATACCCTTCGCCTCTTCAAGTCCTCCACCAGCAGGATTCCGTAGTATCTCTACATTCAGCGTGAACGAATTAGAAAGCTTGACTGGAAATTCAGACACTTCCGCCGCGGCTTTCAGCTACTCGACCGCATATCGTCCAACTTCATCGTCATCCGAATAAGAGGGAAACACAGAGGCAGATCCCCTCGTGGTTAAAGATGGCGAACATGAGGAAGACACTCTCCCAGCACCCCATGGCCAACCCTTTCTGCTCAACCTGAAGTCCTTTGCGGCACGAAACCCCGTGTTTGCACCGGGAGCACAGCCAGAGGACGAAGCTTCAGAAACCGACGACGAAAGCGATTCTGAATTCTCTGACCAAGAAGAGGTCACCCCAGTTCACGACACTACAGTTGAGGATTTCGCAGAAGGTGAAGAGTCTGTCGAGGAAGAAACCGACACAGAATCGCCAACAGAGGGGACCGACCTTTATTTGACTACACGCGAGTGGAACATTCGCGTACTCACATCCGAGTTCCGCACGAAGCAGCTGGAAGCTCACCATCCAGCTCAGGTACTCATAAATCGCCCCCCTGAGCTAGAGTTCTCACGGTTGGCAGACGCGAAGAAATTTTTGAATCAAGTCAATTCTTTGCCAACCGATCAGCACCCAACAGACATCAAAGAAGCCGAGAACAGTGTGAGTAGGGCCGAGCGGGATCTCGAACTCGCCAGCGCAAGGCTTGACACACGCGAGGTACAACTGAAACTAGAACGTTCATCTCGAGACGTTGAAGAGATGAAAGAGTACGAGGATCATTTGCGTGCTGCAGGCACGAAGCGCCAGGCGGATGATCTTGAGAATTCGATTGCAAATCACGGCAATTTTCGAAGTCATGACAAGGTGTCGGTCGATTCATCGATGACTGTGTCACAAGCCGAACGCGAGAATTTCAAGGCAGCGAGAAAGTTGGAGACTGCCATACTAGAGCGCCGTTTTATCGAAGCTCAGTTAGCAGTGGCGAAATCTCAGCGGAACCAACAAGGATCTGGAGGAACCAAGGAGGTGTTCGCAGTCGAGAAGCGCTTAACTCAGGCAGAGCTTCACATCCATCTTTTGTGCATGGGTAGAGATAAGGCCCATCGAATTTGGCAGCTCACACAGCTAGTAGAGCGAGATGTCGCCAATCCCGATATCATCGTTCACAGTGCATTTGTGGACCACGATATGGTTGAGGAGAGCGTAGAAGCCGCTTCCGACTCTTCCGCAGACGAACCCGAGTATGCTGTCGGCCAGTATGCTAATCAAGCCAACACTCACTTTCAGGCGATGACCGACCTTCATGGCGGACGGCCACACCTGCATCATCAACATACAGGCTTCCACCCATTCAATCGCCCGTACGTTGATCTCCAGGAGATGGCGGATCAGAACGCATCACGGCCAGCGGCTCCTGCACCTCACGCGACACAGCCGGCACCCGTGGCAACTCTTCCTCTCCCTTTGCATGGCCTCTACGACCCATTCACGATTCCGTTACCTCGTCCGAATCTCAATCTCAACCCAGATGAGGACTCAGACGACGAGGAGGTAGATCTTGGCCCTCCTGTTCCTTACAATCCGGCTATGGCACGTCGCATCCATGCTCATAGCGTGTGGGGCTTATCGATTCATGCTCTACGCGATGCGAGGGCTGGCCGTAACAACGGGGACATCGAAGTGCTGCAGCGTACCATGGACGAGGCCAGAAACGCGTATTTGGCGTTGGGTGGCGTGGTTCTGGATCCAGTGAATGGAAATCCATACATCGAACCTGGCCAGAACGAGGGCAATGTGGGTGAACACGTTGCGAAGAAGCAGAAGACGGGATAAACGCAATGGAGTGGGAGGAGTGTTGTGGAATGGGTTGAATCCAAAGTGTCCGAGTATGGTAACAATCGATCTTTCTGAATAATAACTCTTCATAATGTACAGTTTTGAAGAATAGAGAATGACATCTACAATCACGATTTTAGCCGGACCATTTGACTCGATGTGTAGACTAATCGGAGGAGGCCGTGCTGTGAACGCGAGAGTGACGATGACGCCATCCATTCGTTCGGGCGTTCGTTTGCTACATCAAGCAGCTCCGCTTGCGCCTGTGCAGGGCCCGATAATCTGACTAGAATCAGAACTGGCAATAATCAAAACGCAAAATTCGGCTCGCGATTATGTCTCTCGTCCGTTCTTTGCGCATCTCATGTTCTTCAAACTCTCTGCGTCCTATATCTCGTTGCATGGACAGCCTTGATGCAATTCTGGACGAGCTTACTCTGATTCCTTACGATCTGCCTCCCCAGTCACTTTTATACATACTAAGTTATATTTGTATATGGGATGTTCAGTCACAGGCGTTAGGCGCACTTTCATGAGGCTTGGCGCGTTAGTTGACAGCTCTGGAGTGAAAGGCAAGCAAGCCTCGAAAAAAAATTGCGTCGACAAACGCGTCATCGTCCGGCGCGACAACAAACATAGTCCAAACATCAAACATTTTCGACCTTCCAATACTCACTACCAACTCCGTCCAACTGCGACAGACAAAATGTCACGCGACTCTCGGTCTCCCACGATAGAGCCCACAACCCTGCCTGATCAGACTCCAGGCGCAACAGAAGCGATGACGCCACGAATTTCTACTTCCGTACCCTCCGACGAGCCGTCCGCGAAGATGCTTGCCGACATGAAGCACGACATCGAAGTCCAGCTCGAGGCAACCACACGCAAAGAATTCCACAACGCTGTGAATGGCCTGATGTGGATCGGCGGTCGCAAGATCAAAGCCGTGGAGCCGCGTCGCCAGAGGATTCGACATGTCGTTTCGAGCAACAAACAGATCGCTAGAGCATATGCTGAGTTTGCGACCGCCCATAGGGTGGGTGAGAAGAGGGTGACCTTTCAGTTGCCGCTGGTGGAGACAAATGAAGAGCAAGGAGAGGGACAGACTGATATTGAAAGGAGTGTTTGTACCCGAAAGCATACGCGGACAAGAGGCGAACGATACAGAAGCTGCAAATAGTGGCGAGCCGGGCGTGGAGATGGAGGAAGACGTCATGGTCGGTTTGAAGATGGACAAGCGCACTGATGAAGACAAGAGGCAAGCGTCAAGAGAGAAGAGCATGGAGGGCGTTGGAGAGCAAGCCGTCCAACCGTCTAGTATGCGCCGAGAACCCACTACTGCACCTGGAGGTCTTAGTCTAGTCCTATCCGAAGCTAGGCGGAGAAGCAGACAAGTCGTATTCGACATACGTCAAGCGGGACAAGTGGCCAGGACACCTCAGAAGCAGCGCCAAAAAGCTCGCAGTTCGAAGTCTAAGGAGCAAGGTGATGTAGGTGCTCCAGCCGCCGGGACAGAGTCGGAGGACGTTGAGATGACGGACACGACCTATCCAGCTTCCGAAGCATCTCACCCACAGATGCAGACACCAATCGAATTGCCTGTCTTGCAGCGCAGCGCCATGGGGAAACAAATCGCGAAGCGCCCCAAACAATCTCCCTGGTCCGGTCTGCCGGCAGCAGAGCACAGCGTCCTCGTACCAGTCACCAACCCCGAAGCGTTTCCTGTTGAGCGTATCCAGGTCGTACAGTCCCAGCACTACCCATCAGCAAAGATCATGAGCATGCAGACGCATCGCGATATTCAAGGCGGTATCGGCCAGGTGACCGCAGACATACAAGACGGACCTGTCAACCGCCTGCTCATCAAGGACTATCGACTTGTGCAGGCGCTAGGTCTCCTACACGGCGCAAACGACACCATCGCCATCCGAACATTCGACCTCAGATTCGATGAGACCTTTGAAATCATTCTGCTACCTGGGCAGCGCCCAAAAGATCTCAAGAACTTCGTCGTTGGCGAACTGGTACCTGCACGTCATGCATACCTGCACTGGCTGGACTACCGCGGTACCGCCGATCCGAAGTATGCTCCCTTTGCAATGGAAGCAAGATATATTGCGGTCCAGCTTGGTAGGCGTGCGATGGATGTCTGGAAGGAGGTCGATGGCTACTGGCAACTTGAGCAGGGAAGCGGGGGATCAGCTTATAGGCGGAATCGTCTAATGAACTTGGGCGAGGATCCAGTGTATGAAGGAAACGGGAAGAGGACGCTGACATTCATGAGTATGTGGGGATGATTCTGTCGTGACGAAGTGCTAGTTAGTGTCAGTGAATTGTGTTACGACGAAAGTGTTCGAACATACCTGAAAGCGTAAATGTTTAGCATAGCCTTAGCAAAAGCTAAGGCGAAATGTTTACATGATCTGCTCAAATGTGAAAGTGAGTGCACGTGACAACGTGTCTGACACCCGTGCGTCATGCGTGGACAATGCCCCATTGTTGTTAGCCTCCACAATCACGTTGCCAAGACCACGCGTACCTCATCTATACTCAACAAGTACCACTCCTTGCAACGATACCAACCAGCAAAAATCACTCGGAGAATCAATCTTGCTACGCGAAGAGCAGAATGCGCCTCCGCTCTAGCTATAGCGCGTCGCAGTCTCCATCGCCGACTGTGTCGTCCAACCGAAAGTCAAATGGCCATGAGGTCACACCACAGCCTGGCCGGCCAAGTGATGCAAATCTTATACCGCAGAGTGGCACTCCACGCTATGGGGCATCCGCGACTCGGCGTCTCCCGTTCGCGGCATCCAACTCATTGGGTCCAGAGTACACGTCAAGTTCACAAAAAGGCCCAGGACTGGCAGCAGTTGAAAAGATGTTCGGAACGCAGCTTCCACCCGCTGACTACGATACCTATGAGAAGATGATTGCTGATCTGACACGCGTCAGCTTCGGGGGAATAGCGCTGCGGGCTTCTCTTCATGCCGCTCTTCGAGAATTCTTCGCACGCCATCCTGATGCAGTACATGTACATAACAAATTCGCTTCTTCCTACAACAAGAATGTAGGGACGGACGATCGTTTTCATTTGCCAGTTATTGGACTTTTCGGAGTTGGCGGTACGCGGACGGGGCGTCTTAGTACAGGGTACGCGCCTCAAGGGAATCAGCGAGAGCGCGAGCTCAGTGAGACAGCGGCTCGTAGTCCTAGTGCAGGCACGGAGATATTCCTTGCCATGCAGTATGACGGAGCGATGGACTTTGAGCCAGTCAATGCGACTCAGCCTGTTCGGTTACCTGAACGGACATCACCAGTATCGCCTTCTATGAACAGCGTCGACGACCAGGACGTAAGGCCAGCATCTCCGCATCTTGTAGATGTCGACATGGGTGAGCCAGAGGAAGAAGCTTTGCAAAGGAAACTGCTGAAGGAATCTGCACTGCGAAATGTGGAGGCAGAAAGAGAAGACAGAGACGTGGAACACGCAGCAGTCACACCAAGTAACCCAGGTACCGCAGATTGGTACCAAGAGAAGGAACACGACTCACCGTTACCACTGCAAGAGATCTTGCCGCCAGCGAATCTTGCCCAAACACCTCGCACACCCACGGAGGCCCCGACGCAACAGAGCGACGTGGCGGAAGCACCACCATCTGCTGCTTTGACAGAGGGAGAAATGATGGATATGAACAGCGGAGAGGACAGTCTCGAGTCTGAAGAACGGGAAAAGAGCCAACTACCTGCCTTATCTCAACCATTCGGACGCGAGCCAAAGTACGGCAGCACCGAAGAGTTTCGTCTGCGCGAGAAACGGTCGGTGCATTCTTACCTTGCATGGCTCCAACACCGCCAGACGCGCTTCCCCACCGCACCGCCAAATTCTTCCGAGATCATTCTGATCGCAGAGCAGTTAAACAGACCAGAGGCGACTGTCTACGATGACATCCTATACCGCTGGGGCTTTGAGACAAACAGCAAGTGCGGGGCGTGGTACAAACAGAACCGCTTGACGGTGCTCGGGAAAGATCCAAGGTTCGATGAGGAAACCATGGGGAAATGGGATGCATGGGTCAAAGAAGGCAGAGATGATTTAGCAAAGAGAGAGTCGCGATGATGGTGGACGCGTAAAGGATGAAATTTGCAAATCGTGGTAGTCAAGGGACTGGACGCATTCGGTTAGACCGTCGCGTCACGGACAATTTGCATCATCGCTGCTTCACTTGAAGATGCGTACAAATCATTCTCGTGCACGTATTATAAGAGTGCTCCCTCATAGCTAACATGCTTCATTTTCAGACCCACATCCTCAATCGCATTCATATCGTATGCAGCCCAACACTTATGGCGCGCCATAACCAGGTCTATCTACGTCAATTGATACCCGCTTTGTTGACGTCCTGATGCAAACGGAATCAAAACGTTCGCGAGAATAGAAAGCCTTAGGTACATACTTTCAAGAACCACTACTCATCCATTGAGCCGTTGCTCGACGGATTCGATGGTGCTGGGTTTGGAAGAGGCCCTTCCTCATACGATGCGTGAAAGATGTCGCCACCATCGTCCGACTCGTCATCAGAGGGTCCTGTCGCAGGTTCCGCGTCGACTTTACTCCATGGTTCTTGAGGCTCCTTAACGATTGGTACGGTCATGGAGTGGAATTCGTACGCGTGCCGGTGGCTGGCGTCCTGGGCTTCGAAACCATGCGGGATACTGGATGTGCTCTTGTTTATGCCTTGAGGTTCGCCGATCTCCACAGGTTTTGGAAGACTGGTGGCATTTGCATCGTGTGTTGTTTCTGGAAGGTTGCCTCTGCGATCATCGAATGTCATTGGTGTGTACGGCACTCTGATACCCAGGGCTGGCCATCTTGCTTCTGAGTTCGTCTGCGCTTTGATACCGTAATGGTCCGAGATCCTTGCATGATAAACGGCTACGCCTCCCTCAGCCATGTGAAGCGGTATTTCCGGTGGATCGATATTCGACCCATCATCTCGGCCTTGGGAAATCTTAGAGTACGCGACCCAACACTCCGCAGCCGGATGAGGCCACCATGCTCGACACTCATTCGTGAGTTTACATCGCCTTCTACTATCCTCGAGCGGCTTGATATGCTGATCATCAACTTGCCACATGCGGGCTGAGTCAAATCCTCGACTTGTTGGAGGTAACGAAGCAGGGTCTATTTGCCCAGGGTCGATCGGGGACCTTGGGGGAGAGTAGACTTCAGACGCAGGTGATAAATCTTTGTACACGTGCCATTCGCGTCTTCCGTCTGTTTCCTCTGCCCATGATGTGATATCGATGCGATGTTCACCGTCATTAGGTGGCGCCCTCTTCTTCCGGCAGAACTCATGCTTCAAGTATGGATAATCTGGACTTGCATTGCGCTTCCTTCGAAGCTGTACTTCTTCCACGGGTGCTTCGCTGTTTTTGATGCCATCTTCTTGCTCACTTTCTTCTGATTCTCTTGTTTCAGGCGTTTGAGATGAGTCTGAATTCTCTAAGTGCTCTTGTGTCTCAGAGTCCTTCCTGGCTCCAGGTACCGGTCCACGTATCATAGGATCACGATCCTTTTCGTCTTCATCGCCACCATCATCATCGTCGCTCGACAGAATTTCATCTCGCACAGCACTGATTGGCAGAATAGTGGGATAATCAGCTGGTCGTACCTTGTCCAAGCAATCGAAGGATGTCAGCCAGTCCCACGACAATTCCTTGGCCGCGATAAAGAGACCTTGATCTGTGCGCATCTCGCCCCATCGATCTGCGTAGGGCGCGCCTTCGAACGATCGGATGGAATTTAATGCCAGCGTACTTGGTCTGCTTCCTGCGAAGCGGGCGGTCTCAAGCTCGCGTCGCTCTGTGTGGGTTGCATAGCCTAACCCCTTTTCTACGCTATCTTTAAGTAGCACATCGTCATGCTTTGACCTTTCCTTCTCGATTTCCTCGAGATTGAGATTGAGATTTATGGGAAGATTGATGTCACCCTCTCTAGGGTGATCTGCGTAATGAAACTGCTCGACTCCATCTATCATCTCTCCGACGCCGTTTTCATCAACGCCAATCCTTGGTGGTAAACCCGAATGCCAGCGTCTGGGTCTAGGCGTCCACATGTGTAGCTCTTCCGATCCGATTTGCGGTCTTTGTGTCGTCGTGCCGAGATCGCGTAGAACGTTGCCCAAGCGGTCGACGTGCCCGGACTGGTACCTCTGGCCACCGATTTCGCGCCGGTCGTAGTAGTTGAGCATATAACGCATCCAATCTTCATACCCACCATCTCCGCCTGTCGCTTGTAGCTTATACGATATTCTGGTCCTTGATCGCTCAGCTTCGTACGCAGCACGCTCTGCTGGATCTGGGTTAAGATAGCGCCATCTCTTCCATCTTCGCATGCTATCTTGATAATATAAAAAGTCTTCTAGGCGCCATTGCGCTCCTGCGAGACGGTAATGCTCGTCGGAGCGCACCTCTCTGGAAGATCGTCCGTTTCTTGTTACGGCCTTGACTTTTGCCAGTCGAGTTTTAAACGGTTCATGGGCGGCTTTAGCGGCTTTGGGCGTCATCGCTACGTCCCCCATGCGATTTGCTTGCCCTGAGCTTTAGCTGCTTCTTTCTCTGCGTCCAACGCATTTTCATATGCTCCTTTTGTACGGTTGAACTCCGCCTGCAAACCCCCAATATCGAGAAGGTCCCACTGGACTTGTTTTGTCCAGTTAGATCTAGTTCGCCCCATTGCGCTTTGTTGGTCTTTCAGGTATTTCTTCATAGCAGTCCAGTAATACACCTCCCTTGCGCCCGGCGAGCCGTCATCATTCGTGTATTGCCGTGTGAATTCTAGCCTCGGAATGTTCAAGGGTGCTGTGGCGCTATCATTTCCATCAGGACTGATATCCTTATCAGTCGGCTTCTTCTTGCCACGTTTCTTTCGGGGGGCCATCTTTTCGATACGCCTATTTTTGTGCCTGGACTGAAGTGATGTTGAGTAAGGTCAAAACTACATGGGAGGACATTGTGGTATTGTGGCTACTATGAGATATACGAAAACTATAACAAAGGATAGTCTGACGCATCCGGAAAATGCGAAGTCATTGTTGGATCCGGCACGCCCTTCCTCTGGCGATTTTAACGACCAATCATCTCTACTCACCTTGAAAACAAAGGCACTTTCACTCGCTTACAGTGCAAATACACCACTCCACGAGCACCATCTTGCAATCTGTGAATTAGAATATTGTTTTTCGCCTTTCTCCTTCATCCAGTCGCTATCACCCCGCTACTTTGACGGACCACCATATCGGTACTTGTACACTGGTCGTGTGCGCGGTGGAAGCGGCATTTGATCCGGCCTTCTTTTCATCATCTCTTCCCACCACCCACCTTCTCTTATCTGCTCCAACCACATCTGGTACTGCCCATAGTTGAAGCCACTTGGATCAATAATTCTGGCCTCCCATAGTGGCGGGCGGTGCATGAAGTTGACCGTCTGGTTCCGGACGGGCCAGGCCGCTGCCACCACGGGGTCACAATATCCGCCTGGGATGAACTCGTATGGTCGTTCCTTCGTACCATGTGCATTCGCACCGCCTGGGCCACGCTGAGGTCCTGTGACTAGGATGCGTGTGAGTGATGTGCCATCGTTGCCGAGATCATCGGCATCATCGTCATCAACATCATCTCCATTGATGCTAGAGGAAAGCCCTATTCCGTCCTCGTCATCTTCGCTAGATGCATCCTGATCGATATACAATGCACTACCAGTCACTGTCGGCTTCGCACTCTCAGGCGCTGCTTTCGCCTGTGGCCCGTCCAACTGGATGTCTGCTGCTGTCCTCTCGAGCCGCTTCGATTGACGAAGACCTTCATTTTGCATGATCGAGTATGACTCACCAGATTTGGCTATGGTCTTGGGCCCATTCTGAAGCTGTTCCAGATCGTGCGAACCAAGTTCAGCCGAAGTCGTAGCTCCTCGCTCGGCTCCTGACACTTCCTCCGATAGCTTTTGTCTATCTGCCATTGTCACCTTCTTTGCAGGATTTCTTCCAAGTTTAAATGGAAGCATGCTTGCTACAGCAGGTTCGCTGGCTGCCATCTTTGCACCAGCTACTGGCAGCTGATCGTGCGGCTTGCCAGCTACAAGCTCCCTGGTGCCACTCATCTGGAAGCCGATATAGTGCTGAAGCTTTCCAGGCTCCACTGTACTGCTCTTCGCCTTCGTCTCGTTGGGTTTGACACGCTTGCCCGTTCGGTCATCTCCAGATGCGTTACGCTTACGCTTCCGAGGCTTGGTCTTTTCTTCTGTCGGTGCCCTGCTCTTTTCTCGCTTTACCTCCTCAGTATCTCCACACCGGTCCGACAAAGCATCGTCATCGTTCTCAACCGGATCGCTAGACCCTGCCTCTTTGCTCCGCTCGGCGGCGCGTCGCCTTAGGAATTCTGGCTTCCACTTGAGCTTGAACATCGGACCGCTGTTGCGATGAGATCCGATCTTTATTCCCCACTTCTGCAAATCCTTCCTCATTGAGGGCACAGTAGGTAATTCAATGTGATCGTCTGGGTCGCTCGCATCGCTAACTTCTGGCTGGACGTTCTCCTCCGCGGTAACCTTGCCATAAATCGTCCACCGCATCGTCCTCGCTGTTCGAGTTGCGCTTAACAGGCTTACGAAAATCCTCTTCGTCATCATCGTCGTCCGACGACTCGCCATCTGTTGTTTCTCCCAGCACCTTGTTAGGTAGGCCGTCCTGTCCTGGTACAGAGACGTAGTCCTTCGACTGCTTGCCTTTTGCGTCCTTGATCTGCTGATCCTGCGCTATCCAAAGAGCTATAAGCTGTACTTTGTTAAGAGCCCGAGGCCGTGTCATCCAAGGTCGGCCAAGCTGTCTCATGATCCTTTCGATCTGTTTGTGAGTGTACTTGGCATTGCGATCTTTCTCGCTGAGCTTCGATGTCGGTCGATACTTGCCCTTGGGCTCGGACGGCGCCATATTGGCAGAGGCGTATAATTGTGCTGGAACCGCGTCTCTTGGCGTATTTGTGTCCTGGTGTCGCGAGTTTAGGAGGTTGGGAGGTCAAGTGATTGGAGCACGGGAGGGGCAATTGAACGATCGCGGTAGTAGCATTGGGCGCGGGGAACCATAGTGCGAGGATCAGGTGTGAAAAACATCTGTTGACGTCACTTTCTGCCCGCGGGATATCGGTTGAATATCGTTTCTGTTATATTGTCGACTTGCTCTCTAGGATCGATCACAATAGGCATATTGACACACTCTCGACCTCATGGCGCTCGAACACATTGAGATGCTACGGCAGAACGGCACTATAAGAAGCTCATGAAGGTGCTACACCTACTCTGATCCGCTGTCAACATATAGTCACATCGTCAGCAATCCCGTTCGGCGCGATGGTGCTGCAAATCGAGTATTGCACTTTTCGCATGTCACATTCACAGCTCTCTTGCTAACACCGTTGTTATGAGTTCGATATTGTCACAATTCACAAAGCTCTACTTCAGCTCTTATACACATGAGTTGCCCGTCTGGTGTCTTGCTAACCAGATTTGGCCAGAAATGGACAGTCAGCTCTCTGAACAGCACAACAAGCTCGGACAAATAGTTTCATCCATTTCTTTCACTTCCTTGAATGAGGTAAAGCCTTAAAGGTGAGGATCGATCTTCCACATCTGAAACTCCAGTACATCCAGCTCTCAAATACCCTCGTCCAAATCCTCCTCGGCCTCAGCAACGTATTATGTCTTGCGCTTCCAAACAGGCGACATTCCATATGGCATGGAAAGTGGTGGTATATTTATTTGACGACTGGACGACGTTAGTATATCTTGTAAGATCAGCCTTGGAAAGAGTGCACGTACAGTTGCGGCATGGCGCTTGGCCCAAGTAGCATATTCCGGTTTGTCGCCCTCTTCGTTCTCGCTATATTCAAAAAGCATTCTCATCTGCTTGTTTCGGGGCATGGGAAGCGGCCGTGGTAGTAGATCGACGCCATCGCCCTTGCGCTCTTGTTTACGCTTGGTAGTGGGTCCCTTGCCTTCCTTGCTTGCCTTGATTGACATGTAAGCGGCGCTTGAACTCTCAAAGCCGTGTGGGGCAATTAAATCATCTCCGGAAACACTCATATCATCTTCGAGCTCCTCCTGAGAATCTCCAGAGCTGCCTAAATCGACGGGCTTGAAGCGCTTGTACAGTCCAGGCACCCCGTCTTTCATGCTGCGGACCGAGCGAGGATGCGGGAGCATGGAAGTGGGTGCTGAAGTCTTCTTGGTAGCCGCTGTCTTATGTACTGGATCAACGCTGCCAGCTGGAGCGGGCACTTTCGAAGCAGCGCCCGTGTTCGGAGAGTGCTTCGTGGTAGCAACACTATCTTCGGTGTCACTCAAATCGCCAGTGATAGCATAATGACGGCCTCTCCGACGGGTTCGACGAGCCTTATGGTGGACTTCTTTCTCATCTACTCTCTCAGTCAATATTCGATCTTTGCGTGGGAGCTTCGTGTCCTTAGAAGGCTTACGATCGGAGATCTGCGCTTCTCTATCTTCGCTCTCCATATCAGTTCCTTCTTGATCCTCGTTCTCCTCGGAAGCTGACTCGCTAATGCCATCGCTGTTCTTCTTCGTACGCTTGGTTTTGCGGATCTCCTTAGAGGCGGTACGCTTCCGCTTCGTCGCTGTCCCCTTCCGCTTGTTGGCTTTGTGCTTCTTACCATATTTCTCGGTTGCAGTTTTCAGTTGTTTAGCAAGCTCTACCCATTCTTCTGGTGTCAATCCGTCCTCGCCCGCAACTGATGTGTAGTCGGCCACCAGTTCGGGTTTTCCTTCAATTTTGATGGCTTGGTCTTGTTCCACCCAGTATGTGATCAATTGAGGCTTATCCATTCCCCGCTTCCTAATCCTATGCGGGCGGTCTTCTTGACGTATGATGCGATCGATGACCTTGTGAGCATATTTCGCATGTTGGCGGTCGGTAAGTGACAGTTTCCAGGTCGGTCGGTAGTCCCCAGTCTTCTTCAAAGGCGGCATCGTGTCGGAAATGGACTGGAATCACTTTCTAGTTGACAAGTAGGAAGGGGTTGAGAATGCAATGTAAAGTCTGGTTGTAGGAATGGAGAAAGTGCAGTTCCAGACCGCGAACATAGAGACCGTGCACACTCGGAAAGCGCTAAACAAAGCTTGCTAAATTTGTGAAAGTCTTACTGGTCGTTTGGCTTTGTAATTCTTTCACTCAAGCTGGCTCATCCGTACCAATCAGAGCGCTTAAATGCATGTGTCGGCGTGTCGACATCATCGCTGTCACTCTGAGCGGAGCTGTGAACTGGATTCCCACCTCCAACCGACCCTTCTCACACATACAGTATCGCAGTAGCATTTCTTTGATCAATAGATACTATTTCCTCACTCGCTGGGCAGTTGGTAGAATTCTCGCCAAGGGTACAGATGAAGATTTTGAAAATTCAACAGGTCACACTGGACTGCTCACTCAGACCTTGGACAATTGATTTCACTAGCCTTGGTGGTAGTTCTGGAAACACCAAAAGAATCCTCGCTAATACGATATCAACATGCCAAGTCAAGGACGGCTGGAACGGAGGACAAGTCAGGCTCTCAATGGGTATGCGAAGGGCTGAGCAAAGCGGAATGGGGAGATTGACGCCAACATGCGTACAATCTCTCGCGCATATCTCAATTCCGACTCATGCTATAATTTAATTCTTGTTTTCGTCAATTCACGAACTTGATCTCGTGTCCAGTCGTCCGACAATTTTGTCCTACGGCCGCGAACCTGGATCACCTCCACCTTCCACTGGTCTGCATGCTATAGCTTTTCCTCCATTTCCTCACCAGGCGATTTCTCACTGTACTAGTCGCATCAGATTGATCGGGCGTTGAAATTTTCTGGTGTTGGTAGGAACACTTTCGTGCCGCGGTTGGTTTCGTGCCGCCATATTTCGTGTGCTTTCGTTGGTCTACTGCACCAATTCGACACTTACTAGTTACCAAGAGCAGTTCGCACGTTTCGATATTTTTGAGCTCCGCAAAAGTGCTATCTGAATGAGCTGGGTTTGCATCATCACGTGTTCGGGTGTGTAAATGTCGTCGGAGTCCGTGTGATCAGCACTGTCTAATTATCCTCGCCCCGTCACGCCCCTGCAAATCTACCCAAGTACAGATGGCTGACATATTTGCTTTGCGGCTTCAGCTACTGAGACTCTGACATCACCAATTCTGCGGAACTTGATCGGGTATCGCGATTCCTGGGATCGGTGTTGGACGTTTGACTTGGCGGGGGCCGAATAGAGGTGCGATAGGCTAGCATGTTGAGTTTCACCTCACGCATGCCTGAAGATCTGCAATCCAACAAGCGATTACTATCTATCAAACAGTCGCGAGTACGTGTTGGGCTAATTCGGCACAACTGAGGTTCGTGAAGTGAGGCGCATAGTGACCAGCAGATAAGAATAGGTAATTAGGTAGCGTACCTACAGCCATGGTACTGCCAAATCGGCCCCAATTCGGTCCGGGAGCCCTAATTCTTGCGGCTTGATACTTACACAGGGCCTCGACATATCAAGATCAACATCGCAAGAGCACCTTTGTATCAGTCAACCTCCACTATCTTGATGGAAAACCCGACTGAAATCCGTACGACATGTTGGCTGTGGAGCATTCAAGCCACGCGTTCATCGATGATCGCAGTTGTGGGTCAGCAATGTAAGCCATCAATAAGCCGCAGGAAAGGTACTTAGGAGGAAGGCATCGGTTCCATGGTTCAATGTCAGCACACCCTTCTGGATACCACAACGATGCATCTTTCCACTACTTTCCTCGCTATCCTCAGCTGCACGGGAGCTGCCCTGGCGCAGAACCATTGGGAAAACAAACCCAGCCAGAATCACTGGGAGCACAAGCCCAACCAAACTTGGTGGGAACCCAAGCAAAAGACTACCGCCGCTGTGGTCAAAGGCGATACTCCTCCTCCTCAGAACCCTCACTGGGAGCACAAGCCCGGGCAGACTTGGTGGGGACCCAAGCCCAACGGCACTGTGAAGCCCCATCCTCATGCCGACGCCAGCAACCACAAGAGAGCTGTGCTGGAGCATGAGAACCCTTGGAAGCACAACAAAACGGGTAGCGGTCATGGAACGGTCAAGCACGGTTGGGGTCACAAGCCTAACGGCGACACAAGGACACCGCCCTCAACACTGGGAATGGACCACCACCACACGAGAAGAGAGGGTCTCAGTACGGAAATCAATCTCCTAGTGGCCGCGGATATGCAACGACGAAGCGGCGTTCGCGTCGCAACACTGGAGCATCTTAAGCGCTAGTGCAATGGGACAAAGGCAATAAATTTTCGAACATGTTGGAATGCGGGTTGAAGATGATGAGGTGATCTGGGCGGATAAAATTGTATATAGTCACACTCCTCGTTGCTTGTATATAGACGGTGAAATTCTCGCGAATACAAATGTGGCCTTGGGCAAAATGGCATGTGGTGGTTTCTGATGATGTCCCGATCAATTTTATGTGCGCTGGACCATCAGTTATACAGTGTTGATGTATTTGGTCACCTCTAAGCAGCGCTGGTATCCTTTTAATTTTTTAGATACTCCGACGCTTCAACCTTGAGCAAGCGCTGCGTTGCAGTCTCCGTCTTGGCAAATCGCCACGGGCGAACTTTGTTATTGAACAGCTCGTCTAGTTCAGCAGCGCTGCGTCTATGTCATCAGTTAGCATCTCATTCGAGGATCATACGGTTTGATGGGGACTTACCCAGTTGTCTCGGGAACCAAAAGCCACATGCCAGCGACGGCTGGAAGACCAATGCCGGCGTAAAACCAGCCCGTCTTGTAACCCCAGTTCCATTCGTTCTCGTTGACCATGTATGGAACGAGCTGATTCATGACAACGCCGGCAACGCAGGACAGGGCTGCGGCAAATCCGGCGGTATATGGTCGGAGACGCTGGGATGACATTTCACCCACCGAGGCCCAGCCTGCTGCACCGCTTGCGGAGATGCCCACGTCTAGTACTCGCGGTTAGTTCGATGTTGCGACGAATTATGCACCGCGCTAAACTTACTTGAGAGGCAAGAAAACATCACGAATAAGATTTCCGAAGCTCGTACAGTCTTTGTTACACCCAAAATGCCAATGACAAGACAGCAAAGCCAACTCAGCGTGACGCCGCCACATCCAATCCACCTCCTCCCTAACGGATCCGCAAGGAAGATGACTACGATTGCAGTCGCAATCATTAGCGAGCTGGTAATACACGTGATGGCGAATGGATCCTTCAAACCGGCCTGCTGGAAGAAGTACGTCCCATAAGTACCAAAGAGCGTCAGCCCAACGAGTTGCTGCGACACAAGCGCCCATGAAGCAGCAAGTGTGCGCACACCGTTAACTCCCTGGAAAATCGCATACCAATTCTCTCTTTTCTGCTCGATTGCCACTGCCTTCTCATGTTCCGCGACGAGCACTAGGGCCTGATAATTTTGCTCAAGATTGAAATCCTTCACGCCGCGGTTCAATTTCTTCAGTTCGCGCTTCGCGCGTGTTGAATTGCCAACTGAGACACACCAACTCGGTGACTCAGGAATCAGCAGATAGATAATTGCCATAAGCCCAATTTGTGCCCACTGCGTCAGGATTGCGGTTCTGAAATTCAGCGGCGACAGCGTGTTCATGCGCTGCAGCGCGATGATGGCGAAGAATTGACCGAGCGAGAACCACAGACTATAGCACATCAACAGGCCACCACGGATGCGGTTGGGCGCTACTTCGGATATATACGTGGGTAAAGTTGTCTGCATGCAGCCGACGCCTATGCCGGAGAGAAGCTTTGCCACCAGCCAATGTGGCCAAGCAGTGGCGAGGCTCTCAGTGAGAATGCTGCATGCCAGGATGAACCAGAGCGTGTAGAGAGCCCATTTCCGCCCGAATCGACTGGATATAAAGGGCAGCGTGACCATGCCGATGATCTGCCCCACGGACTGGATGGTGCCGAAGCCGCTAATGATAGGAGACTCGAGGTACGGCTTGCCCAGCGGATCGTATGCGGTTGCAAATTTGTTGACAAAACCCTGGTTGGCGATGATGCTGGAATTGATGCTGCGAATCTTTTAGTCGCCTGATCAAGTGCTGCGCAAGGGGCCCTTACTTACCCGATTTGGTATCCGTCCGTTGCTGCACTGAGAGCGGCTGCGAAGCATACTGCCGTACTAACTTTGAACGTTTTGACCGTCTGCCATACCGTTAAAGTCTCGTAGCCCACTACAGTTTGACCCTGTGCTGCCGCATCGATAGCAGCATCTTTCGCATCGTGCGTCATGCCATGCTCCTCAATATGCTGTGCTGACGCTTTCACCGTGTCGGTATCGTCCTTTCTGTCAGTCGCGGACATGGTTGTAAGTCGTACTATCGCATTGTTCGAGACTGCTACCGACCTACATCTTAAAGCCCCTTCGTTCGGGATACAATAATCCGAAAGAAATTGACTCCAAAAGTTGGAGCAAGGACGGAGTATCACTACCCCAGATTATTCCCCAGATTCTCCTCCTTTGTCGCGGGCCAACTTCGGGACGAGCATGATCTGGGGTCAGATGTTGCACGACTAGTCATGAACTGGTTGATTTTGTCAGCACTATGTGCTCTTTTCATACTAGTGGTAATTGTGCGAGTCGAGTACCTCCTTGGCACGGGCAATACTACCGCGAGTGTGGTAACTGAACAGAGACGCTTTCACGATATTTCTGAAAGACCACCGTTAGACGTCTGGCTATTGGTACATGCAAAATACTGATGAGTGAATTGTAATTTGCGTCTCCAGCTACGATCCTAGACTTATAACGCCAGCTCCAATGACTGCACTGGCCACTCATAATCTCGCCGGATCTTCGATTCAAATGACCATTCTCCAGGACCAACGTTCTCGATGCGACTTCCCGTGCCTTCTGGTATGACAACTTCTGCCTTTGTACCATATGGCACGACGACTTTGAGTTGAAATGTCTCTACTCCATCTTGTGGTTCGCCCGTCTTCCACTCACATGACACTGTGCCTCTGGGTGTGATGTGAGATGCCGAGGCGTTGGTGAACTCGGCGCCTATCATGGGTGCGATGCGGCATTGTTTCCATCCAGCATCAACACGCTGCAGTCCAGCGAGGCGCTCGTAAAGAAATTTGGCAATGGAGCCAAATGCATAATGATTGAAAGAAGTCATGTCGTCGACATTGGCTTTGCCGTTGGGTAGCATGCTGTCCCAGCGTTCCCATATAGTCGTTGCACCCTTGTTTACTGGGTATAGCCAAGAAGGACACTTAGTCTCCAGAAGCATTGCATAAGCAACCTGGCAGTGTCCCATTCTAGCAAGTGCTTCGCAAACGAACGGCGTGCCGGCAAAGCCTGTGGCGATCTTGAAGCCGTTCTTTTTGACGAGCTCTGCTAGGCGATTGCCGGCCCGGACACGCTTCTCGGGCGGGAGTATGTTCATTGTTATCGCCAATGAATATGCTGTTTGCGAATCTGATACTAAGCGACCGGTCGAAGTCACATATTCATCTTGAAACTCGGCCCGCGCTACCTCAGCCTCGGCCGCAAAGCTGAGCTTCTCAGTTTCTTTGCCAAGTATGGCAGAGATTTGGCTCATCAGATCTAGATTCTGTATGAGAAACATGTTTGCCACCATAATCGCATCTGTGAACGCCTTGAATGGGGAATCTGGTGGGGCTGCAGGATCAACCCAATCCTATGAAGATCAGCATTCACGCAAGAAAGGTTGGTTCTGCGATACTTACGCCAAACTGGAACCCGTTTTGATCGCATAGATGCGTTGCACCTTCTTTGTTCCTCGGAATGATTGATATGTACTTCGTCATAAAGTCATACAGCTGGGATAGGATAGTTTCGTCACCAGTCTCCAGATACAGATTCCACGGTAGCAAAATGGCTGAATCTGCCCAAATTGCGGTCGGTGTTGGCGGTGTCCAAATGGGTTTATTGTTTGGGCAGACTATAGGCGGGACGCCATTCGAACAGCTGGAATCGTAAGCCAGGTCGACAAGCCAATTCTTGAGCATGCCGAAGCAATCGTAAAGCAAGACTGCAGTTGGCACAAATAGTGCGATATCGCCGGTCCATCCCAACCTTTCGTCTCGCTGAGGACAGTCGGTGGGGACAGAAAGAAAGTTGCCCCGCATGGACCACACGACATTACTATGAAGCTGATTCAGGAGGGAATTTGAGCATGAAAATGATCCAACACGCTTCATGTCTGTATGACATACAACGGCTTCAACAGAGGAAGGGTCTAGTTGGCCGACCCACCCGTCAATTTGGGCGTACCGAAAACCGTGAAACGTAAAACGAGGTTCGTATGTTTCTTCGCCATCGTCTTCCGTACCTCTTAGCGTGTACTCGTCTGTTGCAGCGCATTGTCGGAGGATTCGAAGACAGAGCTCACCATCCTCCAGGATTTCGGCATGCTTGAGAGTAATCTTGTGTCCCCGGGGACCCTTGATACCTTTCAACCTGAGATATCCAACCAAGTTTTGATCGAAATCGATGATGGTCTTGCCAGATGGACTGATCGTCTGCTTCTTTACTGGAATACTCTCGAAGCGCCGGACTGGGCCAGCATATCCGGCTGTGAGCTTTATCGATTCCAGTAGTGGATCCAAAGAAGTTACAGGCTTCCATCCCGAGTACGGTACAGTATCTGATGTGGTAGGCATCGACCAGTCTGGAACCTCTTGCGTAGCATCATACTTCTCTCCATCGTAAATCTCAGCCAGTCTGATGGGCCCGTCTGATACAAGCCAAGAGTCATCTGTGCAAAGGATTTGAGTACGGCCATCATTGAACGTGATCTCAAGTTGGGCAAGTAGTGAGGTGCGAGAGCCCCAAATGTTTCGAGCACCACCAAGGTATCCAATACGCCCGTTGAACCAACCCTCTGCGACGCGAACTCCAAGGCAGTTGTTGCCTGGAGTCAGGGCGGATGTAATGTCGTAAGTTTGATATTGGAGTCTCCCGTCGTATGAAGTCCAGCCAGGTGCTAAGAAGTAGTCACCAACCCTCGAGCCATTAACACTTGCCTCGTACAGTCCTTGAGAGGTGATATAGAGGCGAGCTCTGCTCACAGTCTTCTCCACGGAAAATTGCTTTCGGTACAGCTGCTCGGGCAGCGGACCAGCGGAGTCAGCGTTCCATGGGGCGGCGATCCGAGCGCATTGCCATTCGTTGCGCTCCAGCAGTCCAGTCTCAAGTCCAGCCAGATCGCTCCAGGGACTAGCGTTGTCTTGCTCATCCCATATTCTGATCCGAGCGGCGATTTTCTGACGAGACCGCAAAGGCTGGTCTGATGGCCATGGCACGAATGTGCAAGAAGAGGATACGACTCTGGTGAGATGCAGTCGAGTTGACGCTGACTGAGAAGACTCGTCAAATATTTCTATCTCGTAAGCATTCTGTTGGAACTGCGGTGATGAAGTGCGAATCTTCCAGGATAGTCGAGGTTTTGTCTCGTCAACGCCGATCGTGAAGGGTGCATCATAGTGCTCGAAACGCACGTCGATAACTTGTGTCATGATGGTGGGTGATGTCAGTCGCTTAAGGTAGAATGTCCAAATGCATTCCCACGGATGCGGAGTAGGCTTGTATGTAATGATCCGGTCGGAGGTGTGCGGCTTGGGCTCGGGATATCATTTCGCGAGCTCTAGCAGACAGCTGCAAATGAACAAGCCAAGTGTCTAGGTCGGCTCGACGTGACCGGTTCTGGTGCAAGCATGGCGCTTGTCTTGAGGCCGATTATGCGAAGCAGGCGGTGTAACCAACCACCGGACCAAGCGGAGTGCCAAGGTGGGCTCGGGGTAGCATTTTGCGAGAACGAACTAATCATTGAGGTCGAACTTCGGGATCTGTTTCGTCTGGCCCCAATTTGATCATCACCGTTGTCTTCACCCAATCACGGGAGTCTCGTGCCTTGAGGCTCCAGTGGTGCATGGTTGTGGATGCTAAGATTTAACGGTGTCGATGCGGTATACGGTATACGGTATACGCTTTGCTAGGTTGACGAATACTCCACAATCTTCGAACTACAACGGGTCCCAGAGCTTCAGAAAACAGCTAGGAGCTTTCGCATAACATGTTATTACTTCTAAAGGGATTTTGGGTTTAATGTTATATCTTTGTTGAGTGTTGTGGGGTTCTCGCTTGGCGTGCGGGGGCTGCGGCCGGGGCTCCTTTTTTAATATCTGCATTCAACAAATCAATGTGTACTTGTATGTGCCACTTCAGGGTGCTTCGAAGAGTGATGTTGGGATGGAAGAGCATACGCATCAACCACGACCTGTGCCGATGCGTCTGCAAGGTGTCACGGAGAAGCGTCGGTACCGGTAAACCAGGCACGCCTCTTCCAAGGTTATCATAAGCGCTGGCTAAGTAGTGTCAAGCCGAACCCCCCAATTTTGAGACTCACATTTCCATCACCACGAGTTCACAGAGTTACGTTTCACAACGGAAGTCGTTCCTACTTATTTTCAACTATCGGTGCTATTCAGAAAATGCGCACCCCCCCTAATTTAGCTATTCTAAGAATATCTATGACGAACAGTGATGTACTAGGGAAGAATGATAATATACCTGATGATATTATAAGCAGGCAGCCTTTTTAGAGGTTAGAATTATATAGTTTAGTCTAAAAGTGACATCTGTCAACAGCTATCTAGGCCCTTATTAATATCTATAAGGAAATCCGCCAATAGGAGCATACGGAGGGGCCCTGCTTGTTGTATGGTTAAGCTGGAGGGGGGGTGCTCACATTCTGAATACGATAATAATGCTGGCCTCCTCATTGGCACAATCTTGTTGAACACAGTACCTCGGTGAGATTGACAGTTGGGTGGATTAGCACAGATGATGCACTTCACCTCTCCGTGTACGCATGCAAAGGTGTTGTAGGCATTGATCAGTTCGAGATTTGGAAAATTTTATTACGTTCATTCTGATAAGTGCAAGAGTTGAAGACCATGAAGATGGCTTCCATGGCTGGCCTCTTATTTGACAAAATCCGACCGTTGACTTCCAACACAATGCACGCATGCAATACCATGTATCTACTGCTTGATGCGCTTCTCCACCATACCTCCCACGACCGCTGACTCTCGCTTGCGCTTTGGAGATGAGCGCCGACGCTCCGCGCCGTCCACAATGGCCGCATTCTTGCCTTCCTCCGTTGGATCATCGTTCGCTACAGTCTCATCCGTCTAGTATAGAAGGAACTCCTCTTCTGTAATGACGGGCACATAGAGCACTCCACCCTTTTTTCCTTCCAAGAGCTTGCGCATGACGTTGCGCATGTTCTTGAAGCCGCTATTCACGTGCTGAAACTTGCTCTTCATCGACGACTCGTCGCGCGGCTCACGTGGCAGCAAGTCGTCTCCCTCGGCATCCTGCAACACCTTGCCGACGAAGAATTTGTTGAAAAACTCCATCGTTGGAACGGGACCCGGTAGTTTGATCATATGGCCAGCTTCTACCACCAGCTTGATCTTCTTGTGGAAGAGCATCAGCCACGCCTCTTCCTCGGGATGGAAGAAGACGTTCACGCGCTTGGCTGCAATGCCGCGACGACGGAAGATGTCGTATCGCCATTTGTTGATGCTTAGAACGTGGCTCTTATCTGACCAGTCGATTGAGCCGTGCGAAATGTTCTGGAAAGTAAATGTTTCATCTCCATCGGTGTCAAGGCGACGCAGACGAACATAGAGCTTTTCCGGGGCGGGCTGGCCCACAACCACTGCATCGCTGTTATTTTCAATGAGCTCGAACGTCCCGGCCCGCTCTAATGCCGGCTCAGATGTCGAATTTTGGATGACGGCGTTGGCATTGTCAGGGCTGTCTGCACCGTTTACAGCCTTCTTGGGAATGGAGGGGCGAGATGAGGACGCATCTGGGTCTGGTTGCAGTTTGTCAGACAAAACTGTCGCCCGATGGGTGTGCTTCTTCTTACCAGCGTTGGCTTCTTCCTTGTTGCCGTCGAGTCGGCCCCTAGTATGCGCCCAACTGGGATTGGTACCTGTGGAGCTGCTACGGACAATTGCGCATCGAGCTGATTATCATGTTCGTTACGGTCGATGAGCCGGCCTTCCTCAGACAGACCTGAGTGCTGCAGGTAATTCTCGAGGCCGAAATACTTCTCATCGACCAACGGCTTCTCAAATTCCTCCACAAGCTCTGCCAATTCGCGGTCGTCGTTCAATTGCTGTATTGAGCGCTCTTCTGCGACGGCAGCATGCTTCCTCAGCTTCTCTACCAGTATATCTTGCTCCGTCGAGTATTTGTTGATGCTTCCGTCTTCCCGCGGCGTCTCCATAGGGCCTCGAACGATTCTCGCATTTTGATTGTGCATAGGTCGCCATCCAAGATTGGTCACGACAGCACCGTCATACTTCAGATAGTTTGGCATTTTCGGACGCGGATCGATTGGAAGGGAGCCTCGTTCGCGGTAGGTCTGTAGATGGTTTGCGGGAATGAGAAGCTCCTCCAGCTCGTCCATGTCAACAGCTTCGACAACTCTGCGCTGTGGCGCTGACGAACTTGATTGAATAGCACTTGCTCGGGTGAGCTTATAAACATTATTGTTTGCTCCTGTGTCTTTTCGTCCAACATATTTGATGGGGTGCGCGTTGAGGCCGAAGTTGGCGAAACCGGACACGCGAGATTGGTCTGGCTTTGCTGCGGTTCGGGATGCGTCGCCGCTCGAGGCAGCTGGACAAGCAGGTGCTTCCAATTTCTTTGTTATCTTTTTGGCTACATTCACCTCTGTTGCTGCAGTGTTAGGCGTGTCGCCTTCCATCCGATTTGGTGGTACTGTTGACCGCACGACTTGTTGATCACTAGCCTCAGCGGGTGCGAGCGGAGATTCGGTCATGAGTGATACTTGAGAAATCCGGAAAAAGAAGGTTGTCTTTGAAGTCTTCAAGTTGAGGTTATGTTTTCTAAGGATAAGTCGGCACAGCGGAAAGAAATGCGCTCGTACTCTAGGGACCCCTCGCCCATCAGCGACGCCGACGTTGTGTGAACATGGTTCCTGAAATGGCTGTGCTCGTCGATCGATCGTCGAATTCGATCACTCACGCCAGGCCGCTACCTTTTCATTCTAGTGATCTTTTCTGGGCCGTATGAGCTAGAACTGGTGATATGACCATCACAGCGTGAGCCAACAGTTTCCAGAGCTTGTTGCACAAAGGATTACAGCTTCTTAAAACAATCTATCTACCGCTGATATGGGAAAACGAACCCCTTGAGCATGCTCTCGACTACGCGTACTCCCCTCTACAGGACGTGCACATATTTTCGACATACACAAAATCGGTATATCCGTGTAAGCATGCAGTGTACCATAGTGCGTCTAAAGAGATACGCGCACTGTTGGCCTACACATTCGGCCCACAATGGCGCCATACTAGGTCCAAGCGCAACGATTGAATATATCACTCACACAGCGAACATAGTGAAAAGTCATAGCTAATCCCGAATCTCTGAAGTTCGTGTCTAATGGGCGTGAAAGATAAGGGCACGGCCACCTCCAGGTACCATATCAATCGCACCTCTTTCCTCCACGACCAAGTCATTCGTCTCACTCCTCAACCACCCAGACAGTCGTTGCAACCGCCTTGAACAAATTAACCCACCACAGCCTTGACTTTGGCTCACATCACCCCATCCGCCCCATTATTCATTGCGCGAACGTCGACGAGAGCGTACTCCGCAATGGCCAGCTACGGAAAATTCACGGTGGCAGATCTGAAAATGATGATGCGAGGAATTGGGATGACAGCTAAACAATGGCCGGGGAAAAAGAAAGAAATGCTCCTCAAGCTTGCAGAATGGGACAAAGCACATCCTGACGATATTGCCGCCAACAGACGCGTTGCTGCAGGCGGCCTGGCTCGATCTCAGGCGTCTACAGCTGCTGCGCCTGTCCCAGCACCAGCACAAGCCACACCATCAACACAAGTCCCAACATCAACACAAGTCCCAACATCAACACAAGTCCCAACATCAGCACCAGCAGAACTTAAAGAGGGTAGGAAGCGTAGGCAGAGCACTCCTCTGGCCGAGTCAGGTGCCAGAACCAAGCGTCAGAAAAAAAACGAAGGCATAGATGAAACGTCCGATGTCGAGGATACTTTGTCCACCGCAAAACCTACTCGTATACTGAAGATTCGACTGCGCAATCCATCGTCCGCAACAGGATCCAATGTCGCAGAGCCGTCTTTTCGGATGAGCATCCCGATACCACACGAAGATGAAGACGCTGTCATGACTGACACAGATGAGGAGCATGTTGCTCGCCTTCCGCCCACATCTACGCGACACGACCTCTCTGTCATCCCGGAAGAGGAGGATGCCTCATCGAACATATTGACTCGCGATCCGCAAACTCTTGTCACAACCGCAATCAAGGCGGACAAGAAGGCAGCAGTGAGCAAGACTGTGAAGCCCGGCAACAAGGGGCAATTCGAGGGGTCATCCAGTGTGCAATCAATTGCGGTTCCGTCTGGGCGAAATCGTTCTGCATTATCGTCGCAGATCAGCCGCAGCAAACCTATAGCGAACAGAATCCCGCCAGTCCAACCGGTTGCTCGGAAAATTCGCACAGGTAAGATGTCGAATGAGAACAGCAAAGACGAGCAATACCGACCATCTCATATTGAGCCCGATAGCTTTGAACTCGAACATCCCACTTCAAGAAAGATTCCTGCATCTCTCAAAGCAAAGGGGCTTGCAGCGCGTCGGGATACAACATCAGCGAAAGTGGACAAGGTAGATGATGCTATACCAGAGGACGAGCAAGAGACTTCTGATGAAGGTCTTGTCAGTGGTTCTGGCGATTCTGAAGATCTTGGACAGGAGGCTGCCGGCGCTCCTGTCAAGTGGCCTTCGAAGAAGGCTTCCAAGACCAAGAGCACGAAAAAAGCAGCAGGAAAGGTTCCCAAGGCTCCACCAGCAAAGAAAGAAATGCATAAAGAAAAGGAACGTAGACACCACCTGCTTCGACCACTAGGTGCTTATTCTGACCCTGTGGTTGCAGAAGCCTGGCGCGTCAGGAAGCGCACGGTCAAACTCAAGATGGACCATCATGTTTCGCCAGGCACCGAGCGAGCACCCATGGAACAGCTTGGGAGCTGGCGTCGTGAAGAGCGGTACTTTGAAATAGAAAAGGAGGCAGGTAGAGAGTTGAAATTGTGGATGTCGGGAGATTTCGACGAGGATGATCGAGAGCGCTCGCCGATGGAGATGGCTTTCCCACCCGATCCACCGAGTTAGGTTCTTTCGAAGCAGTGGGGAATGGAAGAATAGCCTGGCCATTCTGTAGGTATCATCTTGGCGCATTGTCTTTGTCTGGCAAAAATGTTCCGGATTGGTGTAGATGTCGAGGTAGGAACAAAGAGATGACAGCTCGAGTCGATGATTGTGGGACGTGTTAGTTCGAACAAAGAAACAATACTCGACATGTCTTCAAACAAATTTCCCTTCCCGCAATCTCTCGTTCTTAAGTTTCTCCGTTTTACGAATTCGTTCTTGTGACTAACGTAAAAAGATGGCACCGAAAAGAAAGCAGACTCACGAGAACGATGGGCGTCCGCAGTCATTTGACAAGGATAATGATGAGCCACCCAAGTCATCCGACGAGAAAAGTGGTTATCCTCCCCAACTATACACCGACGACAATGGTGATCTTCTCCAACCATCCGAGGACAACAATCATGTTCATCCTCAGCCACCTACCGATGTCCGACAGATGCGCAGTGCTTCAAGGAAGCTTCAAGAAAACATACCTACGCCAGATGGCGGCGAGTCCCTGCAGCCTAAACGAGCGAAGAACAGGAAGCCAGAGCCGCAGCAGACCAAGCGAGCGAAGAGGGGAGATAATGAAGAGCCGGAACGAAGCAGGCTTCTGAGCGAAGAGGGATTGACGCCTGCCGAAATCAATGCAGCTCTTGAGCAACAGAGAAAACTATTGAGGGAGGAATTGCGCGCAGCGGCTGCAGCAGCCGAAATCCCTGGCTTTGACCTCCAAAAACAAAAGCAGATTCAAATTCGACACGAAAAGACACCGGCAAACCAGCGAAACCTTATCAAAGAGGTGAACAAAGCGGTTGAGGGTGCAGATAGCTTCAAGACCCAGAGTCGAATGGACAAACATCAAGCCAGGACGGCGGCGACGGCTAAGTACGAAGACTCTCTGCATTTCCGTGTACCAGAACGTCGGAAACAGTACAATGAACACATCGATCAAGACGGCGAACTCATTAAGAAGGCCTTTCGGGACAAGGCAGCGCCGGTACTATGGATTGATAGCGGACACTATGGAGAAGCTCTTCGGACGACATTCGAATCTTACGAGCGGCATAACGTGGGCATGACTGAGACAATCAACATACCGGCACTCGATCCAAATGAGCTACATCTGATTGTTCCGGCTGCACGAAGGTTTCCTGTCGGTCTAGGACGAGCTCATCCGCCAGTCGTCTTAGCCCCGATTAACATGGGCTTAAATTTCGACACAATTGAAAGGAGAAGGGCAAGTATCGAAGATAATCCAGCAGAAGAGAAGAATGTGGCCGTTGATGGAATCGCGATGCTTGAGACTCATACTCAACGAAGGGCTCGCCAGATGCAGCCGTTTCGCGAAGAAACAGAGGACAATGAATATCGACGCACAGTTCCGACTAATCTGTACGTCCATGACACGATACCAACCGCGAGGAACCTGGACAAGACCTTCCTAGAAACTGGAGTGTTCGTCTCAGCCGGCGAATCATCGTACAACTGGAACGACTCCTACGACCAGACAGATATTGTCAAGCCAGGCTACCTAGCCGTAGAGGAAGGGATGGTAGTGGAAACCCAGCCTGGAGAAAATGACGCACCACCGCGATCGCCATCACCCGGGCCCCCCGTTTCACAGAGGCAAATAGATGAAGGAGTCGAAGGCCTGCTTTGGGAATTCGTCCTCCCAAGACCTGAAAAAGATAAGACCTACGAACTAGTCCCTACCACAACCTGGGCCGAAACCACATACGGCCGCCGTGAGCGCGAGCACGCATACATGGACATCCGGCCGCCCTCGCCCGTCCTCTCCCCACCCCACTCACCGATCTTTCCCGCGAAAACCGCCGCAAACACATTCCATGTGCCCGCAGACATACCTCGAAACCATGCCAACTTTAGAAACTTACGCAGCAAGATCAAGGACAAGTACAGTGTGAATTTCCAGGATTGGCCGAGCTTCAAGCAGGCGCCGGAAGGCGAGGGCAAGGAAGTGATTTATGAGCCGCTGGATATTGCAGCTCTCCAACCGAACCAGCAAAAGAGATGGGATGCTGGAGCTGTACTACTGGACAGCAATGGACGATTTGCGTTACCAGCGCCGGAGGGTACCAGTATGCGGCTTTATCGCGAGGCATTCAAGACGCCATATGAGCCTCCGATACGCCCTGAAGGTCTTGTGCAGGACGAGGAGTCTGATGACGAGGGAGATTTGTTTCGACTGTCGTATTTGGAGTGTAGCGGTGTAAAGGGCTGTGGAAGTGCACCCCAGGGTGATGGGGGTGCTGTCACAGACGCGGATGGTGGTGGTGGACCATAGGAGGGTGGCAAAGGAGGTTAAATTCATGAAGGTGGAAGCAAAGATGGCGCAGACGGAGGGCACATTGATGTGGGTGCGAGCCAAGCGGGTGTAGGCCAAGACAAGAGTGCTAAGAGCCCGCCCCAGTGTGCAGGAATCATACGCAATAGTGTTGGAGATGGAGATTCGACTGGCGAACCCAAGGGCCCAAGCAGCAAAGACGACAAAGTTCCAAAGGATTGAAAGCAACATAAGGGGACTTGTAAAAGTGAGTATTTTCAGTTAAAATTCAACCCTAAGTGTAATGACTAGCAATCGCTATATGTCAATGTCAAGCTGCTGTCATGCGATGGACGTTCTTGACCCGACCTCTCCAACCTGCACCTCCTCAGGTGAATCATTATAGATATTATGAAACAAGCAGTCTCTTCCACATACGACCATAGGGCGTTGAATACAAGGCTTCCCGTCCGCTCAGCCGTATTTAAGCAGCGCACCGGCGGATTAGTAGTCAGGTGGGTGACCACTGGCGAATCCCCGCTGTTGTATGTCTTTGTCATTTTTTGCATTTTTTGCTCGTCTCTCCTCACTTTGCTGTCCTTAGTACTTCGTACACGCACATCGCTTAAGAGTATAATAAGTCATTGCTTTGTTATGCTGGTCACCACTTCTGCGAAGCCGTCTTCGCATTCCTCGTCTTCTTGACATGCGACAATACACTGAAGCAATTGACTATTCCTAGCGAAAGTGTAACATTTTTGCTCACGATAATCCCGTGCAAGGATGCCGCGAGCCTCTCCATGTTCAGACACGGTTTCAGCCTGACTTCCTGATATTATACCGACTGCAATCACACGTTCATGTACAGATTCCTGTCGACCGCCCACACGATTAGCGCCCAGCTTCCACCGCGGTAATGTTGGGTCTCGAAAGCCACAGTAAGCGTATCACCTCCCAGAGTCCCATGCGTCCTACGCCACCATCCATTGGTATCATCCTGCCAACCACTCTCGACCTGTGCTCCCACAATTCGACGTCCGGGCAGGCACATCGGAATTTCACTCTTCAGACATATAGGCATGCCGTCTCGCTTACTTTCAGGGTCCCAGTCCTTTCGATACTCTACAACTTCATCGCGGAGGCTTTCCTGCACATCGTCGGGACAAATCCCAATCTTCCAGTCAGGTGTACTGTGAGCCTTCACCCATTTGTTACTGTTCTTCAATCAGCTCTTGTCGTGAGACGCAGGAGGGATGGAGAGCTTACAGTGGCCACGTCTCGATTTGACTCTCTGTTTCGGTCATCACTTCTGCCAACTTTCGCCGCTGGTCCCACACTCCGGTCAACTCCTTCCGGACGTTCTTCAGGGTCGCCACGCACTGCTGAAGGCCCTTGTCACTGCCTTCGGCGTAGACGTGGAGATCAGCTAGTCTCAAGATTGCCGACTCGACTGAACTTTCGAAAGTCCGGGCACCGACCAGACGATTAGACCGAGCTGCGATCTGAAGAAGTTGAGCGAGCTCAGCTGCATTGCGGAAGTCTTCTGTGATAGAAAGCGGTCCTTCGGGATGTGGGATCCTGATATCGATGTTGGCATAGTGTGTAAGGTGTGCAAGCACTGGTATTGGCGTGTAGTGCTCAAGGAAATCAACCCAAGCTTTCTGTATGTCGATCGTATGATATCGGTGCTGCAGATTGCGTGAGCTGCATCCTATGACTAAGATTTCATGGGTCTCTCTGATGCTGCCAGATACGTGCGTTGATCCCATCTCGAAAGCGGACGCAGCCTGAACGGACACGGTCTTCCCGTTGAAGTCCGCAGAAAGGGAGCTGGCAAATTGATCAAGCTCTTGCTTCGCGTCAGCTGTGTACGTGCTGACTGCAAAGAATGTAGATTGACGAGTCCTTCCAGTAATGCAGTACTGGCCCATATCTGCTCATGAAGTTTTTCGCGTTCTCTTCCTTGTACCCAATTCAGTCGTCCAAAGCAGGACTCCGCTTCGTCAGAAAGCTCGAGCAGGTGCTCAAGATGCTCTGCCGGCAGAGTAATGGTACATCGCTTGATCACAGTCATTGATGTCTTGCTACATCGCGCCGTCTTGAGTGTCTCTAGTGAGGCCTTGAGGTTGAATACAGTGAAGACGGATGCCAGCGCTCGCGTGTCAGAGGTCATGTATTGAAGTAGGGTTTCTTCATCCCGGAATATCTTGCTGCTGATCTCCAGTGTGTGCAGTTCTGTTCCTGGAAGATTAGTAGGGGGATGGCATGGCCAGAATGGTGACCGCAGCGATTGTTGTTTGTGTAGATCGTGACCGGAGCCAATTTTCATGTGGTTATCCTCCCACGGTATGCTTCCATGTTCGCGAATGCTGGACGAGAACATAGAATCCATAGCGTGAATTCGTAGATAAAGTCTTCAGTACTACGCAAGAGGCAAAAGCTATCGAGTGTGTCCATGTGCAAGGAGCAAGCTTTTTTTAGACGCGCCTGCGGGAAGCAAGATTCGGCATTTGAAGCCGTCATACGCGCCTTGCCTTGGGAAGTTGAACAGCGAACAGCGAACAGCGATTAGCGAACAACGAACGGCGATCGACTAACAACTTGGCAGCCAACTCTGCAATGCGAACGCGAACCGCGAACCGCGAACCGCGAAGTGAAACCTGGTACGCCGTAAAGGTTATCGCCCTGCATTGGGTTGTGGCGTTTGCCGCCCAAGCCTTGTGCATCCAACGCGACCAGAAAGACGAATAGAGGGGCGAGCTGAATGTGGCGCCATGAAGATGCTTGTTTCGCAAGCCACAAGAGGATACTCCTCTGCAAGCCTCGTCAGCCGTCCGTAGGAAAGTGTGCGGTTCGTACATTGGGTTGCGGCTGATCACGAATCCTGCAGGCGCCCGCCAGCCCGGATTTGTTCAGCTGGATGCGCCGCAAATTGCGGGGTGGCACGGCCAGGCGCGTCCCGTCTCTCTCTATGCTAGAATACACACAACCATCCCGAAAGAAAGTGAAACTGCAACAGGTTCCTGGCCGTTACTAGGTAACTACTACAGCGCCGGTCGCATTATTCTTGATGCGCAGCCACAACTTGGCAAAACAAGCACAGTCGTGTAAACAAGTCTTAGCGTATGAAGCGTCAGATGTGGAGTCTAAATTGCTTCAATGGGGCTGAACGAACATGTCCAGGCACACCTGGGCATGTATCATCGGTCGTTCGGGTCGCCAAATCAGCGCTATTCCGCTCGCAGTACATGCGGGCCGGGTTCGATGGGCGCCACGATGCATGGCAGACACCTCGTCTAATATGTCTGGGCCTAAACATTGTCGGGGGAATAATGTGGTCGTTAAGCAGCAGTATAAATCATGCTGAAAGTATCTTGAAGTCTTTATTTTGATCTGCCACCTTCCTTTGCATTTTTCATTTCACATAACTCATCCTGAACGACAATGTACAGCCTCCTGCCCTTCGCAGCCGGACTCGACACAACTACATCATGGAGCTTGCTATGTTTGCTCGGTGTGCTGGCAGCTATTGCTGTGAAGCACCACTACACCCTCCCTCCTGTCCTCCTAGAAGCGAAGGTACAACAGGTACCTGTAGCAAGCCCTGTTCCAACAGTACAAGAGGTCCAGGAGGCTCCTCCACCGAAGCGTCTTGTTGTATGCGTTGATGGAACATGGGGTTGTCCGGACGGTACCGCTGGCAGCCCAGAGGGAAACATCAGCACTGTGTATCGGGTTTACGCATCCGTGAAAGAAGGATATGTCACGGACAAGGCGACTGGAAAACGATGGGATCAGCAACGCGTGTACTTCAATGGTCTTGGCAACAAGCTCAACGCCCTTAAGAACCTTCACTCCGGTGCGTTCGGATCTGGGCTTCCTGACGAGATCCGCAAAGTGTATGAGTATTGCTGTCGCGAAACAGATGGACCAGATGATGAGATCTACTTCTTCGGATTCAGCCGTGGTGCCTTCACAGTCCGCGCTGTTGCAAATCTCCTCTGCTACATGCATGTACCCAAGGGCTCGCAAAAGTTCTCTAAAGAAGAGTTCACGGAGCGCTACAAAGAACTACTAGAACTTTACCCAGGTGTTAGAGCATCCGACAGGAACATCTGGGGACAAATCCATTCTCACTTCAATCGCAGCACGAGACCTCCAACGATACGGTTCATCGGAGCCTTCGACACCGTCAAGAAGTTCACAGATAATGGCTTGTACGATGTCATGCCTCACTCCCAGATCCACCATTATCGCCATGCATTGGCGCTCAACGAGGAGAGAGACGAGTTCAAGCCAGAGACGATGATGCCCGACAACGACGCATGTTCGCCAGGGCGCAGTGGCCTACAAGCCTGGTTCATTGGTACACACCGAGATTTGGGCGGGGCGAACTCCAAAGATGGACTGTCGCTATACCCTCTGCAATGGGTTCTTTCTGAAGCCAATGCTCTCGGATTGGTACTCGAGTTTAGCCCCATCAAACTGGATTCCTGTAATGAAGATGGTCCCGGAGAATTTGACGACGATCCGCTAAATTTGATCATGCCGCTGCAATCGAAGCGTCAGGAAACACCGAGCAAACAGTCGGAGATGTCACTCAGCCTTGAGAATCGCATCCGAGTTCGCATTTGGGATCTTTGCGACGTACACGAAATTCGTCAAGATGATTTCAAAGTAAAACTGAATAGCACTTATTGGGGTCCTACGCACAGGCTCGTTTTGACGATCAAACCTCGTCAGGTGTTCGACGGAGACACATTGATAGGCTACCGTCCCGATTGTATGTATGTCTCTGTGCTTATGAGTTTCACAGCTGATTCATCTGTAGCTCCCACTGGAACCTTCATTCATCCATCTGTATATCAGGTACTTGATGAGAATCCAGGTATCCGCGACGTGTCTGGTGGATGGCCATTCACCAAAGCACTTGCCCTGTTCCGTCATCGAGTCATTCCGGACGAACGCGAGATTTTTTGGGTACATCCATCTCCCGCCATGAAGAGAAAGCTGGAGAAAATCCGTATCCTGATCTGTGGTGACGCCGGGGTAGGGAAGTCCACACTAATCAATCAAGTTCTCAAAGGAAACTATGTAAGTAAGCTCAGCAAACTGGAGTTCATCGACTAATGCAGAGGTTCAGTCTCCAGTCAACAATAATACGCATCAACAACATAATGTCGAGAAAGAGATTACTGGTCCAGATCTACCATATATCGTTCATGACTCCGAGGGTTTTCAATCTGGCGCGTCCAACAAGGAAGCCAGCGCTGTACGAGACTTTTTGAGGATTCGATCCAGAGAGCCCACCCTTCCGATGAGAGTCCACACTATCTGGTAGGGTCCACCTTTTCTTTCCTTTTTCTATGTATGGTAGGCTCACTGCGACAGGTACTGTGTGCTAGCAGGCACGCAACGTGAGAGTCGTCCAGACTCCGAATCCGACAAGGACCTCTTTACCGTACTCAACGAGTGCAAGAGTACCACTACCAGTTGTGGTCATATGCACAAAAGTGGACACACTCAAGGACACGTACCGAGGCCAAGAGTTTGCGAAGCTGTCCTTCTGCAGAGCTAGCAGACAAAAATCTTCCTGCCATCCTTGAAGCAAGAATCGGCAATTCGTGTCGAAAATTTCAAGAAGGAAAATCGAGACAGCGTTCAAGAAGACCTCACAAGGATATCCGTACATGGCCGGTCCAGTATTCACGTCTGAAAGTGAGTACCATTTTGCCTTTCCGCACTCCAGATCAATGGACTGATGTTCAACAGTGGAACAGAAATCTATCAGGAGCCTTGTTGGTGTCACATACGACAACCTGAACAATGATCAAGTGAGAGCCATGTTTTCCCAAGCACAAGGAATTGTTGTCGATCTAAAGGTCAAAGAAGCTATAAAAGAGTCATTACGACTGTACAAACACGCCGTCCGAACGAGCGCAGTTCCACTGTCTTTCTCCGGGAGCATCTCAACCACCGTTGTAGCGCCCATGATCGTGGGCGAGATCTCCAAGATCTTCAACTTCGACGGCATCAGCGGCGATATTGCCTGGCGGTGTCTTGCGAACGTACTCGTCAGCAACGCTACTGCGAACATCGTGCAAATGTTTTCTCAGGCAATAGGCGTCGCCGGAGCCGTCATGGCAGAAACGGGAATCGGAGCTGTACCAGGCCTCATGTTTGTCACAGGCGCCGCAGCTGTCAACATTGTATCCACACCTCAATTCAGCAGGGCGCTGCTCATGTGCACCCTCGATACCATACTCATCATGGATCACGCATTTTGGCAATGCGACGACGAGAAGAAAAAGATTGAGAAGGAGCACATTGACCAGTCCGCTCAATGGTTCACGGATGATGGTCGCTCCAGCAAAGTGCATGCGGACATCAAGAATCTCATTAAGATATGGAACCCTTTCGACGCTTTTGACTATACCGGACTCGAGACAGAGATGAACGCTATTGTCGAACGGTACCGCTACCGACCAACAGGTAAGCATTGATCATATCGTTAGGAATGCTGAATTAACGAATGTCTCACTAGTCGAGCAGCCTGTTGAAGAGCAATCGCCCTCACCGGTATCTGTGGTTGATAGTTCAACTCCCGAAAAGTCTTTCTGGCAGGGCTGGTTTAGTCAATCAAATAAAGAAGGAGGTCCAGCCACGTGTGCTCCGCACAAGATAGCTGTCGCTACAAAGTAGAAACCTCTCTAATGTCAATTATGTCGCTTCACCATAGCATTACGCTCCGGTCCTTTCGATTTCTGGGACGAGTGCCGACCAGCTGTCTACTGCGCGGCTAGTGCCGCAATGGAATTGTCAAAACCACTCCAACTCCACACCCCTGCCTCCTACTCATCTACAAGTCATACATCATGGCTTTCATTGCATTTCTCACCTTCCAGACCATCCCAGACTCACCGCCACCTGTACATCCAACGCAAGAAGGCCATCTCCTCGAAAATCAGCTTCCCAATCCCGCTCAGATAGGTCTCGCCCTCGAATCCCTTCTGGATGATAAAAGGAAGCCCCACCGTCGCGCCGCCGGGGAACTGGCTCCGTGTCAGGCGACCGAAGTAGTTTAAGTGGGGTTTTGAACAGGTGGCTGTGATGGATGCTTTCTTTCGACGGCTGATGATGAGGACGCAAGGGCACGGCGATTAGATCCACGGAAAGAAATGATGAGTTGGTGTGGTGTGAGGCGATTGCGCAGGCTGGCGGTGTTGGATTGGATTGGGGAGAAGATTATTTACAAATCGTCACACTGCGCAAGACTGTTACTGGGGCCAAAAAGACTACGCGCGTCGTGGAAGGGCTAGGACATATTATCTGGGTTTGTCGCCTGAATGAACCATTCCAGATATATTCGATAATCAGCACTAACGAATCCTCGGCAAGTCAAAGTCGGGACTGCAACCCGTACCTTTTAGGCTTATCAGGCAACGAGATTTTTGGAGAACGTGGTGGTACAAGGAGGGGGTATCAGTAATCCGAGAGCCCATGGCAGTTTCCCACATGCACAAGCACGATAATGCAATGTTGACCACTTTCCTAATCTACAGCACTTTTTCACATACGACGGAAAGTGGGGAATTGTGGCAGGGGTAGCTCTACAATATCTTACTGCAATGTTATTAATCTAGACACCAGTCATATTTATTATGGACCTACTCTACGCTACAGCTTCTCGAACTTTTCACGGTTGAGACAAAGTTTTGCTCGTTGACTTATCACACTCACCCCTGCTACAGCCCCTGCCAATAGATCATGATTTACTCTTTCGATGCACTCATGCCACCCTCCAACAAGGCACGCTCCAACACCGCAGTACATTCCAGCAAACCAACCCTTCCTTTAACCCCCCATCCACAAACTCAATAGCACTAGCACACAAAACGCGCTAACCACTTATCCAAATCCAGGCGTTGGAGGATATGCTACCCTGCTCCAGCTACATTGCAACACGGTATACTTCCACCCCAAAACAGCCTCCTAGACAATGCGGTTAATGTGAGTCCTACATGCCTTCTCGCGGAAGCCATGGACATCGGTTCTATGTTGTAAAGCTTTCGTCGGATGACTGTTGGTCATGGAGATTTTGGCGGCAGACACCTCGGCACATTTCCTGCCGTAGGCGCACGGATAGTGCAAATGCTGTGGGGAGAAGTTCTCGCAGGAAGATTTAGTGGCTTGTGGTGCAAGAATATTCAGGGAGCATATTGTTGAGCCGTAGACGCGGCAAGGACAGTCTATGAAGGAGGCGCGCGCTGCGCTATCTGAGACGTGAATGAGCATTGATTATGAGGGATCTATCCTATGTGAGATAGCGGAGCTGCAGAAAGCAGCTTTGGTTTGGAGCAAGCGTGGGTGTTGGGGGTGCGTGATGTTACTTGGCTTTATGGAATTTTCTTCATTTCCACACTTCTCAGATCCGCCTAGCATGTCGACAGATCGATGCTCTCGAGGCACATGTACCTCTTGTTAATTGTCAAAGCTATATCGAGAAACTTGTATTGTAAGGCGGAACTGATTTCTGGGGACAGGTATGCCCGGCCTTGAGAGTACGATGAGATGAAACATCGTTTCGCTGACGATGATTTGGACGAATATGACGCAATGGATACAGCTGATTACGTGGAGGCTTGGTTTCAAAGGGTTTCCAGTCGCGACGGAATGTTGGACAGTTACAATGCTTATGTTATATGAGCTGTATCTCTTGGTCCTCCAATGTGTTGTGGTGATCAAGTACGTCGGAAGCTAATCTTGTGGGAGGCCTGTCCTGAATGTAGCAAAATCCAATGCGTTCATACGACCTGGTTCTTTCGTCGCACAAAACAACGAGAAGGCCTTCGAACAGGCGGCCTTCGGTGAACTCTCCATGTCTCAGGATGAGGAGCTGACACTCTATGTTCTGCTCGAAGTGTGTTTGAGATGTGTCGTCAAGACGGATATGTGGTCGCCGCTGGCTCCAGGAGACGATCTTGCCAAAAGTAAGGGGTACTTTGAAAGAGTCATGTTCCATCGAGAATCTGCTTTTGAATGGCATGAGCCGACATCGCATTGTGATGGAGTGTAGCATGTTTTCTGATGACTTCGTCCCCTTCGGTAGCTTGGTAATTTGCACACTGTCATGGATGTGATCAGATGTGTATGAGTCTAATTCGCGCCCCGACGAGATGGCACACGTCCAGTTTGCCCAACTCCAGCTGGGTGTGCGCCGGGATGGAGAAATGTATTTACGGCCATGGTTTGGGGTTTCGCAATACCAGAGCAATTGGCCTATCAAGCGTCCAATCCAGAGACCGAATACAAGCTCATCACTGAGTAATTCTCCGACCTCGGATGAGATACCTTGCAAGGCGATCAGAGTGTCGCTCGGCTTCGTTAGTTGACATCGTGTGTAGAAGGCTCGATACCGATTCCAGGAGATGTAGATGTCATCAACTGTCCGGAGATCAGTCAACCTATCTTTTCCGCTGTGACAGGTATCCTCAGTCTGGTCTCTCTGATGAAACATGGTGTCAATGACAAGCCGCCTGAGTGGCCTGGGGTTGCCAGATTTGGATTCGCAGTTACATGAAAAGTGCTTATCGGGGTGTGTCTCGCTTGCGAACTTTTCACAACACTCCCAGAATAGGAGATTGTGCGTGAAATGGATTGTCCTGCGCGATAGATAACGTTCCTGAGCCACCCAGGCCCGTTGGTTCAACGGGGCACTATCAATGGCAATATCCGGCGTGACTGGGTGAGCCATGAACCAGTATCTACCAGGTGCGAAAGTCTGGCCATTCCGTGCATCTATATGGCGTGTTACTCCAACTTCGACAGGATTGAGCGAACGACAGTTTCGATTGCGAAACAATCCGCGAGTGCTGTTCTTGGCTGCAGTAGCGGCAATACAAAAGGTAGCATTGCGGTACACATCTCGCATCAGTTTTGCTTCCGACTCCCAATCCTTGAGGTCGTCCTGGAAAATGCACCTGCCTTGATTCAGTGTTACGAGACTGGTTGTTAGACAAGTGGTGGCCTACAGTGAGTCGATCCAAAGATATGAAATGCCCAACGCCATGGCTACTCTGATGGCTTCTCGAAATGTAAGAGGCAAAGTGTCTTGAGTTACACCGTTCCGAAGTTCTTCCTCGGTTGTCTTCGTCAGGCTAGTGGGCAGGGTTTGTCCCCAGCAATGGGAAAGAGTGGCGTAGTGTATTCTCGAAGATATTTGTGCGCGTTCGCAAAGTCGTACAGAGGGGGGTTCAGCACAAGAGACTTGAAGTAGTCTCGTTGGTAGAAAGTCCGATGATGCGGACGATGATCGGCATTTAGCGTGTTCTCGTAAACAGGCTGCGTACTGAGTCTGGATGAATGTCATAGCTTGGTCCTGTCCAGTGTTTTGGCAAACTAGCGTCTCAGGGGGCCGGAGGGTCCCTGGAGGAAGAGATCAGAACTATACATGATGATCATGAAGGATTGCACGCAGAATGCAGATACACTCACCTACCATACCAATCACCATGGTCATCTCGGTGGTGCAAGCGTTACTATGATTCCAGAAGTGTATGGAGGGGCATCCGCTCGGGGAGGAACTGAACGGATAGTATGTTGTGCGGCCCCACAACAAGGTTTCATCGTCTGTCTCTAATTCTCCTGATGTCTTACAATCTATCGGGAGCTCTAATGCCCTCAGCCGGCTGTGTTCTTCCATGAAAGCCGCGTGGAGTCGTATGCAGATCTCGCACCCCAGCTTGTAGGCATGACGGAATGATTCCGATGATGCATGGTGCTCGAATTTCCAGTCAAAGCTCACCAATTTACGTGATCCTCGAAGTAAAGCCCTGCAGACTTCGCAAAGGGTGGGATCTGCCATGGTCGCCTAATTGAGTTGCGGTTCGGCAGTTCTCGAGAGAACCAGTATGCCAAAATAGTCTGTTTGGATGAGAATCACGCTTGGTGCGATGTAGAAGTATAGCGAGGGCTAAGACTCAATCTGCGGGGTTGACATGGCAGCCTGCTTACCGTCAAGCCACATGACGCTATATGCATGCAACCGTCAGCATTCAGCCTTGTATCAAATATCTTCCATTTTGCAGGCAGTGCAGGCGAGCAACTTCATCAGGGTGTGAGCTGTAGTACACTTGAATGTGTAAAGGTATGTCCATGGCGTAAGATTCACTTCAAACTGTTCACGGTATCATATCAGAGTGAGAAGAACAGTAGCGGCGGAGATGTTATGCTGTGATGGTCAAAGTGAGATTACGAAGGTCGGAAGTAGCGAAGATGGTGATGTGCACGCCCCTAGCCAATTCCCAGGGTCCACGCTAGCCTCTCGGCGACGCGACGACGGGACGCCTCAACACAGCCCTGTACTCGGTCCCTGAGCGCCCTGACCAGGCCATTGCACATCTTTTTGTCCCCCCCAGCGCTGCACCACCTACCACCATGTCCCCTATTCTCCGCCCCTCCGCAATGCAGCCAACAGCATGAACTCGCTGCGCTTCAACCGCAGCTCCAAGCAAGCCTTCCGCAAGCCCCTCGACTTTCTCAGCAACCTCTCGCGCTCCGCCGTCCAACTCCCCCCAGACCACCACAAAAAGACGCACAAACGCCCCAATCTCAGCGCCAGCTCGCTCGATGATACAGACTCCAGCGACGTAGAATATTACGCACAGATGGAGGGACGACGGAGCCATTCGGCGCACAATTCGCAGTCGGAGCTGCAGCCCCCGGTGCCGCTGATTGATCTGGGCAGTCGCAGCACCAGTCCGTACCCCAGGATTCGCAGCGCCGTGCAGAGCGAGGACGAGGATGACGAGTATGAGACGGCGAGCAGTATCCGGCCATTGGTGGGGAGAGGCGCGGGGAGAGGCGGCAATGCGAAGAGGGGGATCCTGAGCCAGGGCGGGCTGGGCTACTTTTTGTTCTCGACGTGGACGGGATGGCAGGTCTGGGTGGGCTTGCTGGTGTTTTGGGTGGGCGGCTGCAGCTTTGGGCTGTTGCTGATGAACCGCTTCATCATGCTCACAGGCGTGTACAAGTGCGTATTCACATGAATGCAGGAATGGGTGGGTGCTAACGGTGGCAGATTTCCCTTCCCGCTGGCCTGCACATACATCCAACTGGTTATCACGCACATCCTCCTCATCGGCTTCTCCAGCCTCACACGCGCCCTCGACCGGCCTCTCCGCTGGCTGGGACTCGGCCCCGCTGTCGCCCCGTCCTTCCCCATCGCGCCCCAGGGCGGCGCATACAGAGGCGGAAACAAGAACCACATCCTGCTCTCTGTCGGCCGCTGGCTCTCCCATGGCTCCGGCGGAATCGCAGGCGGCGGCCTCTTCGAATTTGACGTCCAGATTGCCAGGCAAGTCCTGCCACTCGCAGTCGTCTATGTCGTCAAGGTGCTCCTCAGCAACTTCTCCTTTGCGTGAGTCCACTCCCAAACCTCTCCCATCTCCATCAACTAACCTCCCCAGCTACGCCCCGCTCCCCACCTACCAGCTCGCTCGCATCGGCATTACCCCGCTCGCCATCATCTTCGCCTGCGTCCTGCAGAAAGAAAACATCAGCGGCTCCTCCCTCTCCGCCGCCCTCGTCGCAACCCTCAACCTCCTCTTCGCCACCATCCGCTCCAACGTGCGCGTCACCTGGGAGTCCATCGTCGCCGGCGTCTTCAGCTCCTTCTTCGTCGCCCTCTACCCGATCCTGCTGCTGCGCACATACCGCACCATACTCGCCGGCCTCGTGCCCGCAGGTGACGTGCTGACACAAGGCTACCCCACCACCGACGAAGCAGGCAATCGCGAAGAAACCCGCGCCTTTTACCGCACGCTGCACTACACCTCGCTCCTCACGCTCATCATACTCACCCCCATCGTTCTGCTCTTCGGCGATGTAGGCAACATCTACCACAACATCCCCTTCCTCGACGTGCCCTTCTTCTGGGCCATGATGCTGTTCGGCGGCATGGGCAGTTGGGCGGTTTTCAGCTCCACCCTGCTCATGTGCAAGAGTACCAGCCCGCTCAGCACGACGTTTGTGGCGGTGCCCAGGACTGCCTTTCAGCTCGCGATGATCAATCTCGGCAAGATTCCGAGCCAGAGTTGGGTCGGCGTCGCGCTTTGTTGGGCGAGTAGTGTGTGGTTTCTTGTCGCGAGGCGGGATGAGGGGCGGATGAGGGAGAGGTTGAGGATTGAGGGGAGGTAGTATTTTCGACTGTTCAATATTTGGGTTTTGGGGGTGTTTCGACTAGGGAAAGTTTGTCACATTTGCATATATCCTATTTACATCAAGAATCTTGCATGTGTTATTCGTACTTGGCAGTCCTTCACCGCCTTGAGCATATGTAACTCCTCTCGTCTTTCCGTTCTTCTCACATCCTCATATGCCAGCGCTATTTTCTAAAATAAAACCTTGGGGGAATACATGGAACTAAAACCAAAGTTTGTCATGTTTCATGTCTGTCTTCTCCTCTTCCCTTCTCTCACACCAAAACCCGTATCCAAGCTGACACATGCCTGTGCTCTTCTTCTCCATCAAAAACCAGTCAAAGGCTAGGAATGTCTTCTCTCGTCCTCCGCTCCTATTCAAATACGAAAGACTGAGTTGCGAAGATGCCATTTTCTGTGGCGTGCTCTGCTCTGCTCTGCGCTGTTGCGTTCCAAAAATACAATATTCGAAGAGGTATGAGAAGAACTGGGGAGTGAAAAATTGGAACTTTTACCGTCCATGGACGGTCGTCGTCTTCCGTAAACGTATTTCGCACCAAACCGCGTCTGTTCGCTGTGTTGTTCCTACAATCCATAAGCACAGCGATGAAGAAATACAATCTCTGCTTCGCTTGGCTCTTGCGTTGCATTCCAAAAACGCTATTAGGAAAAAGGGCATGCGACGCAGCGGAAATTGGAATCATACCGCAGCGGTCGTGATGTCTCGTCTTTCGCCTCTTTTTCTCTACTATTATATAAAAAAACAGGTGGAGGTCTTCGTCTTCCTCGTTATTCGCCGTATTCAACCAAGGTTTGAAAGCAATGGACAGAGTATTCATGATCTCGAGTGTGCTATGCTGACTTCTAAAAAGAAATTAAAGAGGATATATGAGGAGAAGTGTTTGTCCAAAGTTCAACGAGCCAGAACCTCATGTCTCGTTCTCCTCTTCATCCTCGGTAGAAAGCAACGCTACTCACCGTCGTGTTCACTCTTGCGTCAGCTCTAAATTTTTCGAAGAGACGACTAGCTAGCTTACCAATATATAACCTAGGCTTTCCCGAATCTTCGATCAATCAATCTTCTTCTCACACTTGGACGAAAAACCAAAACGACCTACGCATAAAGTCGATGAGCTCTGTTTTTCTCTGCTCTGCTGCGTTGTGATATACTTCCAAAAGCAAGTCCGCTTTGAACTATGAGACGCAGCAGAACTCAAATGCATCATGGCAGCCATACCTAAAAGATAACTTGCATGAGGCTATGTTTCCCCTGTCTTCTGTGCTGTGGCAGAACTAAAAAATGGGAATTCAACGTTGCATGGAAACATGAGAAGAAGTGAGTATCAAAGCCCACTTCACAGCAGGCTCTGTTTTGCTCTTCTTCACCGCATACGGTGTGACGTAAATTCCTCACTCTTCTGTTCTCTGTACCTTCAAGTTCCTCGCAGTGTCGAGCTGCTATCTTCAAGAATGGATTAAGAGTGGGTCCATGGAGTTCGAAACGGGCTGTGCATTGCTCTATGCGTGCTATCCTCTTTTCTTCCTGTTCTGTGCGAGTAGTCGTTGTACAAAAAGTGGAAGGCGGATGATACATGAGACGCACCGAGGATAAAATTTAGCATGGATGCCAATCATGTTCTGTCCTGCCCAGTTGTCGGGGAACAGGTACAAATTCTCGGTTTTCTTTTGCTCACCTCCTCAGCACCATCGCAGCAATAAGCTGTGTTCCAAAAATATGCGGCTTGGTGGAAGATGGACATCAAAACAGGGTGTCTATGAGCTCATGTTGCTCTTTTATTCTTTCTCAATGCTGTGTGAGCAAATCAAATCAAGGTATTTAAGCACAGCGATATGGTTTGACCTGCCTGTGGAGAGGTTCAAATCATCTTCTCTAGTCGAAACTTTGCGTCTCTCATCCTCTTCGCGGTGATTGGCAGCGTTTCCAAAAGGCCGAAGAATGATGACATGAGGGTTCAAAATGCTGCCTAGACAAAATACATCTCGTCAAAAGACTTGATGGGATACAGCAATGTCCTTCCCTATCTTTCCTGGGGATGGAAGATAAGATTCCTCCCTGGCGCGAGTCTTGATTTCTTGAAAATCCTTGCGGTGATGGGGTGCGGTCCAAATATGTAGCCCTAATGCAATATGAAAATCAAAACGCCGATACGATTGCTCATGATTTTCTCTCTTCGTCATCTGCATGTACTATTTCTGCAGGGGAGAATACGTTGAATCAAAAAGCTCACAAAGAAGCGGAATGTCCTGTTCTTTTTGCTCGCAGATGGGATATGATTCCTCTTCCTTGACGCACATATCTACATCTCCATCATATCTGCAGCGGTCTACTTCTTTCTAAAAACTTTTCAAGCATCGAAACATGCAGTTCAAAAGGCTCATTCAACTATTATATAGTCTTCCCTCTTCCTTGTCTTCGTCTTCGAATCACTGGGCGAACAAGGAAGAACCACATACCTCAAGCTCCCCTGCTATGTGCTGCCCTCCCCCCCCTCACTTGCCCTAAGGTAAATATTCTCATCCTTAACATGTCTTCCTGTATCTTCAGAATCTAAAAATCACTTTCTGTGCTCCAAAACTTCGAACCATGGTGGAACATGGATTAAAACTACCTTATTGACCCATCATGATCTTCGCTCGTTTCCTGTGCTCGGAACGGACATCAATTCAAAAGACTTCGGGAGTCTCTGCGATGTTCGGTCCTCCCTTTCCGCCTGACAGTGGGATATAAATTGTATCATTCATACTCTGCGCCAATATTGTCGCAGAAATGCGCTGCGTTACAAAAAACGGGAAACATATCAGTACATGGGACCAGAGACTCCTTATACCTATATATAAGTTATCTATACCTATTTGCTAGCCTAAAAAAGATAAACTAATACTAAAGCTAAGATATATAGAGTATATTCTAAGAGTTTTAGAGTCTCTTAATATATATTAATATTATTATAATATAGAGCATAAGTAGGTTTCTAGTACATAGGGTTTTCTAGCACACGTGAAGAGATAGTAGTCAATCGCGTAGTGGTTCAGGGGATCATATTTTTGCACTATTTTGTGACTTTCCGTACAAGTAATATTCTTGCGCTTACACTTTGACTTCTGTTTTCTCCTCTCATAAACAGCAGACGAACGCATTCATTTCCTGCGCTCATGCTGATGAGACACACACAAATGTGAAGTTCGGAGGTCTGGGAACTACTGCAAAGAGTTGATTACTTCTGCCGAGGATTCCAACATTGGTTCATATTTGCACTATGATCTTTCCCAAGCCACTGGATGTACTTTGCATGATCTCCTTTGTCTATCACGATGAAACTACACATGTATGATAGCTTTCTATTTGGTTGAAAGCACACAGCGCACATATGTACGAACCCAGAGACCATAGAATAACGATGATGCGACGCGTGACTTGGGCGTCCTTGGGAAAAGAATCTTTGTCGATTATCTTTTATATTTACGCCGCAGCGATATTCTTTTGCTTTACCATTGTAAGTCACCAAAATGGAATTGCCAATAGGTCAGTGAAGCAAAAAGAGATAGCAACGTTCAATATCTCTGCGCTCCTCTCTGTGATGTACGGACATGTCATATCAAGAACCATAGCTGGTACATACTTCAGTCTGCGCTTCTGTAGTACTTCCAAATGCTCGTACGTAGAACAGAGCTTCTGGCTCTTTTAATGCATTTGTATCTCGTCTGTCTTTTTTCTATTTTCTCCAACACCGCAATATTATTGCGCCTCTCAAAAATGGCAAAGATGAGATGCCATGGGCGACAAGCAAGACTGGATGAACGACATGCTTTTGATTGTAACTATGTGCTATGGATATAAGTATCCTCGTCTGCATTTCCCCCTCCTCTACTATACTACAAACTTTTTATGCGTTTTCAAATGATGCATTCAACCGAACGATGGTCCAAAACTTCATGCAGTACCAAAACATGTTTCTACTGCTGAATTTGGGCGCCTTAAATATACATTTGCTTTTCACAGTCAACATTTGTCCCACCCTATTGGCTTGTGGTGGCTTAGAGTCATTTCTGAAGTGTCTGCCGACTTCATGCTCGCCTGGCTCTGCGACTCTCAAAAACTTCTTACATTCTTCTTAAATTGATAGTAAGCACTCTGCATGGATGAAAGGAACCACAATGCGATCCTATGTTCCCAGTCCTTTTTTTGGTACCCGCAGAACACACGAAATGCACCACCTGAGTCCATGTCCTTTGTCTCCGGTGCAATCTTAAAAGCAAAACTTTCGCTGCCGATAGCTTTCGCTTCTGAACTTCAAAATGACCTCGAGGTGGCGACGATGTACCCGCCGCGCCACGAGAGACAATCACGAATTCTTCATGCGCAACTTCGACTCCCAAAGTCTGTGCTATATCTCTACGGGCTCATCCGCTCTCTGTTCATCTCTCACACCTAAAACTCCCAATGTATCGAAAACTGGGTAAACTGGGATCATGTCCACCAAAGTAAGGCTACAACCACGCGATGCGTCCTCTTCTTCTCAGCCCTCGAAGCTCAAACGTAACGACATAAAGTGAACATGTCTAGCCCTTTCGGTCGGGCTCTGGAAACGCATCAAGGCGGGGCCATGAGTGTGTTGCTACTTGCAAAGTATGAAGGGTACTCTAGAATGAGTGAAAATGCATTGAAAACCTTAGGTCTGTTGTAATATGACACTGACCTGGTGGACATAAAAGCCTCCCAGTCTTCTCCAGCTTCTTTTCTCCTCGAAAGCACGCTGTTCTCTATCTATCAAAATGGATCGAATGGAATGATATGAACCAAAATCAGAGTACTATCGGCATATGAAGTCGTTCTCATCGGCTCAAGAATGCCACAAAAATGACATCAACGGGACAAACATGTCTGTTCTCCTCCGTCCTGAACTTTCAAAATTGCCTGCGAACAAACGTACGGGTCCGTTGCTTGCTTCTGTAATTCCGAGTTCCTATGTCGCCGCAAATCCCTGATACGTAAATTTTGCACCTTGGCCAAGCACGAAGCGCGGAGATCAGCGGATATAAGGCATATAAAACGGGCAAATGTGCGCTCTCCAGCTTCCACAATGTACCAAGATTGTGGTTTTAATACAAAAACAACGGCAACAAGGACTACATGCTCCAAAGTGGACGAAGGTTGGGCTTATGTCCCCGTCTCTTGTGACATAAAAGACACCTAATGCAACTGAATATCTTCTATTTTGCCACGATTCCTATGCATCGCAGCAAAACAAGGTTATATTCACTCAGTGTCATGAAAAGAAAGAACGGGTGGTACTGTATGTGATTGTTGTCCCGACTCGGGCAATGTAGTTGCTAAGTGAACTCCTACTTAATATAAAGCCAACCTCTCTCCACAGAGTTTCACTCTCATTCTTCTTTATTCCAATACATCTCGGCAAGAGCGATGGGGATTGAAATAGTCAGATAAGATGGCTTATGTTTTCCTCGTCGCGATCCTGCGCGCAGCGCGTTCAAGAACGGAGGTGTAGTGAACATGTCTTCTGCGTCCTGAGCTTTCGAGAAAGCTTGCGGTTGCATAACTACGAAGATGGCTAGCCTGTAGTTGGATGCATCGGTACGAGACCGCGGCGAGGTGGTGAACTATATAATCCCACTCGATTCTGCCCAGTTTCTTTATTCAACTTCACTCTCGGTGTGATTCTCAAAAATGGAAGAGACATTGTCCATGGACACGAAAGGCGCGGACGGCCATTATATGTTTTTCCTCCTTCTGAACATCGTTCAGAAAGCAGTGTATACATCTGTGTCTCTGTCATCTTCCGCCAATTCCTTTGTCCTGTTGTCTTGTACAATACTCATCTATTCTTAAAACCAATGACGAGTATTTGGATGAGGCGCATCGCTAGAAAAGAATCACGAGACCTGTTATGCGACAGGTTTCAAGTATAAATACTTCTCAGTTCTCTGCACTTCTTCTCAATCCAACCGTCTTCCAGCTTTATCAAAAGAATTTGCTAAATCGCTAATGTTCGAAAGGAGTATCGGCTGCGTTTATGTCTTCTACTCTGCCCTTCCACCAAAAAACTCCAGCATCGTCTCGATGTCTCCCTTCCGTCGAGGAGACGTCCTATGATTGGCGCCACTCCTTCGAGTACGGTCTCATGAGCGTATACATGAAGACAAGCACACCAGAAAGCTTCACATTGTGACGCAACGTTCAGCATGGGATCCCAATCACAATCAGCAGCAGTCGAGGTGTATATAGATCCTTGTGCTGGTCTACTCTCTTACTCCTCAGTTACCACAGGATAAACATTTTTTGTCGAAAGACCGAGCTAGAGCGGACCCGTGGACGAAAACGAAAGAACCAAAACACCGTGTTTCTGCCTTCTGTTTAAGTCCAAGACGTTAGCCAGTTCAACTTCATGCCTCGTCTTCTTTTCTCATAGATCAAAAAAAGGTGGCGTGGTACTTTGCGTGATGCTGGAGCTAGTTACTGTTAGCTTGACTTGAAGAGGCGATGCATGTGTGAAAGTTTCTATGCGCTATAAGAAACTTTGTACAGACGAAGTGTAGGTTCGAGGCTGGATGTCGTTTGCGCTATCACGGATGCGTAACGCTTCGTGCTTTGAAAGTATGTTCGCTTCTTAATTCTTTTTCCATTGTTACTCGAAGCTCAATGATCCTTATGTATTCTTCACTACCTGATTGCTCCCCGGACTATGGTACTAGTACAATGCAAATTCAAATGCTCGCACGCTAATAAGGAAACCCATCGCCATCATTCGATGGCCATGCATGCCACTATAAGTGTTCAACCTTTCCGGCTGATCCACTTAACCAACTCATCCACATCCTCATGTCCCAAACTACCATTCCTCTCCCGCGTCCCTCTTTCCTTCCCGCCTTCTCCATTCTCAATTTGCCTAATTCCAGCTCTGTTCTCAGCCAAATGGTCGCTAGCAGCATCTTCTTTCACTCCTCGTTCACCCGTACGGAACCCTTTCAAATCCCCAACTTCCGGCTTGTCCTTCACCAAACTAGAACTCCTCACATGCTCAATGATCTCCTGCACATCCCCATGCGACAAACTCCCCTCGTCAACACTCATGCCTAATTGCTGCTTCTTCTTCTCTTCCTCGCGCAACAACTTCTCCTCCTCTTCCTCTTCCTCCTGCACCTTCGTCGGACTCTGGCTCTGCTGCTTCGAATCCTTGCGTGACACCCACTTGACCAAATCCCCAATATCCTCGTGCGTGATGTGGCCTTTAGGTTTCGGGCGCGGAGATGCAGGACCTTCGCGACTTCGCGGGCGGCCTCGTTCGGGCTCTTTGGGCGCGTCTAGGGATTTGCGGGGGTGTGAGGAGCTTACTGATTCGCCGCTCGTGCCGTCGTGCCGTGTGACCCAGCGGCCGAGTTCGGGGACGTCGGAGCCGTGGGATATGCTGCGGCCTGCTGGGGAGTGATTTCGGGTTTGGCGGATGGGGCCTGCGGATGGGCCGTCGCGGTGAGATACCCAGCGGACGAGGTCGTCTGCGTCCTCGTCTTCGGAGGAGTCGTCTTCGTTTATCAATTCAGAATCGGACTCGGTCGAGGCATCGCTGTAGCCTGTGCGGCGACTTTGCTTTGTCTCTGGGTCTGATGATTTGCGACTTGCCCATTGGACTAGCTCGTCTACGTCGGAGTCTCCAAGACTGTCGTGGCTGTCGTTTGCACCTGTCAAGGTGATGGCTGGGGTTTTGCTGGCTCTTGTTTCTCCGTCGCTGGGCGGGTCGCGTCTGCTGACCCAGCGCACTAGATCCTCGACATCAGAATGGTCTATGCTTTCTTCGTCTGCTTCTCGTGGCTTCCATTGGTATGGCTCTGGTTCACCATCTGAGCTTGCTATCGAACCATGATCGCTAAAGTCGTGTGCTGCACCATCCTCCTGTAGAGTCTGCATAGTCGGTACATCCTTGGTCGTCATGCGCCGTATACTTGTTTTCAGTCTTGATCCAATACCCTGTGGCTTTCCTTGCGCGTCTTTTTCTGGAGTCTTTGGTCTACTGGGCATTTGTCTGTGATCATGCTGACTCTTCCACTTCTCTGCAGCCGCCTCTTCCTTGTCAGGGTCTTCGTGGGTGATTGACTTAATCTTGTCCTCGATGGTGTTGGAGAACAACATGCTCCTGAGGGAATGGAAACGTGCCATATGAGGTTGTTTGGGCTTAAGTCTTGGTTTCGATGATCCACTTTCTTCAGCACGCGCAGGAGACAAACTACTATGAACTGGTCTTTTATTCGGAGATCGGTCCTCCTTCTTGGATGATTGCGGGCTTTTTGTGGACTTTATGGTAGTTAGCCCGTGGTCCCGGCGCGACTTTGGTGCATCGGTGGCCTTGGGTAAGCTCGGCCGGGGATCCCTAGTATCTTCCCGTTCGTGACCAGGCTTCCCTCTTCGCTCTCGCTGTCTGATGCAGCTTCGCCTAAATCGTCCCAGTAATTGTGTAACAGCGGGCGACAAAATGCTCATTCGACCCATCTGCCTTCTCTCCTCTTCTGGCACTCCTTCTATACTCGCAGCGGCCGCATTCTGCTGGGGTGGGAGGTCAAAGTATGACGCCATGACTATGCGCCACGTATGCCGTGATCTTACAAAGACGATGCCGTAGTGCGGAGTTTGCCAATGGCTGATATATCTTCCGACAGGGGAAACAATGTGCTGGGCTGTGCTACAGTGCGCCACTACCGGGTGTAGTGCAATAATTATTTTCTCTTACTAAAATTTAGAAATAATATAATAAAATCCTTAATAGTAACTAAGTATTAACGTTATATATATATAAAATATAATATATCTTAAATAATATATTAGAATTACTTTAAAATAAAAAAATTAATTAATATATAAGAACTTTTAGTATTATATACTTATTTTTTAACTTCTTATTTAGAAGAGAAGCCTTAGAAGATAGATTTAAACTAAATCTCTTCTTTCTTAATTATTATCTAACTTATTTTCTTTCTTATTCTAATTCTTCTTATTTAACTCTAACTTCTTATCTAACTCTTTTTCTTACTACTACTAATTATTATAATTAGCACTATAATAAGCGCTATAATTATAATACTTATAGTTACTATAGTATCTACTCTAGAAGCCTATAAGGCTTATATAAGTAGTATATAGTTAAGAGCTAGTGCTACTATAGTATTTAGTATAATACTAGAGGATATTAGTAATATATAATAGTAAATTAGAGAGTTAGTACTTATAGTATTATTCTTAGTACTATAACTCTAAATAAGTAGGCTATTAGTATATAAGTCTCTATAGCTCTAGATCTAGACAAGAGTAATAGCGCTAGTCTATACTTTAATATTATATGCTAGAGTTATATTTAGAACTTAAACTTATTAAGCCTAGATCTTATTAGTAATAATTTATTAAAGTTAAGTAGATAGTTATAGTATAAGCTATGCTAGTAAGAAGCGCTTAACTAGAGCCTAATTCTATAGACTAGATCTATACTATATAACTATTTAGATCTATACTATTATATAGAGTTAAAGCGCTTATAATTAATGCTATAATAATAATAATTAGAATTAAGTTCTAGTTATAGTTTAAACTTAGAAGTATAACTTAAGTATTAATAGTTATCTAATTATAGCATATAGTATATATAAAAGAATTATAAACCTTTTAATATATATATAATAATAAGAGGTTTGCAGTTATATAGTACTTATTTTATTTTAAAGATAGATACTATAAGTATATTTCTTGCCTTTATCTTACTTTTAAAGAACTCTCTCTCTATAAAGAGGCAAAAATAAGCTTATATATAGGATATTTAAGAAGTAGTTATATAGAGAATCTTAAACCTAGAGCAATCTTAAACTTAAAGCAATCTTAAACTTAGAGTAATCTAAAGAAGTATATTATATAGAGAATCTTAAACCTAGAGCAATCTTAAACTTAGAGTAATCTTAAACTTAGAGTAATCTTAAACTTAGAGTAATCTTAAATTTAGAGTAATCTAAAGAAGTATATTATATAGAGAATATTAAACTTAGAGTAATATAAAGAAGTATATTATAGAAGCAATATTTACTTCTTACTTTATAGGTTATATAGAGACTAGTTATCTAACTAAGCTTCTAGAAACTAAAGATCTCTAAAATTAAGATTAGAGAGTAGTAAATTAGAGTTATATAGCTATTACTCTTCTTCTAGAGCAGCGCTTAATAATTATAGAGAAGATTTCTTAATCTAAGAACTCTTAATCTAAGAGATTATACGCTTTTAACTATTATATAAAGATTAAGAACTTTTCTTCTTTAGTATACTAAGCTAATTCTTCTGCTATATAGTACTTAGCTTTTTCTTTATCTTTTACTTAGTTATACTTCTCTCTACTTCTTTCTTTCTTACTTTCTTTATCTTAATTATTACTAATTTACTTCTTACTTTTATTATATAAAATAGCAAAGAAGAAAGAGTAGAAGAAGAAAGAAGATTAAGCTTAGTTTCTAACTTAAGTTCTTTAAAGTAGATATAAAGAGTAAGTATACTCTTTAAAGACTTTATAAAAGAGCTATCTTTATAGAGTTTAAATACTATATAACTTACTTTTATAGTTACAGAGATCTTATATAAGCTATACTTTTAATCTATATACTAAGTAAGATATTATAAAAGAGCCTTATACGCTTACTAAATATTATCTATATTAGTAAGAATAATATAATTAATAAAATTCTCTATATTCTAAATACTTATATTCTAAAGAGCAAGCGTAAATAAATCTATAAGTATTAGTATATAAGAAAGAAATAAGAGTTATACTTATATAGAATATCTTTAAACTACTAGATAAGAAAACCTTCTTATACTTCTTATTTAGATCTATTATAGAGAATTATATAAGCTAGAGCTAGACGTTAAAGAAGAGCTTCTTATTAGAGATAAGTTTTACTTCTATTATATAACTAGCTCTACTATAAAAATAATTAGTAATAGAGTTATTACGTAGAGTATTAGCAATTAATTACTATTAAGTAGTATTAACTATTATATATACTTAAGCACGCTTATCTTTATTAGTAAGTTAAATCTAAGTATTATATGCTAGAATAAAGATTTCTTTCTTAGCTTATAGAGTTAGTTTCTTATTATTATTAAGACTAATTACTTTATCTAATAGCCTAAGAAGAGATCTAGCTTATATAGGCTTAGTAGTAGGAGTTTTCTATTTACTATAGCCTAGGTAAAATTTATTATCTTATATACCTCTATAGTAGTAGAGAGAGTTTTAAGAATAAGAACTAGGCTTAAGTATAATTATACGTAAGTAGTAGAGTAATTAGTATTATATAAGATATAGTATAGAAATAAGAGATATAGTATAGAAATAAGAGATATAATATAAAAATAAGAGGTTAAGGTTCTATATTAGATAACGTATACTAATCTAGCTCTTTAAGAAAGATCTGCTTCTAATAGGCCTTCTTATATATTATTAGCCTTATTATGCAGTAGCTAAGATTATTAGCAGACTTTAGTAGTTTATTATATAATACTTACTTTCTAGTTCTAGTTTTCTACTAGATAAGTATATAAACTAAGCTCTAGCTAAGCTTCTAGGTTAATATGCTATTATATAAGCTTATATAGCTATATATAGATAGGCTTAAAAAGCTCTTAATAATTCTTAAAAGTCTTAATGCTTATATTAAAAAGATGTTATAGCTAAGTAAACTTAAGAGAAAAGATTATATTAATTACTACTCTTCTAATATATTAGAAGAGCTAGCTTAAATATATAAATAGATTATAGAGAAACGTTAGTCTACTTCTTAAGCTTAGTTAGCTTAGTTACGTAGATTAATACTTTACTATTCTTATATATTAATACTGTAATATACTCTCTATCTTAATTACTCTATTTAATTAAGATAACGTTATGCAGTTTATTATATAAATAAGCTATTACTCTAGCTTCTACGCTAAGCCTAATTACTTAATTAGTAAGCGTCTATTTATTATTATATTATTATAAAGATTAGTTAACTTATGCATTTAGCCTTAGCGCGCGCAATATTAATATCTTTACTCTGCGCCTTATAATCTTTTAATACTCTACTACTTAGCTTTAAGAATTTAATCTATTAACTATAGCTCTAGTAAATTCTACTAATTAAGAGGTACTTAAGTATCTTACGCATACTCTATATTATAATTACTTTAAACTTTAAGCTATTAGTTATACTAACTTAGCTATTTTGCAGTAAAAGAGAAAAAATAGCTACTTTAGTATAGAAGAAGAATCTTAAGAACACTTACGCTGCTTATTTCTTCTAAGATATTAGATTTAAAAAGTATCACTGGCTTAGCTTAAATTAATTAGCAGAAGTTAGCTTCTAAG